GGGTGGCTCAGTTGGTTAAGCGACTGCCTTCGGCTCAGGTCATGATCCTGGAGTCCCTGGATCGAGTCCCGCGTCGGGCTCCCTGCTCGGCGGGGAGTCTGCTTCTCCCTCTGACCCTCCTCCCTCTCATGCTCTCTCTCATTCTCGCTCTCAAATAAATAAAATCTTTAAAAAAAAAAGATTTTATTTATTTATTCATAAGAGAGAGAGGCAGAGGGAGAAGCAGGCTCCCGGCTGAGCAGGGAGTCCGATGCGGGACTCGATCCCAGGACCCTGGGATCATGACCTGAGCCAAAGGCAGATGCTCAACCATCTGAGCCACCCAGGCGCTCTTTAAGGTTTTTCTTTTTAAACAAGTATTTCTTGATTTTTAAAAATATATTTTAGTTATTTAAAGTAGACCGCACACCCAGTGTGGGGCTTGAACTCATGACCCCGAGAGCAAGAGACCCCAGCTCCACTGACAGCCAGCTAGGCACCTCTTTATTAGTTTTCATATTGTGAATATTAGTAACTTATTCATGGTTTTTGCTGCATAATATTCCACCATGTGAGTCTCTCCCAGTTTTTTCATCTGCTCTCTTTTGGATACAAACTTGGGTTTGGGGGCTATTAAGAATAAAGTGGCCATGACCATTTGAGGTCCTCTGTGTGGACATCTGGTCACATTGAGCTTGGGTATAAACTCAGGAACACTGAGAGCTAGAACAGGGGAGGTGCCCAGGTTGTAAAGGTTTGTAAACCTTTGTCCAAACCCAGAGGCCCTGGGAGAAGGTGACAGCATCCTGCTTTGCTGATGAGAAAGCATAGAGGGTCATTTCAGTTCTCTAGTGGGGCTGGAGGGAGACCCCAAATCTCCCTTCTCACGCCTGTGTCTTGGCTGGGGACAGACATTGTACTGGTCTATCCCATTGCTCCAGCACCAAGCATTTGCTTCCCTGCCCCCCAAAACCACACTGTTACCCTCTGCTGGAGATGTGCCCACACCCTTAGCCCTAGTAACATGTGTGACTTCATGATGTTTAGTTACTGCAGCGAAACACATTGCAGCTTTTTATTTTTATTTTTATTTTTTAAAGATTTTATTTATTTATTTGAGACAGAGAGAATGAGAGACAGAGAGCATGAGAAGGAGGAGGGTCAGAGGGAGAAGCAGACTCCCTGCTGAGCAGGGAACCCGATGCGAGACAGCAGCTTTTTATTTTATTTTATTTTATTTTAAAGATTTTATTTGAGAGAGAATGAGAGAGAGAGAGCACATGAGAGGGGGGAGGGTCAGAGGGAGAAGCAGACCCCCTGCTGAGCAAGGAGCCCGATATGGGACTCGATCCCGGGACTCCAGGATCATGACCTGAGCCGAAGGCAGTCGCTTAACCAACTGAGCCACCCAGGCACCCCACATTGCAGCTTTTAAGCACTGGGAGAAATATTCTTGTCTAAGCAGTAAGACGTGACAGGAAGGTCTCAAGAAGGGGCTGGCAAGCTTTCCGTGTAAAGGGTCGGGTAGTAAATATTTTAGGCTTTGGGGGCACAGACGGTCTCTGTTGCATATTTTTGTTTGCTTTAACACCCTTTAAAAATGTAAACTTTTGTGGGGCACCTGGCTGGCTCAGTGGGTAGAGCATGGGACTCTTGATCTTGTGGTCACGAGTTCAAGCCCTCTGTTGGGGGTAGAGCTTACTGAGATAAAGAAAGAAAAATGTAAACTGTTCTGAGCTCATGGGCCATGCCAACACACAAGCGAATGAACAGCCCTTTGGGTGGCATGTGAGGATTTGCACTTTTGGTCTAAATCATTTTGCTCAGTGACTGCATGTAGAAAGTAGTCATTACTAAGTTTGAGAGGCAGGTTTTCTGGTGTATCTGATTTTGATTTTGTAATTGCATCTTCTTTTTCTCATATTGCCCCGAAATGTTGAATCTTTTTTTTAAATTGAGATGTACTTGGCAGAGAGCACAGTATTCATTTTAGGTGTAGAACATAACGATTTGATAGGTGTATATGTTGCAAAATGATCACCCCTGATAAGTCTAGTTAATGTCTGTCATAGCTACAATTGTTTTTCTTGTGGTGAGAAATGTTCAGATCTACTCTCTTAGCAACTTTTAAGTTTACAGTACAGGGTTGATTACAGTCACCACACTGTTGTTACATCCCCGGGACTGATTTCTAACTGGGGGTCTGTACCTTTAGATCCCCCCTCACCCATTTCTCCCACCTTCCACCCGCAATGTTTAATCTTCAGATCCAGCAAAAGGGGATACAGCCAATTCTTTTAACCATCCACTTTATGTATGTCCAAACATGCATGAGGCATTAAGAGCAGTGAGCATGGGGGTCTCGAGAGGGAAAGGGACTGTGCCAAGCCCTTTCTATCCACCAGAGAAGAGGCTTTTCATACCCACTCTACTGAGTTTCAGAGAGGTGACCTGGCCAACTCCCATGGAAAGGGGTAGAGCTGAAATTTTCCCTTGGGGCTGGTTTCAGAGCCTACGTCCTTATACGCTGCTCTCTAATCTCCCCAAGCCAGGCTGGGCTCTTTCCATATGTGTTTTCTGGACAAGTTACTGGAGTGAGCTAAGCAGGTAAGAGGAGCATTTAAGGGTTCACTTCAGAGGGTCCAGCTCCTAATGGGGAGACCAAGGAGAGTGCACATCTGCTCAGAGACCTCCCAACTTCCAGAAAAAAGCCAAGGTCAAGATCAAGGTGTGCAGGAGACCCATCTTGCCTTCTCCTGTACCTGCCATTCCTTCCTTGGCCCTCCCCATTGGCAATCTGGCCACCCACACCCCCCCCACACACACAATTTGACAAACCAAGAGCTCAGACAAAAGAGAAGACTCTCCCACCTCCCACCCCACCCTTTATTTTAGAGGGGATCTCCCAGGGCCATCGACATATTTTTTTTTACATAAAGAAAAGCAGTCTTTCGTCTGTCAGAACGGGAACAGACACAAAGGAATAGAATGGATGTTACTTGTGACAAGGGATGGTCCCCTAACGACATCATGATGACTTTATGATAGAATGGGGGCGAACGTGTTTAAACCCACGAAGTTAGTGCTGACTTGTCGTGAATCAAGAGCTAATCAGTACACCCCATTTGCGGAGGGAGCCATGGAAGATTGAAGAGGGGCAGCCCGCCCTGTAAGTTCCTCCAGCAAGTCTGGGTGCAGGCAGGAAGACAGGAGCCCAGACCAGCCTGTCAGACCCTTACTGGCCAGGAGACTTTGAGGAAACGATCTGATGTTCCCTGCCTCAGTTTTCCCATCCACAGTATCGGAAGCTCAGTGCACCCAGCCCAGAGGGTTGAGATGAGGCTGAAGCTAACATGGGCCGGGTGCTCAAAGCAGCGCCCGGGTCCCGGTAACACCCAATGCTAGCTTAGTGTTGTTAGGTGCAAAAAGAGACTTGCTCCCTGACAGATTAGTGGGGCCGTATGGGGAAACTCGGGGATTCATTTAAGCAAAAACGCAGAAAAAGAAGTGTTTGGGGTGAAGCCAGCTGACTTGGTGGTTCTCACCAGGGGGCCATGTCTGAGGACACCCGTGGTGGTCACGACTTGGGGGACGGGTAGTGCCTTTGACATCAAGTGGGGGGGTGCTAGGGATGCTTCCCGACACCCAGATGCCCAGGGCGGCTCCCAGAGAGCGACTCGGCCCTGATGTCAGAAGTACTGAGGGGGAGACCCTAAGAGAACCTAAGTACCAGGTTTTTCAAATGCGCAGTCCTACACGATCTTTGCTCCAGATCTACGTGGAAGCTGGTCTGGGATGATGACACTGAGGGCTAGAGAGGCCGAGGCCCGCCCAGGGTCACTCATGAGGGGACCAGGGAGCCGGCTGGTGCACGCACGCCCCAACCCCCAGCAGGAGCACGGGACGCCAGCCCCTGGGAACGTGCAACAGGCAGAAGGAGCAGGACTGTGCCGTCACGGACGCAGCGAGGGAGGCAAGCCCCCGCCTGGCACTGTGCTCCTGTCCCTTCAGCCGTAAAGTGGGGACACCTAACCCACAGAGCAGAGGCGATTAAGAGGGTTGGCGTATGAGGCGAGTGGGACAGCCCTGGGCCAGAGTGGGCACGACAAGAGGATTCGGTTTCAGTGTTTTCTAAGGAGATGTGAGCACAGCAGTGGGAATACGGCCAGTCACAGAAGGGGACAGAAATTCGGGAATCTCCCAGCTGGGGTCTGTCCAGGGACAACCTGGAGTTCCCTGGGCCCGGGATGAGTACCCCAGGGCTGCTCTAACAAAGGAACGCAGACTCAGAGGCTGAAAACACCACAAACCTATCACCTCCCAGTTCTGGAGGTCAGAAGTCTGCAAGGAGTCTTATGGGGCTAAGATCAAGGTGTCGGCAGGGCTGGATCCTTCTGGATGTTCAGGGTTGGGGGATCCTGTTTCCCTGCTTTCTCCGGCTTCTCCAGGCTCGGGGTCCCTTCATCCATCTTCAAGGTGAAGAGAACATCCACCCATCTCAAATTCTAACCTCTGCCTCTGTCCTCACACCCTCTCCGACCGACCCTCCAGCCTCCCGCTCATAAGGAACCTCGTGATGACGTTAGGGCCCACAGGGATCCATCAGGACCACCCCGCCCCCATCTCCAGATCTCTCACTGAATCCCAACTGCACAGTTCCCTTTGCCACGTGAGGGATTATATTCATAGATCCTGGGGATCGGGATGGGGACATCTTTGGGGGGAGCTTGACACACCATTCCCCGGTCGGGGAAAAGCAGCAGGCCTTCTGCTCCTGCCAGATCCCTCGGACACGGCACAGGGGGCAAGACTCGTTGGGGGGAGGAGATGAAGGACCCTCACGCCCTGCTCTTCTCCTGTCCGAGAACTTCAAGCCCCACTCCAGGTCTGGCCCTGTCCTGTTCACATCCTTGTGAGCAGAGCAAGGAAGGGGCCAAGGCGGCCATACACGGACCCTGCGTTGCTCAGCTCCTGGGGGAGGGAGCACGCACGTGCACGCACGCACACAGCCCACACTTAGCTGCAGGTAAAATTTATTAAGGCAACACTGAAGCCTCAGGCACCTCAGCCCCCCTCTGCTCCAGAACGGGCCTCAGCAGCTCTGCAGCCTCCCCACCCCCAGGAGGCCCACTTCGGAGGCCAGAAATCCCAAGTCTGTTAGCTAAAGGCTAATACCCAGGGGCCCTGATGCAGAAAAGGAGGCAGGGATATAAGAAATCTGTCCCTGGTTTTTAAGAAAAAAGAAATTGGAGAACATTTTTTTTTCTGGAAACCTCCCCCTAATGACTGAGGAGGTGAGGCTCAGGACACGCTTCCTCTGAGCGCGCAGCGGCGGAGGGACTGGTCAATTTTCAGCTTCCTGAGGTGGCAGCTAAGATAAGCTGGGGGCGTGGGGAGGGACGCATGTTCCGAGGGGGCAAGGGGGTCCAGTGCTGGGGCCAGCCCCTCTGGGAGAGACAGTCCCTCGCGCCTCCTCCTGCCCGTCCTATTTCTTCTCTTCCGGGGCTTTCTCAACGACTCCCGGGGCGAAGGGTCCCACCAGCCACATGATGGGCGTGTTCTGGGCCACGTACTCAACTGTGTGGTCAAGGGCCTCTCGGGCCTTGGCCACCTGCTCTCGGCTCTGCATCAGGATCGTGCTGGACAGGTCCTGGAAGGAATGGATGCCAGAAAAGGTGGCTTGGAGGTCCTCCACCTGGTGGCGAGCCTGCTGCACCTGGTCCTTCACGTGGCTGGGCAGCCCCTGGATGCTGGAGCCCAGCGAGGCGCAGGTGCTCTGCAGCTGCTGGACGATGTCCCGGAACATGGTGAGCGTCTGGGTCTCCACCTGCTGAGAAGGGGCGGACGATCAGGACCGTGCGCTTTGGGGGCAGCTGGATCCCAATTGGGGGGGGGGGGGGAGGAGAAAACAGGGCTTCTCCCGCCAACCTTCCGGAAAACCTCTCTCTAGGAGAGCCCATCCAGGATGGTGGTTTGGGACACCAGCTCTTTTGAGTTTTGAACCACGTGACCGATGTACCAAAATGAAAAAGAGGCAGAGACATTTCTCCAAAGGAGAAATGCAGCTGGTCAACAAGCACGTGCAAAGATTCGACTTCACTAGTCGTCACGGAAACATAGCGCAGCCCCACGAGGTGGCGCCTGCTGGGCGAGCAGGATCAAGACGACGGGAGTGGCAAGTGTTGATACGTTGCTGATGGTACAGTCACTTCGGAAGACAGCCTGGTGGTCCCCCCAACTGTCCCAACTACAGAGTTACCATACAACCAGCAACTCCACTCCTAGGAATCCACCCAAGAGAAATGGAAACGCACGTCCATACAAGGCTGGTTCACAGGGCATAGCAAACGGGAGGCCAAGTGGAGACAGCCCGTATGTCCATCACCTTGTAAACGGGTAAATACACATGACCCACCAACACGCGGGTGCGTCCCTCGGCCACGAGCAGGAGCGAGGCGCCCACACGCGCTGCCCCGGGGACGGACGCCGAGCCCACGACACTCAGGGAGGGAACCAGACACAGAAGGCCACACGGGGTGTGAGTCCACGTGGGTGACACGGCCAGAACAGGCTCATCCATGGATGGGAAGGGGGCTCGTGGGGACCGGGGGCTGGGGAGGACGAGGGAGTGACTGCTGATGGGGACAAGATCTCCTTTTGGGTTGGTGGGAATGTTCTAAACGGATCGTGGTGATGGGTCTCACAACCCTGTGAATACACTAAAAACCATGGAATTGTACAGATGGGTGACTTGTATAGTACGTGAATCATAGCTCAATAAAACATCTTTTTTTTTTAAGTACAAGATACTGCATTTTCTATCTCGTTTTATTAAAAAAAAAAAAAAAGGTCTGGAGGAACTTTCCAGGCAGAAGCCATACGTGGTAGGAGAGACTGCAGCGTAATAAATCAGGACCTTAACCTCCTTCCCCAGGGGAAGAGGGCAGGCTGGGCGGCAGGACTTGGCCCTGAACCCATGACAGAGCGCTCTGGACTTGAACGTGGCAGGGAGGTGCCGACCAGAGTCAACATCGGCATCATCTGGTCACCACGCTCAGCACTGGGGGGAAGGGAGACGGTTTTAGGTGGTTTGGGTCTGAATGCTAACAGTTTTGGATTTAGAGATACTGGTCCTAGCTGCATAAATACCAATTGTGTACTGCTATGTGTACTTGACATAGCAACCCAATTTTTTTATATAGGAGTATAACACAGATCAGAAAATTCACCCGTTTAAGTGTGCAATTCCATAGTTTTTAGTGTATTCACAAGGTTGTGCAACCACTACCTTCATCTCCAGAACATTCCATCACTCCCCACAAAGAAACGTCACCCCCATTAAGCAGTCAACCCTGCATTAAGCAGTTGATCCGTTCATCCAAGGGACACCTGGCCCGTCTCCTCCACTTTTGGCGACCGTGAGTCCTGCTGCTGGGAACACGGCGTGCGGGTTTGGCTCACTTTGCCCGAAGAGCCCTGCAAGTCTTCATCCCATTGACAGATGGGGAAACCAAGGCCCAAGGAAGTTAAGCTGAGAAGCTATAGTGCTAGGTCAGTCCTGAGACCGAGGGACGTTCATAATGGGCATGAAAGACACGTGAGGTACTGACTCAAGGAAAGTCTCCGTGAGCGACGGTGGAAGCAGTGAGTCTGAGCATGGCAGGAGAGGCCGATGCATGGCACAAATGGGAGGGACCAGAGGACGTTAGTGAGAAGTTGTCACCAGGAGCAAAGCAGAGGAGTATGGAGAGCTCATGACACCGAGATAGGAGAGAAGATAAGTGAGACATGGCTTAGAATTTTAGTAGGTTGAGAGGCGTCGCTATCAAGTGTCCCACAGTTTAGAAGCAACACCACACCCAAGAGAGAAAATCCAGGCGGGCTTCCTGGAGGAGGTGCTGTTGTGTCCTAAAGGCAGGGAATGGGAAGAGAGGCTGGGGAAAGTATTCCCCGTAGGTAGGTCCATCCAGCAGAGGCATGGAGAGGGAAGTCAGGGCCCTAAGCATCCCACGGGTCCCCCAACCTGGTACCTCTGGTTTGGCTGGGTTCTCCTCTGTGCCCTGGAGCTGCTTCTGGTTCCAGTTGAGCCACATCTGGTGTAGTTTCTCCTGGCCCTCCACCAGCTTCTGATCGACTCCTTGCTTGACGGTTTCCATCTGGAATAGGAGAGCAAGGAGAGAGAGAGTGACACAGGAGGCTGCCTCCAGCACCTGACCAAGGTCGGCAGAGCCCCGCTCACATCCCAGGAGAGGCCCACAAAGTCCTCCTTTTATCCAAGATGAGATGGTCCGCGAAGGCGAGGAAGGTAGGGGGGATGCTGTTCTCAGACAGGCTTTCCACCACTATGGTTTCATCACCAACATGCGCATGCACCATCTGTCATGTGCAAAGGAAGTGGCCAAAATTCTCCGCAGCTCCTCCCATTTTGTCTGGTTCTCCTTGTGACTGGGCCCAGGCCACAGGACTGGCTTTGGCCAATGGAACGTAAGCAGGAGGAACGTGAGCAGGGTCGTAAAAAGTGCTACAATGGAATGTTATTCAGCCTTAAAAAAGAAGGGACCCTGACACCTGCCATGATGTGGAGGAACCCCGAGGACACTGGGCTCAGTGAGAGGAGCCGGACACCGAAGGACACATCCTGCAGGACCCCACTCCCAGGAGGTCCCCAGAGGGAATCCCGTCTACAGAGACAGCGAGGAGAGGGTGGGAGCCAGGGCTGGGGCAGGGGGTGGGGAGTCTGTGCTTCATGGGGACAGAGTCTCCGAGTGGGGAGATGGGAAGTTCTGGGGACGGAGGGTGGGGGTCGTTGCACGACAGTGTGAATGTGCTTAACTGAGCTGTGCACTGAAAATGGTTATGATGGTGAATTTCATGTCATATGCAGTTTACCCCAATCAAAAATTTAAAAAGAGAGACGGGGCGCCTGGGTGGCTCAGGCGTTAAGTGTCTGCCTTCAGCTCAGGTCGTGATCCCGGGGTCCTGGGATCGAGCCCCGCATTGGGCTCCCTGCTCCGCGGGAAGCCTGCTTTTCCCTCTCCCACTCCCCCTGCTTGCGTTCCCTCTCTCGCTGTCTCTCTGTCTCTCTGTCAAATAAATAAATAAAATCTTTAAAAAAAATAAAAAGAGAGACAGGAGAGCGCACTGCGTGGAGGAAGCTAAGCAAAGAGGAAGATGAAAGGAATTCAGCTCTTTAGAGAAGAGACAAGAGAACATTGGTGGGGAGGGGCAGGATGTGACTGCAGACAGGCAAGCGGACCTTTCTGGGGTGATGGCATTGTTCCACTTCTTGATTGGGGTGCTGGTTACATGTCTGTTGATGTCTGTAAAACTCCTCAAACCATATACTTAAAAACAGCTGACTTTTGTAGTCCCCGAATTACACCTCCATAAAGCTGACTTTAAACAAAACCACCACCAAAACGCTGCTCACGCTTTGCAGGTCATGCTCGAGCAGCACGTCGGTCCCTCAGACGACGGCCGGGAGAGCCTCCGCTGGCCAGCTCACCTGTCATGGGCTGAATTATGTCCCCCCGATTCCTCTGCTGGAGCCCTGACCCCCAGGACCTCAGGATCTGCCTGTGGTGGCATATCCGGTCTTTAAAGATGCAATGAAGTTACAGTGAGGTCACTGCGATAGCCCTACTCCAATGTGACGCGCGCAGAGGGACGCCCCGTGAGGACGTGGGGAGAAGACAGCCTTCTGCACGTCCAGGAGAGAGGCCCCCCAGGAGGACCCGGCCCTGCGGACACCCTGATCGCAGACCTCCCGCCTGCAGACCTGCCAGACAGCCTCTGTCGTTGAGGCCCGCTGGTCGGGGGTCCTCGGAAGGGGAGCCCAGCCTTCCAGGACCGGGGCCCCGCCGGCGGGCTCGGGCAGAGGTGCGGGGGGGCGGGGCCCCCGGGCTGGGGAGGGGCGGGGCCCCCGGGCTGGGGAGGGGCGGGGCCTCCGGGCTGGGGAGGGGCGGGGCCTCCGGGCTGGGGAGGGCGGGGCCTCCGGGCTGGAGAGGGGCGGGGCCCCTGGGCGGGGCCCCTGGGCGGGGGAGGGGCGGGGCCCCTGGGCTGGGGAGGGGCGGGGCCTCCGGGCTGGGGAGGAGCGAGGCCCCTGGGCTGGGGAGGGGCGGGGCCTCCGGGCTGGGGAGGGGCGGGGCCCCCGGGCTGGGGAGGGCGGGGCCTCCGGGCTGGGGAGGGCTGGGCCCCTGGGCTGGGGAGGGGCGGGGCCTCCGGGCTGGGGAGGGGCGGGGCCCCCGGGCTGGGGAGGGGCGGGGCCCCGGGCTGGGGAGGGCGGGGCCCCCGGGCTGGGGAGGGCGGGGCCTCACCAGGCTGAGCGCCTGCGCCAGCTGCACCAGGGCCTCCTGCGCCCGCTGCCGCGTGAGCTGCAGTTTGCCCAGCGAGTGCGCGTAGGCCCGCTGGCGCAGCCGCTCCGAGAGGGAGCCCAGGCGCACGAAGTAACTCTGCTCCTGCCGCTGCTCCTGCACCGAAGCGATGTCGAAGCCCTCCAGGGACGTGGCGAGGCGGGCTGCGAGGAGGAAGGCGGGAGAGGCAGCGTGAATTTCAGGCCCGGATGCGGCGGCGCGCGCGTGCAGCTCGGGCTCGTGGCCGGGCGGGTGGGCTTGTTCCCCATGCCCGGGGTCTTCCGTCCCGGGGCTGCCGCTCACGAGCTGGGAAGCCTTGGAGCGGAAGAGTCCCCTGCCTTGCTTTTCCCCATCTGCGAAATGGGTATGATGGGACCCGAACTCCCCAGGATTAAGAGGCCTTGGACTAGCGTGAGGGTCTGCAAACCAAGGCCCTCGCCTGAACACAGCCCTGCACGTCGGTTATCTATTCCTACGGCTGCTTTCAAACTACAGTGGTGGGGCGCCTGGGTGGAAGGGCCCAGTCTCCACTAAGCGCCAGGTACCTCCACGGCTAGCGTCCCCGACCCCATCACAGCGCTCAGCTTATCCAGGGACTGAGGTCCCCCCGAAGAACCGGCCCGTGGGGGGCCAGCACTAAGCGTGAGCTACAGCCAGCACGCCGAAGCCTCAGGACCAACGGAACAAAACAAAACACAAAGGAGCGTAAAACAACTCGGTAACTATTTTTATAGTGATCACGTGTTAAAACGTTAACATTTTGGGGTGCCTGGGTGGCTCAGTCCTTAAGCGTCTGCCTTCGGCTCGGGTCATGGTCCCGGGGTCCTGGGATCAAGCCCCGCATCGGGCTCCCTGCTCAGCTCTCCCTCTCCCACTCCCCCTGCTTGTGTTTCCTCTCTTGCTGTCTCTCTGTCAAATAAATAAAATCTTAAAAACAACAAAAAAATCAAACTACAGTGGTTTGTGGCCTCTTGGCCCCTGGACACTGAAATATTCACTGTCTGCTCCTTTGCAGAAAAAAGCTGATCATTAGTACCCGGCACATATTACATGGCCAATCTTTCACAGGTTCTAGGTGCTTCGTGTGTATGTTCTCTTTAAACCCAACAACTCTATGAGGGAGGCACCATTACCCCGTTTTTACAGATGAGGAAATAGGGACTCGCAGATGAAATGACTTGCCTGAGGTCACGCAACTAGGCAGTGGCAAGTCAGGATTTCAAGCCAGGCCATCTGACACCATGTTCTTAACCATGATACTCCGCGTGGGGAGAAGTCTGAGCCACGTGAGAACCGTCTTAACAGCACATAAGGAAAAGTCAGGACTGTCTAGTCCAGAAAGAGCCCATGACATTACAATAGGGCAGGATGGAAACTGCCTGTCCTGATGATTTTATCCTAGTTTATCTGCTCCTTTTAAATTTTAATGTAGTAGGTATAAGCTTGAGCTTTGTAAATAACCTGATACAGATTGGACTCCAGACCTCCTAACTCACTGGCTTGGTCATGCTCTATAGCAGGGGTCCGCAAACTGCAGCCCCCAGGCCAAATGCCACCTGTCTCTATAAATAAAGTTTTATTGGCACACAGTCACACCCATTCATTTACCTATCGTCTATGCTTCTGTGTTAACAGCAGACTTAACTAGTTGCAACAGAGACTGCCTGACCCAAAAAGTCAAAAATATTTACCATCTGGTTAAGAAAATGTTTGCTATTCCCTACTCTACACGAAAGTGATTTTGCCAGTAAGCCTCAGTTCCCCCTTCTGTATGACCATCCTAGTCAGAGCTGCCTGAATTGTGAAATTTGGACTATCTCGTACTCAGAAAGGCACCCAAATGAACATTTAGTCATTTTTTGTCATCAATTTATAGTAGATGGTACTGTGTCCTGTTTTCAGTAAGTGATAAAGTTACCTTTCTAAAAGAATCTGGAAAAGCTGATTTAAAGAAGTGTATCAAAGAAATACTAGAAGGAACAGGAACATGGGACCAGGGTAACACGGATGTGCCCCTGGTCAGGCAGGAAGAGCCTGGCTGTTCAGATAAGTAAGTGAACTCTCTACTTCAGCCACATATTTCTGCATCTCCTTTGGCCAGTCACTGTTCAGACACAAAAGACAGTGGAAAAGCAAGGAACAAAATCCCACAGGCAGTCACTGACCTGTTGCTCAATCAAGGTAAGCCTTCAATCGGGATTTCAGTTGTTCTTTGAACATTACAAATTCTGGAAGAACATACTCTAACCCAGGGGTTGATAAAACGTTTTCTGAATGCAGCCAGACAGTCAATGTTCTTGTCTTTGCAGGCAGTTATACCGTGCCTAATGCAAAAACATTCACAGACAACATGTGTGCAAATGCATGTGGCTGTGTCCCAATAAACCTTTATTTACAAATGCAAGCAGTGGGCCAGATGTGGCATGGAGGTAGTCAGACACAGTTGGCTAGGGATGAGGATGTCATGGAAGAATCATTTCACGATGACATTTAAAAAAAAAATTAACTACAAACACTTGGGATGCTCAGAGGCAGACAAAATAAAAGCCTGCACTTTGAGAAAAACAGATCTTCCCCATTCTCCCACCAAAGGTGGGTTTGCAGAGCCTGACCCAAACTAGCAACGCTCAGAACTTCTCCATGGCCCTCTGGGAACCCGGGGCTCTGCCCGTGGAAGTGAAAGCAGCTTTGTTATTTAGGCCCGGATGTCTGGCAGAGGTCTGGCATATCTGAGCAAGCCAGCAGGGCCCCGTGGAGTGGGCAGGTGCCCTTGGCAAAGGGGAGAACCGTGAGGAGGGAGGAAAGAGGGCTGTTCTCCTGGGCCAAGCCCCCAAGCACGTCTAGTTCTGCCCACTGCTGCAAAAACTCATACCTTCCCCCACTAGACTCTCCGCAGAACCACAAGCACTGGGGTGCACAGCAATTTCATCCTTACTGGGCGGACACAAAGAACAAATACAGGAGCGGAGCTGGTCAGATGGATCCGTTCTCTGCAGTGGCCTCCCAGCCTAGCTCAGGCGAGACCCACAGCTGGTTCTACCTGGCTTCAGCACCTACCAGGGGCAGGCAGCTCCCTTCCTTCCAGAGGCTTGGGGTTGGGTTTGGGACCCTCAAAGGACAAGTGATATGCCACGCTCAAGCCCCACGCTTCAGGGCTTCAGATCACCAGCCCGCCTGAGACATGGAGTTTCTCCAGAAAGCAAAGGACCACCACTTTCTACAGAGGATTCCCAGAGAGAGTCACAGAGACTCAGAGCCAACTCGAGGGGGGTCTCCAAGCAGCCAAAAGTAGCGGGACAAGGGAAAGGTCAATAAAATAAGTGGGTAAGATTGGACTATGTCGTGTGAATCTATGCACGAACACCTATAACATAAAACCCCACTACTGACAGTGGAGGAGGCTGGCGAACCAGCCCATGATGCCAAAATACATAAGGGAGAGAGCTAGCCACTTGCCCTGCTTTTCCTCCACCAACTGTACCTGAGCTCATCAACGCTGCCACAGAGAACCTTCTCCAAGACAGTTTTCCAGCTAACGGAGAAAGAAGGGATACTTAGAATAGCGATCCCAATCCCAGGCAAAGGAGGAGGCAGAGAATGAGGAGGAGGTGCTCAGCCACCAGGGAACCACACGATTCCCTCTGCATGAAGTTCCAGGAGAAGCAGGGTGTCTCACCCAGGAGGGGACGCGGGGCGGTTTCTGGGGACATCTGTGCTGGTCGCACTGGGGGTGCTCCTGGCATCGAGGGGGTGGGGCCAGGGATGCTGCTCTGCCCCCCACAAAGGATGACCCGGCTCAGAATGCCCACGGTGCTGCCATCGGGAACCCCTGATCTCATCTGTCCTCAGCTTTTTCCAGTTGTCCCAAATGTCTGGCTCCTCGTCCAAACAAACCAACTCTGGCCAAAGTCGGATAGAGCACGGTGTCTAGTTTACACGCAGCTTCATGGGTCCTTGCTGCCGTGGGCACCAGAGTCTGCACTGCGGCGTGGCAGAAGTCACGAGAGCCACGGGTACGAGGACATGACTGGACCACGAACAGGACACTGCTTTGTCTCAACAGCCCCATCCCTGGTTTGTCTGTTTGTCTATTCCTGCCTCCAAGGGGACCGGCCCCCTTAACACCAGCGGGGACCAGCACAGTCCCCTCCACCCTGGTCCCCAGTCCGCCCTCCCCTCGGCGACCACCAGAGGGCGCCCGTGAGCACTCGAGTCAGGTCCTGCCTTCCTCTGCCCACAGCCCTCCAGGACTCCTACCTCTCTGGGGTAAGTCCAAGTCCTCCCCTGGGTCCCCTAGGCCCTGCACGACCTGCCCTGTCCCCCTCCCCATCTCCTCCTCGCTCTCACTCTGCCTTGCTATTCCTCTAACCCACCAGGCAGGTCCTACCCCAGGACCTTTGTTATCAACACTTCTCTCTGTCCTGACATCCATGTAGCTAGCTCGCTTGCTCGCTCCATTCATGGTCATGTCACCTCCTCAGAAACATCTTCCCAATCCTTCCACCTCAAAATCTCTCCTTTAACCTGATTTCCTTATACTTTATACTGTGAATTCCACAAGGGCAGAATTCTGTCCACTGCTGTGTCCCCAGGACTTGGCCACATGGCAGATGCTCAAGGAACATCCAAATGGACAAACGCGTGCCTGGGGGTGGGGATGGCAGAGAAGAGTCTGAACGCCTGCTGAGCGCCAGGACCCGTTCTGGACGTGGGACACAGCAATGACCAAGGCAGAAGAGGCTGCTTCGTGGAACTGATGATGAGTGCCAGAGACAAAAAAGAGCCCAGCCAGGAGGGGGTGGGGGCAGGTTTCAGAACACAGTATGGACAAGGGAGGTGGCAATTTTAGAGGCTTCACTGGGGAGGTGGCATCTGAGCAGAGCTGTAGGTAGAAGGGTGTTTAGGGGACATCCAGAGGATGTCTAGGGGAAGAATGTTCCCAGTAAAGGGAGCAGCTGGTGCAAAGGCCCTGGGGTGGGAGCATGGTCAAGATCAGCAAGGAGTCAGTGTGGCTGGAGTAGAATGAATGAGGGTAAGTGGATAAGTACACGGGGGGCGGGGGGAAGGTTTAGGGGAGGACTTGGGTTTCTACCCTGAGGGAGGTGGGAGCCCCCAAGGCTGTGGGCAGAGGCAGGAACCTGACTCAGGTACTCATGGGAGCCCTCTAGTGGTGACTTCAAGGAGCCAGACCTTGGGGGCCAGGGTGGAGGCTACTGCACTGGTCCAGGTGGGCGTTGACAGGGGCTGATCTGAGGGGAGGTGGCAGGGTTGAGATGGCACTGAGGGGCAGACTTAGGTGGCTGAGAGGGGTGGGAGGTCTGGCGGGGGTTGGGGGGGGTCCCAGGCCCGAGGGCTGCACTCACCCAGCTCAGCATCTGTCATGGGCAGGTGATTGTCTACCCACTCCTCCGACTTGCCCAGCACCGTGTCCACCCCGCTCAGCACCATCTGGCCCACACGGGAGCCCATGACCGACTGGACGCCACTGGTCACCACAGACTTGGTCGCATCCACACCAGTCTGCATGGCACCCCGAGTCACATCAACTGCCTCCGTCACTCGCGTGGCCACTGTGTCCTTGGCGCTGGACACAGCTTCTCGGGCCCCCGACACCTTGGACGAGACGAGCTCCTTGGTGTCGGCCAGAACCTACAACACAAGCCAGCATCAGCATCTTTGTCCTCCCTTTGTACCTGGGGACCCCTACCCCTGCACCCCAGCCTCCGGGAAGCCCAAAAGGAGGAGTTCCAGCTCCTGGATAACCCCGAAGGGTCAACGCAGAGTCTGGCAGTGAAGACCTCGAGCTCTGGAGTCTGGGGTGAATCCTGGATTGCTAGGTCCTAGCTGTGTGGCCTCAGGCAACTCACTCCTCTCTGTGCTTCCATTTCTTTATCCATAGTGTTAAGGGCTGCCGTGTGTTGAACCCTAATCCCCAGGACCTCAGAATGTGATTATTTAGAGATAAGGTCTTAACAGAAGAAATTAGGACACAGAGGGGAGCCCAGGTGATGACAGAGTCTGCAAGCGAAGCAGGGGCCTCCAGAGGAAGCAGCCCTACCAGCCTTCTGGGACTTCTGGCTTCCGGGACTGGGGGACAGGAAGTTCCTGGGTAAGTGGCCCAGCGGACAGATGTGATGAGTTAGACCAGTGCTTGGCTCAAGGGCTCCATCCGTGTGGCAGAAGAAACTTAGATACCCCTGAGAAGTGACCGCCCCATCACGCTCTGAGAATCGTAATCCTGGCTGGAGAGGCCATCCGTGTGCAAAGTCCCTTAGGGCAGTGGTTCTCATCTAGGGTGATTCTGTCCCCAGGGGATGCTGGGCACTATCTGGGGACACGTGTGGTTGTCACACCAGGGGGAGGGCCTGACGTCAAGGGGGCGGGGCCGGGGACTCTGCCCCGTCCCGACGTCAGTGGCTCTGAGAGGAGACCAGGACCAGAACTAAAGCGACGCGGAGGATGCATGCAGGTGTCTAATCATTCTGTCTCCACGAACTCCCAGTAGAACACAGTAACTACCTTCAACTCCCCACGACAAATGGGGGTATGTGCCCAAAACGTCACCGTGCCTGTGGACTTATTCCTAAAGCTTGTATTAAAACAGTAAAAACCGGGCGCCTGGGTGGCTCAGTCGGTTAAGCGGCTGCCTTCGGTCAGGTCATGATCCCAGAGTTCTGGGATCGAGCCCCGCATCGGGCTCCTTGCTCAGCAGAAAGCGTGCTTCTCCCGCTGCCTGCCTGCCACTCCCCCTGCTTATACTCTCTCTCTTTCTCTCTGTGTCAAATAAAGTCTTTAAAAAAAAAAAAAAACAGTAAAAATCAATACTCGGGACCAGCCAGGTGCTGTTCTGAGCCTTCAGGTAATGGACCCGCTTCCGCCCTTTAAACACCTAAGAAAGGGGCGCCTGGGTGGCTCAGTCGTTAAGCGTCTGCCTTTGGCTCAGGTCATGATCCCTGGGTCCTGGGATCGAGCCCTGAATCGGGCTCCCTGCTCAGCAGGAAACCTGCTTCTCCCTCTCCCACTCCCCCTGCTTGTGATCCCTCTCTCGCAGTGTCTCTGTCAAATAAATAAATAAAATCTTTTAAAATACACAAACACCTAAAAGGAAGGAGCGTACCCCATTCCACGCACGAGAAAGTGAGGCCGGGAGGCTAAGCAGCCTGTCCGAGGGCTGTCCGGGTGCCAAGGGCAGAACCTGGATTTTTTTTTTTTTTTTTTTGAGAGAGAGAGGGAATGAGAGACAGAGAGCATGAGAGGGAGGAGGGTCAGAGGGAGAAGCAGATTCCCCGCCAAGTAGGGAGCCCGATGAGGGACTCGATCCCGGGACTCCAGGATCATGACCTGAGCCGAAGGCAGTCGCTTAACCAACTGAGCCACCCAGGCGCCCCAGAACCTGGATTTTAACCTGGTACACTTTGACTCCACCACCTCTAACCTGGGTTAGCAGATAGTTATGGGGCTGCTAACTTTCTCTGGAAAAGGGCCACGTAGTAAATATTTTAGTCTGGCAGACTGACCGTCTCCAAGTCAACCCCTTAACTCTACCCCTTGTAGAGTAAAAGCGGCCCTAGAGGCCGGAAACGCGTGGGTGTGTCCACGTGCAAAGAAAACTATATTTAGCACAGCAGGTGCAGGGCCGGAGCTGCGGACCCCTGGAATGGCTCTGGAATCCCGGAAGAGAAGTGGCCACAGCACATTCTGGGTGTTCTGCATCCGCACCCGAGGTTCTTGAGTCTAAGCCTCTGAGCAGCCCTCTCTGCATAGAGCTCTCCGGAAAGTTCAAAACCACACCACCCCCATCCTCACCCTTCTCAGGTGGCACCCCCTCTGAACACCTAGACCTCTCGTGTCCATGGGAATTCATTTCTTCGGGGTTGGGAAAAGGTGCCCACTGGGCTGGCCCAGCGGACCACACCACGTCTCACAGAACCGGGGACCACTACCTCCTCCTGGGCCGAGCCCGGGGTGGGGGTGAGGTCACAGGAGTCCAGACAGCACTGCGCCTCTGAGCTGGGAGCAGCTCTGTTGGATGACCTTGTAGAGCGTCACCCCGAGCTCATCCCTTCTATAAACAGAAGGAATGTTGGCCTCGTGTGGTGGCAGGACAGGAGAACGCAAGCGCCCGGCCCTAAGGAGGTGGCTCCGTGGGGAAGCTTCTCCAGCCTTCTGTGAATTGGACAGTTTCCACCTTTAACGCCCAGCCTGTTAATGGCCTTTGCTGGGGAGACACGCCTCCCCGGCTGCACTGAGCCCTGCATGAGCAGTGGGGGCCTGCCTCTGGGGGACGTGGTGTATAGCAGTCTCTGGCCGACAGGGGGCGCCCGATAGCGGGGGGGCCTCAGGGCAGAGCCTAGAACTGGAGCAGCGGCGGGCTTGCCCCGCTGCCCCTTCGGGGACCCCTGAGTTCTGGTGAGAGAAACTCGGATACGAAGAGCGTGGCCTCGTGTCCCACGTGGCGAAAGTGGAGATTAAGCATCTACTCTGCGCCAGGCTAGCTGATGGGCGCCAGACAGAGCAACCAAGCAGTCTGTGCCCTCACCCCACTTGGGAAGACAAACACGCAGTTAAAAAGCCCTTCAGGGCGCCTGGGTGGCTCAGATGGTTGGGCGTCTGCCTTCGGCTCGGGTCATGATCCCGGGGTCCTGGGATCGAGCCCCACGTCGGGCTCCTGGCTCGGCGGGGAGCCTGCTTCTCCCTCTCCCTCTCTCCCTGCTCATGGTCTCTCTATCTCTGTGTCTCAAACGAATAAATAAAAAATTAAAAAAAAAAAAAATCCTTTCAGATGGCGTGGAACCTTACAAGCCCATACAACTGGGACACCCACATTCAGAACAGCATGATTCACAAGCCCCAGAAGGTAGAAGCAATCCACTTACAGATGCGAAGATAAATAAACACTGTCCATCCACACACTGGAATATTGGTCAGCCACGGAAAGGAAGGGACCCTGCCACCTGCCACCACGTGGAGGGACCCCGAGGACACTGTGCTCAGTGAGAGGAGCCAGATACAGAAGGACACATCCCGCAGGACCCCACTCCCAGGAGGTCCCCAGAGGAGTCCCGTCCACACAGACAGAGAGGAGAGGGTGCGAGCCGGGGCTGGGGCAGGGGGTGGGGAGTCCGTGCTTCGTGGGGACAGAGTCTCCGTGCGGGGAGATGGAAAGTTCTGGAGACAGAGGGTGGGGGTGGTCTCAGGACAGCATGAGTGTGCTTCATGCCGCAGAGCTGTGCACTTAGAGATGTCGTTAAAGATGACAAATTTTATGTTGTAGAAGAACTAATGTAACTGGTACACGAATGTCCAGCAGTATTTTAACAGCCAAGAAGTGGGAACCAGCAAAATGTCCATCAACAGATGAACGGATACACACAGTGTGTCCCCCACACACGGGCGTGTCACTCGGCTGTGGACGGGGGCCAGGCGCCCACACGCGCTGCCCCAGGGACGGACCCCGAGCCCATGATGCTCAGGGAGGGAGCCAGACACAGAAGGCCACACAGGGTGTGAGTGCACGTGGCTGACACGTCCAGAACAGGCTCACCCACGGACGGGAAGTGGATGAGTGGTAGCCAGGAGTGTCTGGCAGGAAGGAGATTAACAGCTAAGGGATGTGGGGTTTCTCTTGGGGTGATGAAATGTTCTAAAACGGGTGGTGATGGTTATACAACGTGACTATACTTGAACCACTGAGTTGTAGACTTTAAATGAGCTCATTGTGCGGTCTGTGACTCACAGCTCAGGGAAGCCGTCGTGGTGGGTGCCAGAGTGATGCTGGCCACGGGCCACGTGCAGCTCTTCAACTTAAAATTGGTAAACTGAGTTCCTCGGTGACACCAGCCACATTCTAAGGGCTCCATAGCCACGTACAGCTGGTGGTTTCCATACTGGACGGTGCGGACATCGGAGACAGTTCTGGACAGAGCTGAGCTAGAAGGACCTTCTTTAAGAGGGAAGGGAAGGCCTCTGAAGAGGCAGGATTAGGAGAGAGACCTGAAAGTCTGGTTCATGAAGAAGGAAGTGCACATGCAAAGGGCCTGGAGTAGGACTGGGATGGACGTGTTCACTGAATTTGCTTCCCCGGGCCTCCCCTGAATGAAAGTCCCACAACGGCAGGCACTCTGTTTCTACCCGTGTCCCGTCCACACAGGTACTGATGTTCCTCAACACGGACCACAGAGGCTGGCGGGGCTGGAGCAGGCCAGAGGAGGTGGGCAATGAGGGCTGGGGGGCTGTGGGGCCAGATCGGGGCACGCGGGCTGTAAGGACAGCCTTGGCTTCTGCCCCAGGCAAGGTGAGACACACCAGGGGATTTTGGACAGATCTGACTGGTGTTTCGATCACTCCTCCAGGTGCTCAATGGGGAGCAGATTCAAGGTGGGGGTGGGGACAGACCGAAGAGGGTCAGGGAGGAAGCTGTCATGTGGGTCTATTCTAATGGAAGCGGGGGTGGGACCACAGACTCCATCCCCCTGGAGGCCCCCACCCCCACTGAGCCCCCGTCCCCCAGGGGCTCCTGATGTCGGAGCTCAGTTACCTTCTCCGTATGCTGCTGCAGGATGGGCAGGTTCTCCTCCAGCTTGTCCAGCCCCCTGTGGGCGTACTCGCTGGCCGATGCGACTACATGGGCAAGACAGGAATCGTCAGTCCCAGCACGTGCGCACCCCTCGGGGCCTGGAAGGCCGGCCGGTGCTGGTTTGCGGCAACAGGGCCAGGGATGGGGCAGAACCCCTCCCCACACCCCCAGAACAGCCAAGAGGTAGGTCCCGGGCTCTCCGGGGCTTCACTCACTCTGTGGTTCCAGCTTGGAGAGGATGGGCTGGGCCCCACTGACAGCAGCCGCGGTGAGAGTCTTCACGCCCTTCTCGGCCGCGTCGCAGACGGTCTTGACGTGGGGGTGGCTCTCCTTGGTGGAGGTGTAGGCCGCCGACACCATGTCGCAGGTGGAGCTGATGAGGGGCATGCTGGCCACGCGGTCCACCACGCTCGGCTATGGGGACAAGCAGCTCAGCGGGCTGGTCCTGGGCCTCGGGTGCCCTGCAAGGTCGATTTCACTCCCAGCCAAGCAACGGCTCAGCCCATGCTTGCCTTGCATCCAAGTGGTTGCACAAGCCCATGGCACCTCCTCCACCTTAGCCCTGCCGCTCATCTGTTTGCACGTGCACTTGACACCCACTGCGGGCCGGGCAGACAAGAGCCCCACTCTCACGGAGCTTCGCGTCTACCACTGGGCCCCACAACTACGGCCCATGGGGCCCACACCTATTTTCTGATTCTTGTCTGGTTTTTCCTAACAGCTGAATCGAGAAGTTCACACATCAGTAATGCCACCATCTTACAACACACGATTCCAAGGTCTTTAGTCTTTTCGTTAGATTGTGCAACAGTCGTGGCTAATTCTAGGACTTAGCCATCACTCCAAGAAAAAAAAAAGTCACTCCTCATTCTCCCCTCCCCCAGCCCCCACGAGCCCCCTCCCCGTCCGTGGATGAGTCTGTTCTGGACGTGTCACCCACGTGGACTCACACCCCGTGTGGCTGTGTGTGTCTGGTTCCCTGAGTATCGTAGGCTCAGGGTCCGTCCCTGGGGCAGCATGTGTGTTTAATTTTTTTAATTGTGGTAAAATACACATAAAACTGGGTGCCTGGGTGGCTCAGTTGTTAGGTGTCTGCCTTTGGCTCAGGTCATGATCCCAGGGTCCTGGGATCAAGTCCCACATCGGGCTCCCTGCTCAGTGGAGAGTCTGCTTCTCTCTCTGCCTCTCCCCCTGCTCACGCTTGTTCTCTCTCAAAAATAAAATCTTTATAAAAAAAGACACATAAAACTTACCATCTTAACCATTTCAAGTGCACAGCTCAGCGGCATGAAGCACACTCACACTGTCCTGCAACCACCCCCATCATCCATCTCCAGAACTTTCCATCTCCCCAAACGGGGACTCCCCACCCCCCACCCCAGCCCCGGCTCCCACTCTCTCCTGTCTGTCTCTGTGGACGGGACTCCTCTGGGGACCTCCTGGGAGTGGATTCATACAGTATTTGTCCTTCTGAGTCTGCTCATTTCACTAGGGATCGCATCCTCAAGGTCCAACCACGTTGTGGCAGGGCTCGATGCTTTATTCCTTTACGTGGTTAATACTCCATTGCTCGCTGGTTTTGTAAATGAAGTTTTATTGTTACACAGCCACCCCCATTCATTTACCCTCTAAGAGCAGAACAGTCATCGAGAGAGCCCTTCTGAGGCTCAGTTTCCCCACCCATCACATGGGGAGTCATTCCTGTCCAGTAGGAGTCACAAAGATCACTCGTGTGAAGGTGGCAGCAAGACGACTCAACTCACAGGGGCTGTGTGGAGAACTTGTGTGTGGACTCACTCAATCGCCAGTCCCGGGAGGTGGGGAGTGTTCATCCACTTTATGGAAGAGTTAACTGAGGTATGGAGAGAGTAAGTCACCTGAAGGCAGGTGGATCTGCTAGTGGCAAAGCTGGGCTTCAGGCTCAGGCCATCTGCCTCCAGGGATTACCCCGAGGCCTCTTGAGGAGTTCATCCCAAGTCTCCCCTGCAATCCAGCAACTCCGCTTTTAGGAATTTAACCCGGGACAGAAACACACGTCCACACAGGAGGCAAAGTGAATGTTCATGGCAGCCTCATTCTGAATGTCCAAGAAGTGGAAACAGCCCAGATGTCCACTGCTTGGTGAGAGGATTAAAGAAAATGTGGTAGGGCGCCTGGGTGGCTCAGTCGGTTAAGCGACTGCCTTCGGCTCAGGTCATGATCCTGGAGTCCCGGGATCGAGTCCCGCATCGGGCTCCCTGCTCGGCGGGGAGCCTGCTTCTCCCTCTGACCCTCCCCCCTCTCATGTGCTCTCTCATTCTCTCTCTCAGATAAATAAAAATAAAATCTTTAAAAAAAAAAAAAAAAGAAAATGTGGTATAAAGTATGTTTTTAAAAATTCGTAGCCTCGGGCGCCTGGGTGGCTCAGATGGTTAAGCGTCTGCCTTCGGCTCAGGTCATGATCTCGGGGTCCTGGGATCGAGTCCCGCATCGGGCTCCCTGCGCCTTGGGAGCCTGTTTCTCCCTCTGCCTTTCTCTCTCGCTCTGTCTCTCATGAATTAAAAAAAAAAAAAAAATCTTAAAAAAAAATTCGTAGCCACAGGGCATCAAGATGGGCTCACTCAGTAGAGCATGTGACTCTTGATCTCGGGGTCCTAAGTTCGAACCCCACGTTGGGCACAGAGTTTACTTAAAAAAGAAAAAAAATTACAGCCTCCAAATGGTCAATAGATACATGGAAGATGCTCAGCATCACAGATCAGTAGGGAAATATGCCAACACAACAACGAGATACCACCTAACACCCGTGAGGATGGCTACTATCAAAACGAAACAAATTAACAAATGATGGTGAGGATGGGGAGAAGTTGGAACTCTTGGGCCTTGTGGGAGGGAACGTTGAGAGGGCACAGCCACTGTGGGAAACAGTGTGGTGAATTAGAAAGAGTTACAAATAGAAATTACCCTATGAGCCCCCAATTTCACTTCTGCGTATATAGACAAAAGGATTGAAAACAGGGTGCCTGGGTGGCTCAGCTGATGCTCTCAGGGTCCTGGGATCGAGTCCCGCATCGGGCTCCCTGCTCAGCGGGGAGCCTGCTTCTCCCTCTCCCTCTGCTGCTCCCCCTGCTTGTGCTCTCTCGCTCGCTCTGTCAAATAAATAAATAAAAACTTAAAAAAAAAAAAGAGATGAAAACAGAATCTCTAAGAGATCCTTGGACACTCATGTTCAAAGCAGCATTATTCACAATGGCCAAATGGTGGAAACAGCCCGAATATCAGTCGATGGATAAACGGATGAACACAGTGGGGTCCATCCAGATAATGGAATACTAGCCGGCCTTACAAAGGACATCCTGACACCTGCCTCGATGTGGGTGGACCTTGAGGACAGTGGGCTCAGTAACAGAAGCCAGGCCCAAAGAGACAAATCCTGTAGGATCTCATTTATGAGGGACCTAATGTGAAAGGTTCTACTTTCACAAAAATGATTTTATGTTTCTACTTACATGAAACGTCCAGGAGAGGTAAATTCATAGAGAAAGAACATTAGTGGGTGCCAGGGACTGGAGGGAGGAGGGAATGAGACTAAATGGTAATGGAGATGGGGTTCCCATCTGGGGTGATGAAAAGCTTCTGGAATTCGATGGTGGTGGTGGTGCTCATACATCATGAATGTACTGAATGCCACTGAACTGAACACTGAAAATAGTATATATATATATTTTTAAAGATTTTACTTTTCAACAGAAAGAGACACAGCAAGAGAGGGAACACAAGCAGGGGGAGTGGGAGAGGGGGAAGCAGGCTTCCCACTGAGCAGGGAGCCCGATGTGGGGCTCGAACCCAGGACCCTGGGATCATGACCTGAGCCGAAGGCAGACGCTTAACAACTGAGCCACCCAGGTGCCCCAAAAATCATACTTATTTTTGTTATGTGTTATTTTACCATAATTTTAAGAAAGGAATGAAGCACCGACACCCACTACAAAGTGGATAAACCCCCCAAAATCGTGATGCTCAGTGAGAGAAGCCAGACACAAACGGGTCTCAGGTGGTTAGGACTCCATTCGAAATGTCCAGAACAGGCAAATCCACAGAGACAGACAGCCGATGAGCAGTTGCTGGGGGGGAGTTGGGGGGGGACGAGGAATGAGGAAGGAGTACTAATGGGGCGGGGTCTCTCTGGGGGGATGAAACATGTCCTAACCCTGTATGGCGTTGATGGCTGCAGAACTTGGTTGTTGACTAAAAACCACTCGGCAGCATCCTTCCCAAGGGTTCATCTTAACGTATGCAAATGATATGTTAATAAAGTTGCTTATGAACTGTATATAGTTGTTACTGCAGCGAAGTTGTGAAGGGAGAGAGGAAATAGGGGTTGACTTCCTAGGATGACCCTCCAAGCACCTGCAGACAGGATAGCGGTGGGGGAGGGGGGAGGCAGGCGGTTTCAGAGAGGACCCCGGATCTCCCCAGAGCCTCCAGGGATTCCCAGTTCTGCCCCCACCCCCACCTGTCCGGGGTCTGCGTGAGGGCTCTCCATCAGCTGCAGAAAGAGATCGGTTGCCCCCCCCAAAGTGTGGGAAGCCTCACCCCACAGGTCCCAGCCCTCCCTCACCTGCTGGACCGGTTCTTCTGCTGTTGCCTGGCTGCTGGCAGTGGCTTCTGTCCCGTTGGTAGACATGCTTCTTTGAGCAGGCACTGTGGTGGACAGACGGGCTAGTCAGGGTACAGCGTGCCCTGTCCCTCCCTCCAGGAGGAAGCGCACGTTCACAGCTGTCGTCCGACCCCTCACCCTGTTTCTTAGAGCCCTGCCTCTCAATTATTCACAAGCACCTGTGGGCCCATGCAGTGGCCGGAGCTGATTCAGCAGGACCAGGTGAGGCGGGCAGTCTGCATCCCTAACCAGCCCTCAGGTGCTGCTGACGCGGCGGGTATCAGGGCCGCACCTCTAGGGCCAACCCCACGGGCTCCACTTGGCCAACACTTCGGGGAGACACCTGCAGACACCTCTGCGGACAGCCATTTGCCAGTGGCTGCTTTTAAGAGTCATCAGCCCTGGGACCCGGGAATCTTTTTTTTTTTTTAAAGATTTTATTTATTTATTTGACACAGAGAGACACAGCGAGAGAGGGAACACAAGCAGGGGGAGTGGGAGAGGGAGAAGCAGGCTTCCCGCTGAGCCAGGAGCCCGACATGGGGCTCAATCCCAGGACCTGGGATCATGACCTGAGCCGAAGGCAGACGCTTAACGACTGAGCCACCCAGACGCCCCCAGGACCCGGGAATCTTGAGGGGATGGTCCCACACCTGTATTTCCACGTGGGCGGAGGTGTGTGCCTGTGTCGGCCACACGAAGAGCGTGGAAACACCCCGGTTCCCCAGCAGGAGGGCCCCAGAGAAAACAAGGACCCAGCCCAGGGCAGTGGCCACAGGGTAGAGACCTACGCGTCACTGGCTGGACCAGGCTACTCCGAGACGAATAGTGTGCACGGGCTGAAAAATCTGTGCTTCGTTTGCACAGGGTCTTTAGACACAGGAAACTGTTAACAGTGACCACCTTTCAGGGAAGATCAGGTAGACGGGGCAGGCCTCTGACTTTTGAGCCAAATAGATAATATTACCAGTTCAAAAAAAAAAAAAAGGTTAAGCATTAAAAACAAAACACAGGCACCTGGGTGGCTCAGTTGGTTAAGCGACTGCCTTCGGCTCAGGTCATGATCCTGGAGTCCCGGGATCGAGTCCCGCATCGGGCTCCCTGCTCGGCGGGGAGTCTGCTTCTCCCTCTGACCCTCCTCCCTCTCGTGCTCTCTGTCTCTCATTCTCTCTGTCTCAAATAAATTAAAAAAAAAAAAAATCTTTAAAAAAAAAAAAAACACCCCAGGGCGCCTGGGTGGCTCAGTCGTTAGCGTCTGCCTTCGGCTCAGGTCATGATCCCGGGGTCCTGGGATTGAGTCCCGCATCGGGCTCCCTGCTCTGCGGGAAGCCTGCTTTTCCCTCTCCCACTCCCCCGCTTGTGTTCCCTCTCTCGCTGTGTCTCTCTCTGTCAAATAAATAAATAAATTTTTAAAAAAACAAAAACAAAAAAAAACCAAACCACCCACAAACCACGTCAGAGAGACCATGCCGGGCCTTACCGCAGACCAATCAAGTCAGACTCAGGAGGGAGGGCAGGGCAAGGGAGGCTCCCAGGTGAGGCTCAGGCCCACGTTCATAAGGTACAATGGGAGCCACCAGAGGTGCGCTCCGTTTTCCTGGCCAGGTGGGAGGAGGTGGGTAAACGGTCATCAGACTAGACTGCAGGAGCCCCAGCTCCGCCCACGCCGTACCGTGTTGGGCAAAGAGCCACCTCTTCCCTGGCCTCAGTCCTCTCACCTGTACAAAGGAGTTAAAGGTAGAACCTGCCCTCAGGGCCGGTTCCCCTGGTAATTCTGGGGTGAGCCTGTTGTGAACCCCTGACCTGGATTCTGAACATTTCCTTCTAGAGGAAGGGGGCCCCGCCCCCCAAGCAGAGCCCAGCAAAGTGCTAGAGTCCAAAGCGGCTCTAATCCCAGCTTTGCAACTCACTAGCAGTGGGAGCTTAGGAAAACAGCACCCTCTCTCTGAGCCTTGCTTGCCCCATCTGTAAAATGGGGATAACCATTCCCAGCTCCGAGTCCCTACAGATTGGCAGAGCGACATGGCGCGCTGAGCTCAGTGCCTCGCACATAGTAGGTGTTCAATAAACAGAACCATTTCACACAAGGGTGAAGCCAGCCAGGAATGTGCTTCTGCTTGGTACTAAGGTCCCCAAACTGGGAAGTGGAGGGAGGAGGCACGGCCCGGCCCTGGTGATCATCAGGAGTCAGTTATTCCCCTCACCCTCCCTGGAGCCTGAGCTCACCTGGGCATCTTGGAGGCCCATTCTCCCAGTCCCTTTGCCCATCAAGCCCTCCTAGAGCGGGTTTAACCAAGGGCTGCCACTGCAGATGTCAGGACCCCACTGAAGTCCTTGGGGTCTGCAAGCTGTAGCGGCCAGAACGAGAGCTAAATGGAACCGGCTGCAGACGTCCAGCTGCACCCAGGGCACGCTAAGATACAACTTCCAAAGTTCCCAGAGACCGAGGTCCCAGGCCTGGCAGTTCCGGCACGATTCTGACAAAGGTCCCCAGCACTCAGATAAGGGGCAGGCCTTCCCAGCCGCCTTGAGCAATCCACTGGCCACACCCGCCTAAAGGAAGAGGGCGGGGTCTCCCCGCGAAATCGCGGCAGTCAGCTGGGGGACCAGAAACTCGGGCGGGGGAGGAGCTAAGCCCCCGGGCGGCAAACCCATTTGCCGAGGGGGAGGGGGGGTCCTTGCTAGGCAGAAAGCCCCCTGATTGGGCGCTCTGAGGACCCAGGGAGGGTCGATTTCCTGTGCAGGATAGGCTGCGGCTCGCCTCCAAACTGCGTTTGCAAAGCAAGCACACTTTTAGCAAGGGGGGGATTTACCCCCCTCTTGATATTGCCACTTATGGGCTCTTTCACGCCCCCCCCCCCAACGAATGTCTCAGGAATTGGAAAAGGAGAGAGTTTGAAAGTTTGACTCTGCTCCAGGGGTTTTTTTGAGGGGGCGGAGGGGGAAGACAGGAAAGCTCAGCCCAAGCTGGAGACCCTTCCCCAGGCCGCAGAGACCACAAGAGCCCCCAGGAAGGTTCTCCTCGCTTCCTCCTGCCCTGGGACGCCCCGGGACTCGGCGGACCCCGCCCCCCACCTCAATCGGGCCCTCTCGTCTCACCGCGGTCAGCGGGACGTGCAGGACTCGACGGCCAGCTCCGAAACCGTCTTGGGCCGGCCCTGGGGAGGCTTTTATAGTCACGGGGCGGGCGCTCGGGAATGACGGACCGGAGGACCAATCGTATCGGGAGGCTGGCCGCCGCCGGGCCACGCCCCCGCTCGGTCCGGGACGTTAGAGCCGCAAGTGAAGTCCGGGAAGGGCCAGACTTTTGCGGGCGGCGCGTGCGTCGGGGGACCCCTGTAAGACGCCTGAGCCAGCCAAGGGCGCCCCCTCCCGACCTAGGGATCCTATGAACTCGGCCCAGGGAGGTGCTCTCCGAGTTCTGGGGTCCACGGGTCCCCCTTTTCTCCAGGGGCGGTGAGAACTCAGAGGTCGTTGCCTGTAAGATCGTGGCATGTAAGAAACATTATTGTTTTCTGAGCCCCCAGCGCGTCAGGAGCCGCGCCCCAACCCTGGGCGGGAAGGTTATGCAGCCAAGCTCGACCCAGCAGTATGAGCAGCCTTCACCACAGCGGTGAACAGATAGGGAGTGCTTTCCTCCCACCCTGACCCGCATGGCACCATTCAATCCTCCCAAAACTGTTCTTTTATCATCCCCATTTTACAGATGAGAACATTGAGGCCCAGAGACGGTCGGCCTAGGGCAGTGCGGGGATCAACTCTGGATCTAGGACTCCTGGATCAACCCCTTCCTGAAGCAGCACCACTTGGATTACCCCTCCCCCCATCCTTTATCCTCTTGGTCTATAAAACAAAGTCTCAAACTCAGATGGCCCCAGGGGCCAAAAGGAAGTAACTGCCTCCTCCAAAGTGTTGGCGGCATGGCAGAGTGTTGCTCTGTGGAAGACCCACCCAGAGATTCCCATATCCATGGGGATTCCAGAGTAAAGAAAGTGTCCTGCCTTTTAGAAAACCGTTGGGCCAAATAAAGCCCAACCGGGGCCATATTCAGCTCAGGAGCCACCAATGTGCCACTTCTGCTAAATTATGTGGGGTGGGGTGGGGCAGGGCGGGGCCTCTGGAACCTCTGGAAAGAACATGGAAGAAAAGCTGGTGTCTGTGACTAAGTGCATTTTTTGGACAGTGGCTACATTGCACCATGCAGCAGAGCTTCCTGAGATGCTGGGGATGCTCTAGAATTCTGCGCCATTTAGTATGGTGGCCACTGGCACCGTGGGGCTTTTGCACATCAAGAAACTGAATATTTACATCTAAGTAACCACATGCAGCTACTCAGATTCTCAAGTGAGTCTGAGGCGCCAAAAGGATTAAAGCAATCAGCTGTAACAGTTAAAAAATTTCACATTTGCAGGGGTGTCTGGGTGGCTCAGTCGTTAAGCGTCTGCCTTCGGCTCAGGTCATGATCCCAGGGTCCTGGGATCGAGCCCCGCATCGGGCTCCCTGCCCCGCGGGAAGCCTGCTTCTGCCTCTCCCACTCCCCCTGCTTGTGTTCCCTCTCTCGCTGTGTCTCTGTCAAATAAATAAATCTTTTTAAAAAAAGACTTCACATTTGCTGCTGGCCTTTTTTCCTACTCATGCATTCATTTTCCTACTCACTCATTCAGCAATTTTTACTGAGCTGCTGTGCTGGGAACACAGCAGTGAGTAAAACAGATCCCAGCCTTGTGGTGCTCACTGTCAGGGGCAGAGACAGACAATAAACAAGAGAAAGGAGTGAAACGCATAATGCGTCAGGTTACTGAGAAAAGCAAAGGACTAGGATGGAGAATCGGGGTGTGATTTTTTTTGTGGCACACCCACAAAAAATGGAGTGGTCAAGGGAGGCCTCCCAGATTGGCATATGAAAGCAAAAGTGAGGGAGGAGAGGAGAGAGCCACGTAGAGATCTGGGGAAACAGCACATTCAAAGGCCCAGAGGCAGACCATGCTTGGTAAGTTGGAGATGCAGCCAGGAAGTTGATGTGGCTGGAGTGGAGTGAGTTATTGGATGTATAGAGCTCAGAGAGGTTAAGTGAGTTGTCCAAGGTCACACAACTCCAAAGTCACTGGGAGAAATGTCTGGTAGCCTTGAGCTTCTGAGTGGCCTTCAGTGCTGGGATGTGGCCAAAATATTCCTGGTAAAGGAGATGTAACTCAATTCTGATTTGCAAAATAAAGTCCTGGTGATTTTGCCCCACATCTTTTCAACAAAAGAAGAACAGCTATGCTCACCACCTTTCCTAGTATGGCACTCAACCCCCACCTCCAGTTCCCTGTGAGTGCAATCAAGGGCGTTTGCCATTGCACATGTGCACATGGTGGGAGAGGGGAAAGAAAGGGCATTGCCCCACCGGCCCTTAGCACTTCCTTTCCAGCACCACTGCCGCCGCCTCCTGGAAGTCTTCCTGCCTACCTCCTCAGGCTCTCCCAAGGTGAAGGCTGCCAGACTAAATAGAGGATGCCCACTTCAATTTGAATTTCAGATCAACAAGGAATACACTTGGGGGTTATAAGTATATCCCATGTGATATCTGGGATATACTTACATTCAAAAATTATTCCTTACTGACCTGAAATTCAAATTGAGCTGGGGATCCTTTTAATTTTTTTGGTTTTGTTTTTGTTTTTGCTAACTCTGACAACTCTACCTCCAAACTCAGATCCCTTTTTCTGCCCCAGCTGTGTCCCCTGGAAAACTGTCACCTCCCAGCCTTGGTGGGCTCCTTGAGGGCAACACCTGTCCAGGATTCCCAGCGTGGCATGTAAGAAACATAGTTTTCTGAGCTATTTTATTACATTATTCAGAGGCCTCATTTTTATTCTCCCCATTTTCTGGATGAGGAAGCCGAGGATTACAGAGGTGATTAACGTGCCCCAGGTCGCACAGCCAGAAATAGACAGCCTGAGTTTGTTTGAGATCTCAATGTACTCTCCTCCTCCTCACCCTGCCTCTTCTCCCTCTCTCCTCCTTCCCCCTCCATCCCCCCTCCTCCTCCCCACCTCCCTTTTCTCTTCCTCCTCTCTTTCCTCCTCCTCCATTCCACACTTTCCAGTGGAAGGGCTCTGAAAATTCCCCAGTTTTTTCCCACTGAGCCTAGGGGAATGAGAGACAGACCAGCATTGTGCCACAAGGTGGCGTGCTGTCCCAGATTGGTCTCCTGACCCAGGTGTCCACACGCCCCCCATCTACCCTCTGACCCTTACGTCCTTCCAACCATCCATCCATTTATCAAGTATCTCCTAATATTGTGAGCCAGGCCAGGCCTGGCCATGAGGACCCAGTGATTTACTGGATATGCAGTCATTCAACAAACAATTATTAAGCACCTGCTGTCTACCAGACCCATGATGGGCAGCCCTGAGGATTCAGCCTCCACCTCCACCTTCAAGGCACTCATAATCCAATGGGGAGACATGCATGGGACCAGCAGGACTGCCTTAAGACTTTCACAGCCCTGGGGTGCCTGGGTGGCTCAGTCAGTTAAGCGGCTGCCTTGGGCTCAGGCTCATGTCATGATCCCAGGGTCCTGGGATCGAGCCCCATGCTGGGCTCCCAGCTCAATGGGGAGTCTGCTTCTCCCTCTGCCCCTCCCGTCCCCTGCTTGTGTTCTCTCACTTACTTGCTCTCTCTCAAATAAATAAATAAAATCTTAAAAAAAAAAAAAAAAAAGACTTTTACAGCCCTAAGGCACTTTTGCCATGGTGGGTCCCTCCCTCCATGAAAAAATACTGCAAATGATCTTTTACGACTGCATTGGTATTATATTCAATATTTTCTTCTGATTTTAAGATAAATTACAAACAAACCATTTCCATCGGCCCTTAGAAGTGTCATGGGCCCTGGGTCTCCTGTGTCTGACACATGAGTTGGCTCTGGTGACCAAGTGCATAAAATATAGGTGATCGGGACTGTGATGGGGGCTACAAGTACACGGGAGTACCCAGAGGAGAGCTGGCCCCAGGTTGTGGCTGGTGCTGGGAAGCCTCCAGGAGGAAATAATGTCTAAGCTGAGGCCTGAGAGAGGAATCAGCGTCAGGCGGGTGAAGGTACTGAAGAGGTATTCCGAGCAGGGGGAAACAGAGTGCGCTCCTACACAGTGAGGCTAGAAGGTAGAATGTGGCGAGGGCAGGGTGTCAGGGAAGAGAAACGAGATCGACAGTTGGGCAAGGGCCAGGCTGTCAAGAGCCCTGAGGACATTAGGGAGCCACAGAAGGTTCTGAAGCACGGTCAACAAGGGCAGTTTGGAGCATTGAAAAGATGTCTTGGGCTGCCCTATGGATAAAGGAAATCAGGAAGAAGAAAATGAGCCCACTTGCCTCAGGTTAAGTCTTAAAGTAAAGGTGGAAGTCATAGAAAGATGGAAGAAGGGGGGTGCAGGAGGACATTCCAAGAACCATGATGAATTATTCATTCAGGAAGTATTTATTAAACACCTCTGGTGTGATCTGCTGAATACAGCAGTGAAACAGAGAAAAAGGCTCTCTGGAGGAGGTGTACTCCAGGCAACAGGGATAGCCTGTGCAAAGGCCCTGGGGCAGCACTGGCCTGGTGTGTTGGAAGAACAGTGAAGGCCCTAGCGGCCAGAGCAGAGCGATCCAAGGGGAGAGAGGGAGGGGACAAGGCGGGTGGGCTAGGAGAGGACTTGGGCTTGTACCCCAAGGGAGGTGGGTAGCCTGAAGGGCTGTGGGCAGAGGAGGGGGGCGTCTGACTCAGGTGGGGGCGATGGTCTGTACCGAGGGTCCTGAAAGATCAGGAAGCTTCTGGAAGAGGGGGCTGGGAACTGGGAGCAGAGGGTCTTGGAACCCTGCTGGGGAAGGGCTTGAAATGTCCAGCAGAGGCTTTGGGCCTTTATTGTTGGAGCAGTGGGGAGCCACTGTTGGATTCCAAGCAGGGAGGCCTTGTTTAGGTCTCTGGGGAAGGGGGGTGGAGTCTTCAAGATGCAGAGAAAGGCAGGGGTGAGGGCAGGGCAGGGGGGAGCTGATGGCCCATGACCAGGCCCGCAGGAGGTGGGGGTAGATTGGGAGAGACTCCAGCAGGGAGTGGGCAGGCCACGCTTCAGAAGGCGAGGCTGACTAGGGCCTCTGGTGAGGGACCCAGGGAGGTGGAGGACACCTGGGCCATCCCCAGGGCTAGGACCAGCAGAGGAACAAGTGTGGGAGGACATTGATGGGCTTAGTTTTGCCTCTTTGAGAGCCCACGGGCTAGGGTTGCGAATTTACCAAATAAAACTACAGGATGCCCAGTTAAATGTGAATTCCAGAGACACAATGAACCGTTGTTAGCATAAGTATGTCCCAAATATCGTAAGGGACATACTTATGCTAAGAAATCTTTGTTTAACTGTCTGTTTACCTGATGCAGCTCCGGCCAGTGGCTGGACAATCTGACCAACGGTGGCCCGATGGCCAGAAGGCAAGGTTTTGTCTCCTTGGGCCGGCTCGCGGCTCGCGGCGGGGAATCGGGGGTCTTTTAACATGCAGGCCCTGGCCTGTCCCCGCCCCCCCACCCCCGCCCTCGTGGCGCCAGCTACCCCCTGTCCCCTGCACGGAGGCACGGGCTTGGGGGAGGGGAGCTGCTCCGAGTCCCACTGTCTGGCCCCTGGGCCAGCCCCTCCCAGGCCAGGCAGGTCCCCCTGGGCATCCCTCGCCCCAGAATGCCAGATCAGGGGTCCCGGCAGCCAGAAGGGCTCCACGTGGCCTTTGTCCCCCCAGTGCTGGTGGCCCGTCCCCAGCTCAGAGCCAGAAGTCTGAGGCCCCGTGGCCTTTCTGTGAAGTCCTGCAGGCAGAGCGGGCTAACTTCCTCGTCAGAATGTACCGGAAGGACAGAGGCCTAGGGGGCAGATGACCAGGAACTAGATCCCTCAGTGCCACGGCCACCCCCTGACCGCTCCCACACTGGGTGGCCTTGTCTGGGGTGGCCAGGGCACGGCCCTCCAAGCGTCAGCTGCCAGGATGTACCAGTCACGCTGGCGGGGAGAGAACATGCCGTTCTTGGCTCCCCTGGCTGCCCCTTTGTTCACAGGCATAGGTGGGGGGCTGTTGTCCTGGCAACCAGCCCCTTCCTCCTCGAACGATCCCTTGAGGTGAGGATTGAAGGCACCTTGGGTCTGGGGGTTCTGGCCGAGACGGTGCCCCCTGCCCCCCAGCGGGGGCAAAGGAGCACCCTCCCCCCAGCCGGCCCTGGCTGCTCAGGGCTCAAGTGTCCTGGCCCATGGGGGAGGCCAGGTCACCCCCTTGGGATTGGAATGCCGGAGGTGGCAGCAGTGAGGGGGGAGGACATTCCCAGTGGGGCAGGCGCCGTGGTGGCAGCTGCTGGGCCCCCGCCTGTCCTGTGTCCCCTGAGTTGGAGGCTGCAGCTGGTGCGGTGGCTTTGGTTCCTGGGGGGAGGTGTTATTTTGGGGGTAGGGGTGCGGGAACGTGAGAGGCGCCTCCCCCCAGGGCAGGAAGTGGGGTGGTCCCAGCTGTGTTCTCCCGTTGGCCCACCTGTCCCAGTGGGCACCACAGGCCACCGCACAGGAAGTGTTCCCAACGCCCCGCCTGTGTGGCCTCCTGAATCTGGGGCCCAGAGGGGAGGCAGCCAGTGGGGAGGGTGCAGGGGCCCGCTACTGTGAGTCAGAATCTTCCAGAAGCCCCCAGGTGCGTTAACAGCAGTGCCTGTGGAGTAAGTGCTTATGCATTTATAGACTGTTTAATCCAGCATCTTGGGGAAGGAGGGACTAATGATGAATTTGAGTTTTACAGGTGGGGATACTGAGGCTCAGAGACGCAAGTGACTTGCCCGAGGTCACACAGCATGTAAGTAGCAGAGCTGGGAATCTCATTAGCATTTACTATCAGATACACTAACTCAACATAGACCTCCAACCCTATAATGTGGACAGGGGCTACCACCTGGGTTCAGTTCTGCTCCCAGAACCCTCAGAGATTCTGTCTCCACTGGGGTGTCTGGAGACATTTTTGGTTGTTCCGACCAGGGGTACTCCTGGCACGGAGTAGGTGGGGCCAGGGAAGCTACTCAGCCACCCATCCCCACAGTGCCTGGGACACCCCCACATAGAGTGACCCAGCCCCACGTGTAGAGTTGTGCCAAGGTGAATAATAGTAATTAACATTTCATAACAATACCAGCTATTATTATTAATCACATTATTTTAAGTATAATAATTATTTACCGGTTTTACGGATGAGAAAACTGAGGTCCAGAGAGCCTGTATTTTGGACCCCCAGCCCTTCTCAGGTACATGAATCCTGGCTGCTTCCATAACACCCTGTCAGCTTTGCAAGAAGGAGACCCGGTGCCAAGAGGGGATATAATGAAGACTCAAACCCACAACCCCAAAGACAGGCTCAGACCGCCCTGGGTCCCCATCTCAGCTTGGCCACGCACTGGGGGCCCAGGCTGGCCATGTCACCTGCCTCAGCTCTGTGAACCTGAGATGGGTCCCTCCCTCCTTAGCTGAAGCAGTAAAAATAAGAGTCTCCATGGTGCTCAGAAAAGCACTACCGAGGGTGGTTAGGGGATCTCATCCTGGCTTTGCGAGCCTGGGCACCTCCTGCACTTCTCTGAGCCTCTGTTGGCTCGTCTGTGAAATGGGGCATTCATGTCCTAACTCACAGAGGATGGAGAGGATTAAATGAAGCCGTCCACATCTTAGCTTGGTGCCTGGGGCACAGTGAGCACGATATAAGGCTTGGATATTGCTATGATTAAAAACATTTTAATGGTGGTAAAATACACATACATAAGCTTACCTTAATTTATCTTAGCCATTTTTAAGTGCACAGCTCAGTGGCGTTAAGTGCATTCACATGGTTGCGCACCCATCCCCACCATCCCTCTCCAGAACATTCTCATCTTGCAAAACTGAGACTCGGGCCCATGAAACACTGACTCCCCATCCCCTGACCCAGCCCTGGTGCCCACCACCTACTCTCTGTCTCTGTGGATGGGACGCCTCTAAGGACTTCCTAGAGGTAGAAGTAGACAGGAATGTTCCGTTTGAGATTGGCCTACCTCAGTTACCGTAACATTCTCGAGGTTCATTTATGTTGTAGTGTGTATCAGGATTTCCTTCCTTTCTAAGGCTGAGTAATATTCCGTTATTGTGGATGGACCACATTTGTTTATCAGCTCATCCATCTGTGGACACTCAAGCTGTGGGACCAGCATGGTGATAATGGAAAGAGTAAGAGTCTAGAAGGATATTAAAGGTGGATCCAATGTGAGAGCAGAGCCACCTGGGAGGCCGCTGCCGTGATCATCCAGGTAAGCATTGATGGTGGCCTGGATTCAGGTGGTGGCAGGGGAGATGGAGAGAAGTGGACAGGTTAAGCAGTTACTTAGGAAGTAAAACAGGACTTGGGAGAATAAAAGGCTGAGGTGGGGTCTTCATAGACATGGGGAGCTGAAGACAGAACAGATGGGGTAGGGGTGGGGAGAAGACGAGATGACAGGTTTTGTGTGGCTGCATTGAGTCCATGTCCCTGAAATGTCCAAAGGCCTCCATAAATGTAGCTACTTGTATGATAAGAGTAGACTAGGGGCTCTCAACTGAGGGTGATTCTGCCCGCCCAAGGGATTCTTGGCAGCGTCTGGAGAAATTTCTGTTGTCACAACTTGGGGGATGCTACTGGCATCTAGTGGGTGAAAGCAGGAGATGCTGTTCAACATCCTACAATGTGCAGGATCGTCCCCATAAAAGAAACATCTGACCCCAAATGTCAATGTGCAGAGCTGGAGGAATCCTAGGTAGACCAAGGGCTGAAAGAAGCAATTGTCAATTTCAGCAGCTGTTGTTTATTCAATAAAGTTTTATTCCTTGTCTTTGCAACAATCAAGTTTCCTGGGCAGCTCCCCTTCAAACATTCCACCCCAAGCAGCTGGCAAAAAAAGGAAAGAGAGAACAAGACTCCTGTGGCAAGTTTTTAATGGATCTGGCCTCAAGTGACTTAACATCACTGGGCCAGATCAATCACATGGCCACACCTGGCTGCATGGGATGCTGGGAAATGTAGTCTAGCCATGTGCCTGGGAGGAAGAAGGAAAGTGTGATGTGACTAAAGCTAGTCCTTGCCGTGGTGTTATTGTCCTCGTTATTTCTGTTATTATTTAGATCTGTCATCTGCAGAGATGACCCTTGAAAGTCATGCATGTTTCAGGACCTGGTAGAGGAGGGTGAGAGGTGCTGCCTGGTATGGCTGGAAGGCTTCCTGAAAGAAGGGGCATGGATGATGTGGCTTTGAAGAAAGCAGACGCCAAAAATCTGAGAAGTGGGAGAAGAGTAAGAATGGTGTGGCATCAGGAAGTCATTCCTTCATTCCTGACCATGCAGATCCTTGTAGGCCAGGGTGAGTGCCATGGGGACCCAATGGGCTGAGGTGGCCTGATTCGTGCTGAGAGTCTTCTAGTTGCTTGAGGAATCAGATCACCAGGTAAAATACAGGACACCCAGTTAACTTGGAATATCAGATAAACAACAAATGATTTTTTAAGCCTCAGTATATCCCATATGCTAAAATAGTATTGTCCATCTGAAATGCAAATGTAATGGGGCATCCTGGATTTTTATTTGCAGGGAGGACAGAATGTAGCAGACAGGTCAGGTGCAGGTGATTGATGATCATGGATGAGACATGGGCAGATGTGCAAGCCCTGTGTTGGGAGAACTTTGGCTTCTACCCTGAGTGAGGTGAGGTAGCCCTGAGAGGCTGTGAGTGTAGGAGGGCCATGCCCTGACTTGGGTAAGAGGCCCCCCAGACCCAACCCTGGCACTTGGCAACCACCTGCCCCTGTGGATTGCCCCAGCCCAGCATCTTTCCCCTTCAACAGTGCTGACATTTGGGGCCAGATCATTCTCTTTTTTTAGAGTTTTTATTTTAAATTTCACTTAGTTAACATACAGTGTAATATTAGTTTCAGGTGTACAATACAGTGATTCAACATTTCCATACATCCTCCCCCCGCCCCCCGCCCGGTGCTCATCACAGCAAGTATATGACTTAATCCCCATCACCTATTTAACCCATCCACTGACCCACCTCCCTTTTGATGACCATCTGTGTGTTCTCTGTATTTAAGAGTCTGTGGGGGCCAGATCATTCTTTTTCTTTTAAGATTTTATTTATTTATTTGAGAAAGAGTGAGGGCGAGAGCACAAGCAGGGGGAGCTGCAGAGGGAGAGGGAGAAGCAGGTTCCCGGCTGAGCAAGGAGCCCCACTTAGGGCTCCATCCCAGGACCCTGGGATCATGACCTGAGCCAAAGGCAGACGCTTAACCCACTGAGCCACCCAGGCTCCCCAAGGGGAAAGATCATTCTTAATTGTGGGGGGCTGTCCTATTCACTGTGGGATGTTGAGCAGCATTCCTGATCCCCACCCACTCAATGCCAGGAGCACTTGCAGTCATGACAACCACAAATGTCCCCAGACATTGCCCAGTGTCCCCTGAGGGGCAGGATCCCTTTGGGTGAAACCCACTGGGTTAGGGGATTCTATGGACCCCCAGGAGACTACATTCCATAACCATCTGACCGACTGAGGATATCCTGGGATACTGCAAATATTTAAATACACACACTGAGTGGGAGGGAGAGAGTAGGGAACTCACAGACACTGCAGGGTCACCCTGGTTTCCTCCACTTGATCCATTGGGGATTTATTCTGGTATTTAGTGTGAGCTAGGGATCAAACTGAATTTTTCCCCCAGATAATGAATGCACGTTTTCTCCCTCTTGGAGCTATGGACCTTTGGGGCCGGATCATTCTGTGGGGTGAGGCCAGCCTGGGCATCGCGGGACAGTGAGCAGCATCCCTCCCTGCTCACCCAATGCCAGGAGGAGCCCCTGTTCCCCTTGGTCGTGAAAACCAGGACCACCAGACTTTGCTAGTGCAGCTGGAAGGCAGAATCGCCCCAGTTGGGGATCCTGGGTCAAGGCACTGTAAGACCCCAGCACGGAAATGGGTCTGGAGCCCTAACCGGGCGGGGGGGGCTACTGGAAGACCTTGTCAGTTCCCTTCATCTTCTCCTGGCCTTCAGTAAACTATCTGGGGCCGGGAGAAACTGATGCCTAAGTGGCTGCATTGTGGGAAGTTTCAGACACGTGCCATCCACACCCCGGCCCATCTGAAGCCCATCTGTGCCAGACAAAAAAAAGGGCTGCCCATAGAGTCTGATAAAGCTTTTAATATTTAGAAGTTTGGGCACTTAATTCTGGCACTCCTGGCTCTCGGGAGATGCTGCCCCCTCCAGCTGTGGGCAGCTGTCTGGGTCCACAGGGGCACTGGTGATGATGATGGGAACCTTGGCCTTCACACTGGTCAGGGACCAAGGCAGGTGGACCGTGCTGACCAGCTCGTAGTGGGTACTCATGATCTCGCCGTCCCGCATGCCGCTGCTCACGGACAGCACCTGCGGGAGGTTGAGGGTGCTGACGATCTTGGTGGTGTTGAAGGGCGTGATCTGAGTGTTGGCCTCCTGCCGAAGCAGCTCACTGCTGTCCACCCGAGACCGCCGCTCCGCACCGGGGGTGAAGCCCTCATATTGCACGTGGACGTAGAGGGCGAAGGTGACCGTCTTGATGCACTTGCTGGTCTGGTTGTGGATCTCCGTGGTGAAAATGACCCTCTCCCCTGGCGTAAAAGTGTTCTTGTCCATCTGGATTTGGAGGCAGATGGTGCCCTGGCTGCAGCAGTTGTAGGAGACCTTCTTCTCAGCCTCCACCGACAGAGGGTTCTAGAAGGGGGGATGGACAGCTGTGAGGGATGGTGGCCACAAGATCTGCTCGCCTGCCTGACATTCCTCCATCAAAGCTCCTGCAAACCTTGAGTTTTTGGGACTCTCCTAAGTAAGAGGCACTGAAATAGGATCTGGAGCCTTGGGGATTTGGCAGCCAAAAGCCTGGCAAGATCTCCCGGCTTGCCTTAATCAATACCCTTCGCCTTTCTGAGTACCAATTTCCTCATCATAAGCCTAAGAAATCCACAAGACCCTGGCTTGACCCTCACCTCCCATGCTCACTTGCTGTGTGACCTTGAGCAAGTGCCTTGACTTCTCTGGGCCTTGGTTTTCTAGAAGACAGGAAACGTCTCACAGTCTAAGCCCAAGACTTGGGGCTTACCCGGGCAGTTCAGACTTTAGGAGGAAATATTATGGGCTCTGAATCATGAAAGGAAAACCGTAGAGTTGAAAGTATGTACTGTGTTTAAATAAATGCCTCAAAATGCAGCCATTCTATCAATGAGTCAGCTGCTGATTTGCAAATAAAGTCGCACATGCATTATATTTAATGAGTGGCTTCGGTGACATTTTACTTTTTATTTGTGGATAATATGTTAAAGGATTTGATGTGATGTGGCCGGGGGCAGGGGGGCTTAGAATGATCACTCTCCACTTTTGCTGGCTTCCGGTGTCTCCTTGCAGAGAAACGTGATACTTTTACAAGCGTGTGTGTGTGTGTGTGTATGTGTGTGTTCTTTCAGCATACCGAGAGAGAGAGAGAGAGAGAGAGAGAGAGAGAGAGAGAGAGAGAAAATAGTGTGAAAAATACTGCTCAAACTCCCCTCCCACTTCCCATTAGTGACATCAAGTTGTTCACTTGAAATTGGCCCTGATGGGTGTTATTTTCACCAGGGAAATTGGGAAACATCACGGCTGCCCCACACCAGAGCTGCTTGTTAACCATTTCTTGGCATAGCACTGCCATATTCCTAAGACCCGCTTCATCAGCGTTTACAAATTCTCCTGATTTGTTTCAGATCTCTGCTCATTTACAAAATAAGATTGCAGGGGCGCCTGGGTGGCTCAGTCGGTTGGGCAACTGCCTTCGGCTCAGGTCATGATCCTGGAGTCCCGGGATCGAGTCCCGCATCGGGCTCCCTGCTCGGCAGGGAGTCTGCTTCTCCCTCTGACCTTCCCCCTTCTCATGTGCTCTCTCTCATTCTCTCTCTCTCAAATAAATAAATAAAATCTTTAAAAAAATAAATAAAGTAAAAACATGAGAGATCTGGTTGAAGGCCCCGTGGACCCCCTCCCTAATGCCATCCCCTCATACTCCTTGGCTCCCTTTGTCCCGAATTGGGGGTTTATTATATCTGGATTTTTAAAAAAGATTTATGTATTTATTTGAGAGAGAGTGAGCACAAGCGGGAGGGCAGAAAATTCTGCCTCTATCTGGTTGAGACCCATCATGGGATTGCTCTCGGCCATGAGTTGGTGAACTTTTTCTGGAAGGAACTGATGATAAATATTTTAGGCTTTGCAGGCCACACACAGTTATATGTCATATACTATCCCCCCCCCTTTTTTTTTTAAATCACAGCTCATGGTTAAAACATAGATTTTAGTATCATGGCAAAGAACACAAATCTGTATTTTCATCTGCATCGAGATCTATGAAAGAAATATGTTTCATGAACTACTACTTATGCCTGCTGGTACATTCTGCTTTATTCCATTTATTGTATGCATTTAAAAATGTTCATTGCGGGGTGCCTGGGTGGCTCAGTCAGTTGAGTGTCTGTCTTGAGCTCAGGTCATGATCCAGGAGTCCTGGAATCAAGCCCCACATCGGGCTCCCTGCTCAGCGGGGAGCCTGCTTCTCCTTCTGCCTCTCAGTGCCTCAAAATGCAGCCATTCTATCAACTAGTCAGCTGCTGATTTGCTCCCCCTATTTGTGCTCTCTATCAAATAAATAAATAAATAAAATCCTAAAACAATATATTCATTGCAACCCTCTGGATTTGTTTTCCTGTTATATTTAGTCTTTCTTTATTCTATTATTTTGCTTTATATAAAACCAACATTTTGTAAACATTAGCTGGTTGTAACCCACCAAATTAATTTTGTTCTGATAAATTCTATATTCGACTTATTCACAACTATTATATCCTGTCCAACACATTGATGTTATAAAAACAAAGCTGTTGCAACCCACCGTATTTATATTTTGTTCTATTCTTTCTTTCTTTTTTTTTTTAAGTTGATTGCAGGGGGCACCTGGGTAGCTCAGTCGTTAGGCGTCTGCCTTCGGCTCAGGTCATGATCCCAGAGTCCTGGGAGCCATATCGGGGTCCCTGCTCGGCGGGGAGCCTGCTTCTCCCCCTCCCACTCCCCCTGCTTGTGTTCCCTCTCTCGCTGTCTCCCTCTCTGTCAAATGAATAAATAAAATCTTAAAAAAAAAGTCGATTGCAAGCCACCAACCATATTTTCTTCACTTCCTGTTCTACTTATTTTATTCTCTGTTCTGTTTTCTTATTCTATTGAAAAAAAACACACACAATGTTTGCAACCCACAAAATTAACTTTTTTTTCTGATATTTTCTAGTTTGGTCTTGCGTATTCTTTCGTTTTATACAAATATACTTGCACCCCGCTAAACTGATTTTGCAACCCATGATCTGGTCGTGACCTGAGGTTTGAAAAACACTGCTCCGGATCGGATGCCTTTCCTCTTGGGAGACCTGGGGCTGACCCCTGACACCAGGTGACCTCACCTCTACCTTTGCCTCTGGCCCCCTTGCCTCCTCAGCGGTCCCCTCCCTCCCTCTCCTCCAGGAGGCTAATTGCAGGCAGTTTTATTCTAAATCCCTCCAGTCTTATTCGAAAATTCCTCGCATGCGTTAGGACCCTGCGGGCATTGAGGAACTTGCTGCCCTAACTCAAGGCCAAGCCGGTAGTCTTGGCCTGCACCTGAGACAGGGGCCCAGCAATTCCAACAGTGGCCCAGTGGAGACTCCCTCGCGAGGTCAGGCAGGGTGGCCAAAGCGCCCTGATTCCCAATAATGTCGGGGATACACAACCAACACTGGATTTCCTGGATCTGGGAGTGTTTGGGAGCCCCGCATTCCTTTGGCATGTGTGAAGCTTTGGGGGGATTCACCCAAACAGTATTTGTTGTTGTCAGCTTGGTGACAAGTCCAAGGAAAACCCATAGCAATTAAGACCAGCCTGGTCCCTGCTCTGGCGAAGGGGCGGGGAGGGGAGGGGAGACACGGACACACAGTCGGCTCGCTGAAAATGAAACAGGTCATTTCTGATCCGGACAGTGATGAGGTTGTGGCTGGAGGCAAACCAGGGGTGTGAACGAAGGAGAGGTACGGTGGGGGTTCCCTTGGAGCCAATGTTTAGGAAATGTCTCTGGGACAAGCTCCTCTCCCAAATAGTACCGACTGTCGGAAGAGACAACACAGGTCTGTCTTTCAAGATTCTAAAGGTACAAAGAGTGGAGAAGAGGTGGGGAAATTGGAGCCCGTGTGCAGTGCTGGAGGAAAAGTAAAAACAGTCCAACCACTGTGGAAAACAGGCTGGGGGTTCCTCAAATGTTGAAGGGAGTGATCATCTGACCCAGCAACTGCACTCCAGGTATCAAGCCAAGAGAAACAAGAAGATACATCCATGCAAACATGTAAGGGAATTTGCAGAGGCGTGATTCACAGTAGCCAAGAAGTGGAAACAACCCAAGTATCCATCAATGCACGAACGGATACACAAAATGGGGTCCAGCTGCGCAATGGAATGTCATTCAGCCATAAAAAGGGATGAGACACCGACCTATGCTACAAAGGTGAGTGGAATCAGCCAGACGCAAAAAGCGTCCATATCGTACAATTCCGTTTCCATGAAACGTCCAGAACAGGCAAATCCATAGAGAGAGGAAGGGGATTCGTGGTCACCATGGCCTGGGGGAGGGAGTGTGGGGAATTCGAGGGGTGAGAGCTAAGGGATCCAAGATTTCCTTTTGGTGTGATGACAGTATTCTAAAATCGACAGTTGGTGATGGCCACACAACTCTGTGAACACACGGGAGGTCATTCAATTGTACACTTTCAATGGGTAGATTATAAGATATGTGAATTATAGCTCAGTAAAGCTGTTGAAAACAATTGGAAGGGGAAAATGTTTGCTCCTCCTAGCTCCCCGGCTCCCCTCCCAGGGGGGCATGTCTGTTGCTAGTTTCTGTGATCTCCTTCCGGACACGTTTGTTACACCTGCAAGGAAGTACATTTCTCGCTTGTTCTGAACTTTGCTGTGCTCACTGAACCCAGTGACTTAGTAGAGGTCCTGATGCTAAGAGCTGCCTTGTTCTGCCTCTGTTTCTAACTTACCTATAGCGCATTCCTTTGAATATTCCTTTGCTACTTTAATTCCCTTAGCAATGAACATTTAGGCTGATTCTAATTTCTTGCCGCGAAAACATTGCTGTGGGAGGTCACAAGTGAAAGAATATCAGTGGGAGAAATTTCTAGAAGGGAAATGGTTGGGGCAAAGTGCATGTTCATTTTAATTTGAACAGATACAGCTAAATTGCCCTCTGTTGGGGTTGTGAGAGTTTACTTAGCCACGTGAGTGCCTACATGGCTTCTGAACAAAGATCTGAAGGAGGAGGGGGAAGGATAGGAAGGTCATATTATAGTGTTCCAGGTGGAAGGCAACAGCCTATGTAAAGGCCCTGGGGCAGGACCAGGCCTGGTATATTGGAGGGAACAGCGAGGAGGCCTGTTTGGCGGGAGCAGAGAAAGCGAAGGGGAGAGGGGGCAGGTCATGCAGGGCTCTCTGGACGGGGGGTACTTTGGCCTTTACCCTGAATGAAATGGGAGACCGGGAGGGCTGTGGGCGCAGAGGAAGGTCATCACCTGACTGTCTCTGGCTGCTACGAGGACAGACTGTTGGAGGTCAAGACTCTGCCTCTACCCAGGGGTGCCTGGGTGGCTCAGTTGATTAAGTGTCTAACTCTTGGTTTCAGCTCAGGTCATGATCTGGTGTTTGTGGGATTAAGCCCTATGTCAGGTTCTGAGCTCAGCATGGAGTCTCCTTCAGATTCTCTCTCCCTCTCTGCTCTTCCTTCTGCTTGCATGCGCTCTCTCTCTCTCGCAAATAATTTTTATAAATCTTAAAAGACTCTGCCTCGGGGTGCCTGGGTAGCTCAGTTGGTTGAGCGACTGCCTTCGGCTCAGGTCATGATCCTGAAGTCCCGGGATCGAGGCCCGCATCGGGCTCCCTGCTCAGCAGGGGGGTCTGCTTCTCCCTCTCACCCTCTTCCCTGCTCATGCTCTCTATCATTCTCTCTCTCTCTCAATAAATAAATAAAAGTCTTTAAAAAAAAAAAAAGACTCTGCCTCTACCTGGTTGAGCCCCATCATGGCTCACTGCACCAGAGTGATAACCTCTGTCCTGGTCCCCCAGCTCCTGCCCTCCCCCTGCCCCCCACTATCTATCCTCCCCAAAGCAGCCAGAGGGAATCCAATGATGACCCCTTGCCCACCAGGGCTCTTACCTGCATCAGGTTAAAGTCCAAGTCTTCCTGAGGCCTCTTATTACCTCCCTGCCCTTACCTTCTTCCCTCTTGCTTCCTCCTTCACTCTGTTGCAGCCATGTGGCCCCCTCACTGTTCATCCAACACGCCAGGCACAGTCTTGCCCCAGGACCTTTGCACGGGCTGTTCCCTCCATCTGGAACCCTCCACCCCAGATATCCCCATGGTTTCCCCGCCTCTGCTCTTTCAGTTCTCTGCTAAAATGTCACCTCCTCCAAAGGGCCTCCCTTGCCCAGTCTGGTTAAGACAGTACTGAGTAGTTGAAAAAACACGCTATTTTCATATCCTCAAAACTTATCTGTAATAACTCCTGTTGCTGCTACGACCTTGATTTTTAGAGCTTCCCACTTACGGGGGCACCTCCTGGGTGTGCAGACACCTCGCTGAGCACTTCGCGGTCTTCATGGGCACCCATCAAGGGAGGTATTACTCTTCTCATTGTACAGATCAGGACAGTCAAGGCTCTGGGAGGTGTTGTGAATTGCCCAAGGCCATCTAGCTAATGAAGTATCTGTCAACGAAATCTCAGGCTGGGTCTCACCCAACCCCAACATTTCACCCCAGCTTCTGCCTCGTGCCCCCTGCACTCTAGATTAGCTCTGAAGGGAAGGCCAGGGAAGGGCCACAGTCCGCTCAGGGTAACACAGGGAGCAGGTGGTCAAGCGGGCCTTGAGCTCAGGTCTGGTCATCGCAGGGCTGTTCCACCCCTCCAAGCATCTGCCCTTCCTGGGACCCTCCAGGACCATCCCAGGAGGTTGGCCGGGCTGGAGACGATCCCTGTGACACTGGTGGTGGAAGCAGCAAGATTCTTGGGGCCCATCCCCCAACCCATGCCAGGCACTGTGGGAAGTTCGGCAAGCTAGGCACTATCTCTCTGTCCATTTCACAGATGAGGAGATAGAGGCACAGAGAGGCAACGTCATTTGCAGAGGGTCGCACAACAGGAAGGTGGGGGCTCTGGGATTTTTACCTGGATCTTGAAAACTAAAATCCAACCCCCACCTCCGTCTCAGCCACCATGCTCTAATAACAGAGTCCCCAGGGGAGTGACTTGGGGCCAACGTCAATCCAGCCACCTCGACTTCTACCTCTGCACCTGGGCCTCCAGGAACCATCCAGAAAACCTCCTCCTTTGCTCAGCCAGACCACAAGCCACCCCTTTTCCTTGCTTCTTTTGGTGGGGGCACCATCTCTGTTGTCTAAGGGCTCAAAGACCCTGGAGTGTCACCGGGCGTCCAGGCCTCCCACCCCCAGGTCACAGGGGAGGTCTCTGAACAGCCTTGACTTACTATAGGGTCAAGGACATTGGGGCCCAGTCATTCTCTGGGGGGGGGTGTCCTGGGAACTGTGGGGTATTGAGCAGCACCCCTGGCCCCCACCACCTCGATGGCCAACAGCCCCCCCAGTCCTGTCAACTGTAGATGTTCCAGATGGCGGGATTATCCTGGTTGAGGGGCTCCCGCTGGCTTTGTTCCTACCCTGGTTTCAGATTCACCTTTTGGGAACTCTCTGGACCCCCCGGGGGAGCCATCAGCACCTTTCCTTCTTCCTAGTAGGGGCCGGCTCTGTTCCCTGCCCTCCCACCTGCCTCTGGTGAGCTTGGAGGACAAGCCCCACCGCAGCCCCTCCCCCATCACTACCTGCAATGGGTTTTCTTTGTGGAAATCCGAAGTCCCTTGAACCAACAAGTACATTCTCTTCTTCGCCAGAATATGCTCCCGGCCCATGCAGGAGGCTTGCACGAAGTAGAAGACGTGGCCAATTTTGCTGGCGAAGGTAGAAGGAAGCCTGGGAGGTAAGCTGAAATGGAAGTCAAAGGTGTGGCTGCCTGCACTTAACCAATTATCTGAAAGCAAAACACACCGAGGCCATCAGAAGGTTCTAGAATCTTTTTCCTTTTTAACCCCCCCCTTCTTTATTTGTTGTTTTGGCAGGAGCTTTGTTCTGGGCCTGGCCCACCTGTCCCTGAGCTAGGCTGAGTTCTGTGCTTTTAGGGATCTGCATGATCCACAAATATTAGGCCTAGGCCTCAGCTGGGCTGGAGGGAGATGCCTGGGTGGGTGAGGTGGCTGGGGTGCTCACCCCTACTCTGGGCCTGAGAAACTGGAGGTCCAGCACATTGGTTTAACAAACCCCTCTTGAGCCTCTTTCTGTGGGCCAGAGGCTGTTTTAGGCATTATTTTCAGCAGTGAACAGGGCCAGCACAGCTCCCTGCCCTCACAGAGCTTGGCCTCCAGTGTGCAGCATACAGTAGGTGCTTAACATTGGTTGAGTGGCAACTGAGGACCAGGGAGAAACTCACACGGCCCCCATTTCTGCAACCTCCCCCATTTTATCTGTTTCTTTCATTCGTCCAAAAACCTCTCATTATTGTGTCTTGCCCACTGGATGGCAATCCCAGTGACTCCAGGGACCTTGTTTGTTTTATCCATTGCCCCACCCCCAGCCCGTGGCCCAGTGCCGTGTGCAGAAGGTGCTCAATAAATGTTTGTGAAATAAATGAATGAATCTGTCAGAGGCTTGGGCTTATGCTTTTGAGGGGAAATGCTTGGCAATGGGAAAGGGTGGTACCTGATGCTGGGGGTGTTAGGATGGGAAGTGTTTGGGTTGAAAAAACACAGAGCACTTACTGTATGCCCCACACTATTCTAAGCCCTTTATATACCATTCAGTCACTAAGTCCTCAAAGCAATCTTATGAGTGATCCCTTTTTCTGGTTCCCATTTTCCAGATGGGTTAATGGGACACAGAGAGGCAACAGGACTGCTGAGCAGTAAGGGATGGTATGTTGCCATTCCTCCCCTAGATATCTGCATGGCTGGTGTCCTTCCCGTCACTCAGATCTGAGCTCAGTTCCCTCTTCGAAGAGACCTCTCCATGACCTCCCAATCTAAAAATTTTAAAAGTCTAAAATTAAACTTTGTTCAGCCAGGCGTTGGCCGAGAGTTGTGGCATACCTGGGAACACTCCCATGAACACATTTTGGAAAGGACATGCGGCTCCCAGGCAGCTCAGCCTCCCTGACGTCTGTCCAGACCGTGGATCTGAACCTGCTGGAGTTGGGGCCTGGTTATTCTCTCCCTAGAATAACCTCCTCTCTCTTTCCTTGGGACCATTGGACTCCTTCTTTTGTCTCCTTGGCATTTCACTGCCAGAGGGAGATTTATCTGTCAAATAACAAGACAGATTTTTTTTTAATTGGCCTTCCCAAGTGGTCATTGGGCTAAGGATAGCATTTATCCCCCTCCCAGGGAAACAACTTTGAAAGTTCATTTCGAATATCTGGGTTCTGATCAGCTCCTCGTGTCTTATTATTTTCGTGTTAATGTGTATCTGATGGTCATTGTTATACATAGCTTCCCTCCTGGGGAGGAACCAGGCCTCTGCCCATTTCTGGTATCCCTGGGGGTTTGCTGATCCACTAGCAGATGTGTTTACCTTCCGGACCCAGGTTCCTATTATGGCTAGAGTTGGCTGCTGGCTTTGTCCTTACCCTCTACTGGGAATGTCTTCATCTTGTGCACGTAGTCGGCCTTGTTGTTGCAAATAACATCTCTGCTATAATCACGGGATGCCCCGATTTCTTCATTCCACTCCACATAACCCCTTCCCACGAGCTCCACCTTCACAATAGGGTCCACCAGGGTGCTGTTCAGGATTAGAACCACCTGCCCTTTTATGCTGGAGCCGGCTAGGTAGACTGCATCCTTGGGCAACACTAATTCGATCGACTTCACCACAGACATGGGGGGTTGGGGTGGTAGAGAAATATTCTCCCTGCCCCCCCATGCCACTGAGATTTCCGGTTCCTTTGCCGCAGTGAGGTCACCTGTCTGTGACATCATCCAGCCAGCGTTCTGGGAAGGGGGTCCCTAGTGGCCGGGATGGGAGATGAGGCTGTTGTGCAGGGGTGGGACAGCTTGGGATCCAAAGTCCTCACTGGTGTATGAAATGATAGCCTGACCCCTTTTTCCTAGGAAATAACAGATAAATAAGCCAAACCAACCGCAAGGCCCTAGCATTCCTGCCCCATAGGGAACACCTGTCATCATGCCGGGAGGTTAGAGGCCTGGGTGGGAAGAGCTCCTTACGAGCTCTACTTAGAGATGGGGAGGAATGAGGAATGAGCCCCAAGGTCTTTTCTGCTCTAACAGATGGCCCCCAAATGTGGTATGTGTGCTTCTCAGGGTTCATACACTGGTTAAGCTCATACACAGTCATTGTCATTTTAATGGCTCTCTCTCTATACCAACCAGTCCGTTAGAAAAAAATTATAGATATGGCCAGGACATGAAATCTGGTGTGTCCTGACTGAATGCTTAGAGCACTGTTTCCTCCATCTAAACACAAACACCATCTCCTTACACGTCTGACATTTCTCTTTACACCTGTGTCTCCCCCATTGAATGGGAAGTCCTTGCAGGGTGGGACTTAGTCTCTGTAAGCTTTGTGCCCACCAACGTCTGCTTTACTCCGGGCCTGGTTCAGACAGGAGGGGTGTCAATAGGTTTGTTGAGTGACTTAACGACCTTCAAGAATGTATCATTTTGCAAAAAGGAAACTGAGGCCTTTCGCCCTCTGATGGGTTTCCTGGTGCCTAACTCGCCCATGGGCTGATGCCTAAGCAGGAGGGCCACTGGAGCAGAAGAGGTGTCAGGAAGTGTCCATTCTCCAGACTCTAGCAGGCCTCCTTCATTGTCTTTGTTGTATCTCGCTTTATTATTTCATGTGATGTCTTTTGTAGACATTGCCATCTTGTCTCCCTGAGTGGTTTGTAAGCTTCTTCTGGAGAGGCCTGGCATAGTCTTTCACTCATGTTTGTTAATGAACCTAGGCAACCTCTCCAACTTTCTCAAAATGACTGGAGAAATGGGGCCCTCATTTCTTTCTGCAGGGAAAACCAGACCTCTTTTTGAGTTACTTGACTTGAGATATCCAAGGGGCCTGGGCTGAGCCCTGCTCCAAATACACCTGAAGAACGTATTCCCTCTTTTGGTCCTGTTGGGTTTTTGCAAAAGTATTTGCAAACAAATGATATGCTCTCACCAGGAATAGGCCAGGTGGCTGATTCTCAATGTGAAAGATCTCATCTGCCTCCCAGACTCAGGGAGGCCTGCCTGATACCTGCCTGTCCCTGAGATTGTGGTCTATACTCGGCTGATGACTGTGGGCCCAGAAAGACACTCAGTAGCACAGACGGAGTCCTGAAATTGGAGAAAGTTAACAGCAAATTCTGGACTTTGTATTTTGGACTCTATCTGTTCCCTGTGACTTCTATAACAAATTCCCACAATTTTAGTGGCTTAAAAAACACAAATTTATTCTCCTACAGTTCTGGAGGTCAGAAGTCCAAAATGGGTCTTAAGCAGCTAAAATCAAGGTGTTCTAGGGTTCTAGGAGAGAATCTGTCCCTCACCTTTTCTGGCCCCTATAGGTTTCCCACATTCCTTGTCTGTTGGGTCTCATCATTCCAACCTCTACTTCCCTTGTCACTTCTCCTTCTCTGACTTGGCCCTTTTGCCTCTTTCACTTGTTAGGACGCTTGTGATGATTTTGGACCAGCCTGGATCATCTAGGATACTCTCCCCCACCCGGAGATCTTTAATTTGATCTCATCTGCAAAGTCCCTTTTGCCACGGAAGCTACCATATTCACAGGCTCAGGGATTAGGATATGACTAGCTTTGGGAGAGGGGGGACATTCTTCTGCCTACCACTTGGGGAAAGAACAGCAGAAGGACCAGTGCCTAGAAGGGACTCTGCTCGGGTCCAGAGAAAGCTGTACACACAGAAGTTGGAGGTCATCACTCTTCTGCTTACAGCCTTCCCGTGCTGCTCACTGCTCTCAAGAGATAAAGACCAAAGGCCCCCTTGAGGCCTTAGATGACACCTCTCTGACCTCGTCCCCTCTCTGCCCAGCTACACTGGCCTCCTGGCTGCTCCCCCTACATTTCTAAGCCTTTTCCGGCCTCTGAGCTTGCCCGTCCCTCCTCGGCCCATCTGTCCTTGGTTTCTATCTCAGCTCAAATGTCATCCGTTCAGAGAGGCCCACCTCAACCAGAATGTCCTCTCTGCGCACCCCCACATGCCTCTCTAGCTACTGTCCTGTCTTCATTGCACGCAGTGGTATCTGAAATGATTTGCTTTACTTACTCATTTTTTGCCTGTCTCTCCAGAGAAGAAATTACCCTTCTGGAGACCACCAACAGGGTTGGCCTTGTCCATTGTTGCCGCCCCCCCAGCTCGAACACTGTGTCCAGGCACTTTGTAGGTGCCCAGCATGGGTCACTGTGTGCCCGCCAAGACTGGCCAGAGCGGAGCAGGCAGGGTGGAGGGGGCAGGGCAGTCCTGCCCGCCTGGACAGCGGGAGAAGGCGGGAAAACGAGGCGGGAAAACCCAGCAAACAAGCCCTGCGGGTGGGTAGGGTGGGGAGCTCTAGCAGGCCCTGACGCCAGGAAATGGAGCGTGGGGCGATCAGGCTGGCCATCGGGGTACAGGCGGTCTCGAGAGGGGCCCCCACATTCTACTGCAGTGTTTAAACATTGATTCCGGCCTTCCTTACCCTACTGGTCAGCGCATGCCCGTGCCCCGGGAGAGAGGCTGTGGAAAAGGACTTAAAAGGTCAGGGGGACTCTACCCGGGGTCCCTGCCCCGGGGGGTCCTTAGGGCTCCTGAGGGACACGCAGAGTCGGGGGGGTACCCAGCTCCCGCCACTGGGCCAGGTCGCACACTGGGTGCGCCCAGCAGACCGCGCAGGGCTGGGCGGGGCCGTGGCCCGCTGGGCGGAGTGGGGGTGGGTGGAGGAGGGGGCGCCCCCCACCCCCTTTCTCGCTTCCCGCCACTGCGGCGGCCAATCACCAGGCAGGAGCCCGCCCCTGGCGCGGCCTCCCGCGGCCCCGCAACTCCCAAACGCCGAGTTTTCGCGGGAAAAAAAATCAGAGCAGCTGGCAGCGCGGCGGGCAGTGGTGGCCGTCCAGGCGTTCCGGGTCGCAGGCAGGTCCGCGCGGGGTCCGGGGCCACGCACGCGTCTCTATCGCCATCCCCAGCCGGGCCAGGCGCGCAGGCAGGAGAGTGGATCGGGGCGGCGGGAGAGGTGAGCCTGCGGACTGATCGGGGTGCCATCCTGGGCCGGGGGAAGGGCCCGGCGGCACCGGGCGCGGAGCCTTTGCAAAACTTTCGGGAGCGGCCCGGGGACGCGCGGCCAGTACCGGCGCACGCGTGCCCCGTAGCGTGGCTGTTCTCCACGCCGTCTCGGGCTCTGCCCCCGCCCCGCCGGCCCTCGGCAGTCGTCCCCCGCAGCCCGGGCGCCGGCAGGGGCGAGAGGAACATACCCAGAGCCCCGCGGGGGTCGCGCCGGCCGGGTGGGGGAGGGCCTGGCGAGCCACAGGGGAGGATGTCAGGCTCCGCGCCTGCGCGCGGGCTGCCCCGGGATTCAATTGTCGCGCCCGAGCCCGATTTCGCGCGCCCTTAGTTCCCCGGGCGCGCCTGGGCCAATGGGGAGCGGGCGGGGCGGGGCAGCCGGGCGCGGCGGAGCCAATGAGCGAGTCGGCTCAAGTGAAGGGGGCGGGACTTGGCGCGCGGGGCCCCTCGGCCCGTCCCGGCGGTGGGGGTGGGCGTGGGCTAGTTGGCGTGGCCTGAGCGAGCGGGCGGGAGAATAAGAGGGACTCTGGGCTCGTGGGTCGGGGTCCCGGGAACGCGAGCCTGCGCGTGAGGGCGCCGCCGGGCCGAGGTGAGAAGCGCGGCGCGCGCGGGGGTGGCCGGGACGGGGCGGCCGGTTGCCATGGCCACCGCGGGGGCCGGCAGTGTCGCGCACGCGCGCGGGGGCGGCGGGGGCCGCGGGCACCCGGGGTTGGGGGCTCCAGGGTCGGGGGGGGTGGTCCTTCCCCTTCGGTCACACTTAGTTGAGTTACTGGGACTTCTGAAGTTCCAACCCGCGCCGGACTTTTGGGTTTTCCTCTTGCGTCAGTGTTAATCCAAGGAATGGATGAATGAATGAATGAATGAATGAACGAATCAATGAACGAACGAAGAAACCTGGTTCCTCGCTATTTGGCTGTGTCCTCCTTACTTCTCTGGATCTTGTGTGTGTCCCCCCCCCCACGCCCCCGCCGTGCAAGACGGAGTGGGTTGGACTGAGCGGTCCGAGATGCCGTTTGCCTTCCCCTCCCTCCTCGTTCCTGCGCCGTTGCTGGTCATTAATGCGTTAATTTCATTTACTCCGCGGGGCCCTGGTCAGCGGTGGTTCTTCCGCGGACCAGCGCGCTGGGAGGGCGTCCTGGGAGTTTCCTAGTGTCCACAGACTGGACAAAAGCCAAGATGACCTGAGCATGGCACGGTGTGGTCTCGGCAGCAGCACGTGCCACTGACCCAGGGGTCCCGCTCTCTCGCCTTCAGCACCAGCAGATACCATGTGGATCCAGGTTCGCACCATGGACGGGAAGGTGGCCCACACTGTGGACTCACTGTCCAGGCTGACCAAGGTGGAGGAGCTGAGGAGGAAGATCCAGGAGCTGTTCCACGTGGAGCCAGGCCTGCAGAGGCTTTTCTACAGGGGCAAGCAGGTAAACCCGCCCTGCCGGCTGCCGCCCGCCCAGCACCTTTGTTCTTGCCTGGTCCAGGCATCGTACATATACTCTCCCCGCCCCTCGTCCGGTCCCGCTTCACGTCTCCACAGAAACCTCAAATGCCTGAGCCAGGAACAAAGGCTCCACTTGCAGATCGACATACCGGGCAGGAAGCTGGCACTCCAGTCCGTCGCTTTTGGGCTTTTAAGTCTGCCTCCCCTGTTTTTTTGAAGGTTCTCTCAATATAATTTCTAGAAAAGGAAGTTGGAGGTGGCCAATGGAGGACTGATGAATTTCGAGGAAGAGCCTAGAATCCATTCTCAGACAGTAGGACGGAAGGGACCAGGTTTTTCTTTGAAACATACACTGATGGCCCCACAGCCTGCACCTATTTAGAGTTTGACTCCACAGGGTCTGTTTTCGAGAAATTTGGATCAGCTTGTTCAGAGGCCGGAGATGGCGCTTGCTGGGCAGGAATTTCTGCCAGGAGCTTGTGCTTTCCTCGGGGTCTGCGGGCCCCGCTTTTCTGTGTCCTCTCTTCTTGCTCTCTCCCCGGCCCCTGGTAGTGTTTAAAATGGCCACCCTTGCTTTCTCAGCTGCCCACATTTGGGACACTTTCTCCAGGGGTAGTGGGGGGGGTTTCCGCTTTTTGTCTGTGTCTTTGGTGGGGGGGGAACGGAGCATCCTACTGTGGGATTTCCCCTGGTAAGATAAGATGGCACGGCACAAAGTGTCGGTCCCATCTGCGGGGGCCGTCGTGGAGTGGGGTGCACGGTAGGGACAGCGGTGGCTTAGGGACAGTGTCCTGGATTAAAAGTCTTCAGTTGGGCTGCGTGTGCCTGACTTTGTTGTTGTTGTGTTTTGAACTGGGTACTGCCGCCATCTGCTGTCTCCATTGAGAAATAAACGCTCTGCGCCCGGCCAGGATTTTTGGGGGCTGGGAGGATCCAGTTTGCTTAACTCGAAATGAGACCTGATGATTAACTTCTTGGGTTCGTGGTGCCCTTGGGGACCTTTCACCTCCTTCCTGGGAGAGACACGATGACTCGAACGTCTTTAGAAGCTGAGTTAACCCGCCCTGCCTGGGGAGGGGAAGCCGGTCCCGCGGACTCATTCGCCCGCGCGGTGAGCAAAGGCAGGGCTGTGAGTAAGCTCTGCCGAGGTGCTCTCTCCCGCCGCCTCCAACGGCTCATCTTTTGTGGCATCCAGACTGACTTCGATTAGCCACTCGATCTCTTTGTTCAGCAGCAGGTCCTTTCACAGAGTTTCTGAGAACCCTCGAGTGTGCCTGCTGAGCAGTTCATGGTGTGTTTCAGAGGTGGGTCGGATCGAGTCCTCTGAAGTGGGGGGATCTGGGAGCGCCTGCCTCGTGCCAGGCACTGTTGTCACGTTTCCACCCGGCAGAAAAGTTGCAAGAGCCACGAACCCCCAAGCACCTACCCTTAGAGCTTGCCCCTGACACTCGGCCACATTCCAGTTAGCACGGCTTTCTCTGTCCTCCTGTCTGCCCACCAGTCCGTTGTAGTTTTTGGAGTGCGTTTCAAAGTAAGTTGCAGACGCGGGTTCACGCCAACCCTGAGCACTTCAGCATGCCTGCCATTAACTAGGGTCCAGTACGGGTTTGTGGGTCTCATTTTTCTTAGGTAACACACATATATAGCGAGATAACGCACACGTCAGGCGGACCATTTGGAGTCTGGACAAATGTCTACACCCACGTAACCAAACGCCCATCTCCCTTCATTTGTAACACGAAATCCGACCCATACAAAAGCGCTTACGCCCCCTTGGAAAGTTATAATGCCTGGTGATACCAGGAACACCTGGGGGCGGGAGACGCGCAGGGTGTACCTTTAATTGGCGGGCCATCAGCGATGAGAGTCGGAGCTCTTGGTGCTGCTTGCTCACAACACGGCTTTCACATTTAGCACAGGCTTCCTGCTTCCCCCGTGACCTCTGTGACTGCCGCCCGATCCCCTGCCTGGCGCTCTGTCCCCGCTCGGCGGCAGCTTCGTGAGGGAACGTGCAGTCGTCTCTGTCTTCCGGCCGAGGAAGCCAGGCCTAGAGCGTGATGCAACTTCCCGGGGATGCTGGCAAGGCCCTGGCCTTGGGGACGGCGAGGGTGGGGGGACAGGGTAGGGTGGGGTGGGGCGGACGGGACACGGACAGACAAGGCATACGGCGGCACCTCCCAGTGAGCCAGTGAGTCGAGTCTGCAAACAGGCTAGGCTAACAGCAATAGAAAGCAGCCTAGTTTCCAGTGGGCGGGGCAAGAGCGGTTTTTACAGAATGTTCTAGAGCGTCTTCGCAATCCTTTTCCCCTTTTTTTTCTTCCTCCCTTTTAAAGAAACATGTCGTCGCAGCCCAAGGTCTGCAGTGAGGTTGATTGAGAAGATAAAGCAGAACATAGTTGAGCCTTTCTTCAGGATATGGGAGGGTTTCGTGGCCGGCTTGTTTGGGCTGAAGAGGTTGGCGGTTATGTCGTTTGATTGGCGGAAATGCAAGAAGCCAATGGGGGCAGGGACCCAGGCCGCAGGCCCAGCCTGGGCAAGGGCAAGAGGCATCTGGCGCCTTTTTCTTGGCTGCCCATAAAAATAACAATAGCTGTCATTTGTGGGGACTCCAGCACGCTCAGGTGCCGGGCTGTGCCCTTTACATAATCTTCCCCAGGTCCCCTGCCCAGGTGGCTGCGGCCCGAGCTCCGCGCAGCTCTCGCCAGCGTGGCCGGTGCGGGGCTGGGCCCAGCCAGCTTGCGGTAAAGGCACCGTGAATCAGCTCCGGGTTTCTCCCTGTCGGCCTTGCTGACATGCGAGGCTGGCTCATTGTCTGGAATTGCCCCCAGTTGAGAGGTACTAATTTAGTAGATAATTGATATTAGGAAAACAGCGAAATCGGCTCACTGGCCTCAAAGGCCATGTTAAGGTCCGTCTGAAAGATCAGGCTGAGATGGTGCCCTGGGAACGGCCTCGTGAGGGTCACTCGTGTCCTAGCACCCCAACAATTCAGAGTGGCTTTTCCCGAGTGTGGTCCCTGAATTCCCAAAGGGCAGAGCGGGGCAGCAGAGTCCTGTCCTTAGGCTGTGTGATGGAGGGTCCCCTTCCCCTGGGAGGGCTCCCAGCTGGAGGGCATGCCCTTTAAGCCAGGCGTCAACAAACCCTTCATGTAAATATTTGTGTCTGTGAGGACGGTTCACTCCTGCCATTGGAGGGGGGAAGCAGCCACAGACAGGATGCAAATGAATGGGCATGTCCCAGTCCAATAAAACTTTATTTACCAAAACAGGTGCAGACTAGACCTTCAGGCTGACTGTAGCTCGCCAGTTACGCCCTATCGTGCTTCCATCCAGCGTCCTTAGTTGACGATCCAGGTTTTACTGTTAGGAACAGCACTGCTGTGGAATGTACTAGAACAGGTCCCCTAGGGCACTGTGTTGCAGTTTTTCTGGGGCAGGGTGTGCAAAGCATTTGGTCTCAGGACTCCTTTCCCCCCTCCATGACCAGTTGAAGACCCCAAAGAGCTCTTGTTGATGTGGAGGGGTCACACGTGGCTTTGAAGTGCCGTCCACTCCACTCACTCCCCCCAAGGTGGGACGTTGTGTTCCCTCTGCCGCATCTGGGCTCCTGCTTCGTGCAGTTTTCTTCTCTCACATCGCTGTCCTTCTGTCTTGTCTGCATGTTGGGTTGCTGCCGAGCCTGGAGGCTGAGCAGGACAGGTGGGGGGCCGGGACTACAGCCCCAGGAAGGGGGGCGGAGCCGTTTCCTGCTTCCTCCCTCTCAGCCTCCCAGCTCAGCCCAACAGGCCCTCGTCAATGCTCCCTTTCCTCCTCTAGCTGTAAGTCCTACTTGGTATGAGGCTCACTGTCCCCTCCACCTCTTGCCGAAACGGCTACGTAGAGCCGACCCAAGAACCACCACTTGCCAAACTCCGGGACGTGTGTTTCCTGCCTCTGGGCAGCACCCGGCACCCTGTAAAGTATCCCTGGAAAATGTTACGAGGGGGCAGAGAGTGGACAGAAACGGTAGACATGGCAAGCTTTAATCTCAGTTTCCAACAGGAACCAACATGCTTAGCTGTCAGATTGTATACGTGTTTACTTCGCTTTTACACGGTGCGCGTGGCCAAAAATTCCAAACGTCCAGAAATGTCCAGAAAGCATACTTGGATTAAAACAGAGAGGAAGACATAAACACTGTGGGCAGTTTTGTCTTTCGACTTGAATCTGCTGTATAGGGTTACGTGCCCCAAATCATACATATGTGTCCTATTACAGGCGGTTTGAGGGATTTTCAGTGCAAAGTTTGCTTCTATGAGTTGTCAACTTCAGGTTTAATTTTAACATCAGGACCTCTAATGTGAGGTGCAGATCATCTGTTGTGCAGTGTTTGTAGCTTTTATTAATACCGTTATTCTTGGTTGGAATTTTTGGATTTTTTTTTTTTTTTTAAAGACTTTAAGTAATCTCTGCACCCAACAACCCCGAGATCAAGAGTTGCGTGCTCCTCCAACTGAGCTGGCCAGGTGCTCGAGAACTTTCAGATACTGATAATGAATCTGAATGTAGAACACGTTGGCGTGAGGCAGGCCTGGGCCCGGCCTCTCTCCCCCACTGTGGTTCCCAAACGTTTGTGCACAGCTTTGGGCAGGCAGGGTGGAGGGATAGGGGCACACAACACACACCCTCTCCTGTAGCAAAACAGTTGTGTAGCCTTCCTGTTGACTGCAAGGGCCCTTCTGGAAAGTTCTAGAAATGGCCGCAGGAAGCAGCCAGATAAGCTTGTACCGGGAGGTAGAGCCCTGTGCCAGCCTCCCCTAGCCTGAATGCCCCCTTCCCTGCCCCGTTTGTGCCTCTGTCTGTGTTCTTGCCTCAGTAGGCCCGTTGGCTTCCTGCACAGAGCCTGTGCCTGAGCCAATCCGTAAGCTGATGGAGCCTGGCTTCCTGACCCGTCGTGGATGTGAGGGGCCCGGTCATGCTCCTGGTTCCAGCTTTCCCCCTGCCTCTCCGTTGTCCAGGTGCCTTGGTTTATGCTTTATTTCCCGTCCCCTGATTTGTCCTTGTTTCCCTTGATACATGCGGGAGTCGTGTCTGCTTTGCCGCATTTCCCTGTCACGTGCACCTGTGTGACGAGGCCACGCTTTTCCCCACAGTTAAGGCTGCTGTGAACGCCCTGTGAGGTCCCTGTACGTTTCTCTTGGGCACACACGTGAGGGTCTCTCCAGCTCAGTGGTTCTCCCCGGGGGTGATGCTGCTCCTCTGGGGATGCTTGGCGGTGTCTGGGGACGTCTGTGGCTGTCACATCTGGGGGTGCTTCTGGCATGGAGTGGGCGGGGCTCAGGGATGCTGCTCAGCCCCCCAGAGTGCCCAGGACGGCCCCCCACAGAGCGATTGGGCCCGATGTCCGCAGTGCCGAGGGGATGTCTGCCTCACGAGGTGCTGGGCCCCAGGGTACATGTGTCTTGTTCATTTCTAAGGCCATTTGGCCTGCCTTCTGCTGGTTTCCTTGTCCCAGTTATACTGGGGATGCTTGTGTTTCTTCATCTTTTCAAATTAACATATTTATCGGGCGCCTGGGTGGCTCAGTTGGTTAAGCGACTGCCTTCGGCTCGGGTCATGATCCTGGAGTCCCGGGATCAAGTCCCACGTCGGGCTCCCTGCTCGGCGGGGAGTCTGCTTCTCTCTCTGACCCTCCCCCCTCTCATGCTCTCTATCTCATTCTCTCTCTCAAATAAGTAAATAAAATCTTAAAAAAAAAATTAACATATTTATCGTGAACTTATGTGTTTATAGGCTTATTTACATTTACGTATTTGTTTCTGAGTCTTAGGTGCTTAACCGTATCAAGAGGGAGGTTCAGTGATCTCTCCTATATCCTGCCTCCCACACGCCCAGTCCTCCCAGCTACCAGCCTCCGCACCCGAGTGGCACGTCTGTTACATTCAATGAACCCACATTGACCCATAGTTGACATTAGAGTCCGTTCCTGATGTTGTGCATCCTGTGGGCTTGGACAGAGGGAGGAGCCTCCCGGCCCTGAAGCCAAGGTCCTCTGTGCCCCACCTTATCAGTCACACCTCCTCCCCCAGCCCCTGGCCCGCCCCCACTGATCCTTCTGCTGTCTCCACAGTTTGGTCTTTTCCAGAATGTCACAGAGCTGGCATCATATGGTATGCACCTTTCGTGGACTCCTTTTTTTACTTTTTGAAAAAAACAACAACAACAAAACGCTTTATTGAGATGTAATTCACATGCCATACGATTCACCGCCTTCCAGCCTGTAATTCGGTGGTTTCCAGTGTCTTCAGAGTGGTGCAGTCGTCACCGTAGGCAACGCTAGTACATTTTCTTCACCTACGTACTTTTTAGTATCCCCTTCTCAGCCCTGGACAACCAGTCACCTGCTTTGCCCATGGATGAGCCAGTTCTGGACGTGTCACCCACGTGGACTCACACCCCATGTGGCCTTCTGTGTCCGGTTCCCTCCCTGAGCGTCGTGGGCTCGGGGTCCATCCCCGGGGCAGCGCGTGTGGGCGCCTCTGCTGTTCGTGCCGAGGGACGCCCCCGTGTGTGGGGCACACGTGTGTATGTGTGCCCCCGTCGATGGACGCTGGGTTGTTTCCACCCTTAGGCTGTTGTGAGTCCTGCTGCTGTGAACATGCGTGTGCAGGTTGACTTGTCTCTTCCTTCGCATCTGTGTCCCCTCTACCCATTGTCACCGCTGCCCTGTGTTGGCCCTGTGGGGGGGGTGGCATCGAGTCTCCCCCCACCCTGGCCTCCCCGTGGTCCGTGGGCAGGGCTGGGCACATCGGAGGTTCCCCCCTCACCCCAGGCAAAGCCGTGGAGCGGGCCCTGGAAACCCCGTGGCTGTAGGCAAGTGTTGGTGTGTTCAGATGCCTTTTTCTCGGGGAGTGGGGCGACCATTCATCCGATGCCCAGGTTTATGCTGAATAAACTCCAGCAGCCGCCGCAGTGAAGGGCTTTGGACCCTGGAGCTCGCTTCCCTGTGACCCCAGGGGCTGCTTGCATACTGACGGCATCCAGGCCTTGGAACCAGCAACTTCTGGTAAACATTGGGAAGGAAGGAAAGTTGATTATTCGTGTCTTTGTTTCCCTTTCTCTTTTTTTTCTTTAGGAAGCTGCTTTTGAACCGGGTAGTGCTGCCCTCAGGGGACACTGGCAGTGTCTGGGGGACATCTCTGGTCCTCATGACCGGGAGTGCTCCTGTCATCGAGTGTGTGGGGTCAGGGATGCTGCTTCCCCACAGTGCCCAGGATGGCCCCCTGGAGAACAGCCCGGTCCTGTATGCCCCCAGTGCTGAGGGCGGAGACCTGCCTTAGGGACATCGGGAGAGAACAAGATGCACTTGAGGGTCCTTGTTGGGTGCCATGGGACAGTTTATAGTAAGAGATAAGTCCTCGGCCTTTTGTGCCACCGGGATGCGGCTCAGATGACATAATTCCTTCGCACACCCTTGCCAGGCCACGGCCAGGGTGGCAGACCTGAGCTGTGCCAGCACACAGGATCCCGTCAGTGACTCGTGTGTGGGGGGGGATTCAGAGAAAGGCATTCGTAGAGGGGCGGAGCTGGAGCCAGAGCTGGAAGGAAACCAGCGAATGTTGGGTCTGTGTCTCCTTTGGTTCATAGCGGCTAGGGTCTCTCCTCGGCACCATGAACATCGGGGCTGGATTGTTCCCTGATGTGAGCGTGTCCCGGGCACCGTGGGAGGGTGGGGAGCATCCCTGGCCCCACCCCAGTCATGACAACCAGGACGACCCAGGTGTTGTCAAGCGTCCCTGGGGAGGGCAGGGCAGGATCACCCTGGGTGAGACCCCCTGGGTCAGGGGATTCCACTGAAACCCCCCCTTCCCCCCCAGGAGTCTGTGTTCTGTAACCATCTGACCCGCTGAGGTTCTGGGATGTTGCACACATTGGAATATATACACTGATTGGGGGGGAGGGGTGACTCTCCCACGTTGGGGTCACTCTGGTTTACACCGTCTGACCCGTTGGGGATTGATTCTGGTGTCTGGTGTGAGCAGGGACTGGACTTAATTTTTTTTCTGTAAGTAATTAATGCAAAGTTTCTCTGCCTTGACACTTGCAGACGTTTTGAGCCAGGTCACCCAGTGTTCCCTGGAGGGCAGGCTTGTCCTCAGGTTGGCACCAGTGATAAAGGCGGTGTATTGTTACTGTAATAAAAGTGACAAAAGAGCGAATATTAAGAAACGCTCCCCTGACGTGTGATGGGTGTACCCAGCACGGCTGGTCATGCTGGGTGCTCACAGGACATTCTTCGGGTGACGCAGGGAATCCTCCTTCGCGAGGCTCTAAGGCCTGAAGGATGGGGGTGACCGTGTGTACCCCGCCCCCGGCAGTATTGATCTAGATCTGCTGTGATCTAGATTCTGTCCTCCATGAGGGCAGATTTGGTCCTTTGCTCGCGGCCTGTTCCTGCTGCCTGTCACCCAGAAGGCGCGCGCTAAATGGCTGGCGGGCCGGTGACCTTTGTCTTGGTGTCTCTGCAGATGGAGGACGGCCACACTCTCTTTGACTATGACGTTCGCCTGAATGACACCATCCAGCTCCTGGTCCGCCAGAGCCTTGTGCTCCCTGCCAGCAACATCAAGGAGAGGGACTCGGAACTGTCGGACACGGACTCAGGCTGCTGCCTGGGCCAGAGTGAGTCTGACAAGTCCTCGAACAGCGGTGAGGCGGCCTCGGAGGCAGATGGGAAGGCGAGCTTGGCAGATGAAGACACATGGGACGAGACAGAGCTGGGTCTGTACAAGGTGAGTCTCTCGCAGAAGGTTTGGGGTGGAGCGTGCTCCCCACGTGGCCGCTCTCTTCACCCCCAGGGCCCCAGGTAGCCTGCCTTGTGCCCCTCCATCATCACTGGCTTTCCAGTAGCCCAACTGCAGGGTCAGGCGAGCTGCCCTCCTTCCCTTGGCTGGGCCCCCTGGTCTTGCTGTGCACATCGCCAGTGGGTGGGCTCCCGAGGCTTCTCTGTGGAAACAGAGTACTCCAGCATCCCTTCGTGATCCTTGACGGCAAGTGTCGTGTCTGGGTTTTGCGGGGATCTCTCTCTGCCCTTCTCAGTGGAAGGAGAATAAGAGAATCACCAGGCCCCGACGTCAGCAGTGCCGTAGCTAGGAAATCCTATTACAGTCACTTGGGTTTGCGTCCCGATCCTGAAGCATCCAGCGCCTGAGAACCCAAGCAGTCTCTGGTCCGTGCTGCTGGTCGGACTTGTCTTCTCTGGGTTGGATGAGAGTGTTTTCTTGTTCCTGGCAGGCCAACGAGTATGTCGATGCTCGGGACACGAACATGGGAGCGTGGTTCGAGGCCCAGGTTGTCAGGGTGACGAGGAAGGCCCCGTCTCAGGACGAGCCCTGCAGCTCCACCTCTAGCTTGACGGCGGAAGAAGACGTCATTTATCATGTGAAATACGACGAGTGAGTATCACTGTCGTTGGGTGGGCTGGGGTGTTGGCTGTGTCCGTGGGACCTGGAGTTTGGCACAGGCTTGGGGATGATGATTAGGATTTAACCACCCAGAAGGCCACCGCTAGAGGACTGACGTCATGGGGACCCACAGCTAGGCTGAACCCCTCCTCAGGTCATCTAGTTGGAAATGTGCCCCCCCCCCCCCCCGTTGCCTGTCGTCTTCTGTTCATACCATGTATCGCCACTGCATGAAGCCTTTCTAGTTTGTTGTTTGTCCCTTACTGGCATGCACAAGTACTTAGCACTTAACCGTGTGCCGGGCACAGGGACTCCTTGTCTATGTGTGTAGAGGAGGTCTTGGACGGGCTCAATGGCCACCACAGGATACTACAGGCTAGGTGGCTAGATCTCACGGTTCTGGAGGCTGGAAATCCCAGATCATGGTGCTGGCGGGTTCCTGCTGAGGGCCGTCTTCCTGGCTTGCAGACTGGCTGTCTTTTCGCTGCCCTCACGTGGTCTTTCTTTTGTGAGTCTGAGAGAGAGAGAGAGCGCCCTGGTGTCCCTTCCTCTTCTTGTAAGGACTCCAGTCCTATTGGATTAGAGCACCACCTCTATGACCTCGTTCAACCCTATTTACCTCACCAGAGGCCCCATCTCCAAATGTAGTCACATTAGGGGTTTGGGTTTTACCATGGGGATTTTGGGGGACACAACTCAGTCTGTAACTGAGGGCAAGCGGGCCTCGCCACTGAGAGCTCACATTCTGGGGGCTGTAGGGGCCTCTTCCCTGCCAGTTTCTGGCACCTCCTCAGCTTAGCTCTGTGGAAATTATCGGAGTAGTTGGATGAATGAGTCAGTTGGCGCAGGACTCCCAGCCTCCTGGTTGGGGTTGTGAACTGCAGCCTTGGGGCCAAATCCCGCGACCTGGATTTGTAAAGAAAGCTTTATCAAAGCCCATAGTCGCCCATTTGTTTCTGTTTCACCTGTGGCTATTTTCCTTGGTGATAGAGTTGAGGATTTAGAGACCTTCCAGCTCACAACGCATCTGACCCTTTACAGGAAAAGTTCGGCAACCCTTGTTCTTGGTGATTTCCTGGGGAAAAGGGAGTGCTCAGCCCTATGGGGAGTTGACGTAGATTAGGGATTCCTCCTCAGCGGAGGTTTAACTTTGTTGTTGAGAGAATGTTTCTTTCAGTCCAAGTATTTTATGCCTTTTTTGAGGCTGTTAGAATATTCCTGTGTATCTGGAATAATGAATTCCTATTGTATTCTAATATCCAGTAGGTTATATAAGTGGAATGAGGTGGTAGACCCCTATCCAAAAGCGCCTTCCGGTACAGACCGGTGGACGCAGTGCAGGGTTTGGCCTCCACACATGTCCCATATATTTGTTCCCCAGGGCTGCAAAAACAAAGGACGTTGGATCGAGTGGCTTGTAATAACAGAAGTTTATTCTCTTGTTGTTCTGGAGGCCAGAGGTTCAAAATCAAGGGGCCGGCAGGGCGCCACTCCCCCTAAAGGCTCCCTCTTTGGCTCTTACAGCTTCTGGTGATGGCTGGCAGTCCTTGGCTTGTGGCCCCATCCCTCCATTCTTTGGCTCTGTCTTCAGGTGTTGCTCTCCATCTGTCTCATTCCCTCTTCTAAGGACTCCAGTCACTGGATTTAGGGTTCCCCCCCTGCAGTGTGACCTCATCTAAGCTTGATGACATCTGCAGAGACCCTGTTTCCATGTGAGGTACCAAGGATTAGGACTCCCAACATGTCTTTTTGGGGGACACCGTTCAACCCACAACACCTTCTGTAATTTGTGTCTTCTCGGCCTGGGTATTTTCCATACTGGGAGATGAGATCTTCGGGGTGACCAAGTAACCCGAACCCATGTTGGCACAGCCTTTTCTGCCTCGGCTTCTATCTCCCGTCAAGGGAATGAAGTTGGGTGTGACCCCGGGATCTGATAAGGATGGGGTTTTCCTCCCAGCTACCCAGAGAATGGAGTGGTCCAGATGAGTTCCCGTGACGTCCGGGCTCGTGCCCGAAACATTCTCAAGTGGCACGAGCTAGAGGTGGGCCAGGAGGTTATGCTCAACTATAACCCCGACAATCCCAAGGAGCGTGGCTTCTGGTACGATGCAGAGATCCTGCGGAAGCGTGAGACCCGGACAGTGCGGGAGCTGTACGCCAACGTCCGGCTTGGGTGAGTGGCACGCGGCCCTGAGGCTGTCCAGCCAGGGCTCCAGAGGTGAGGCCCTCAGTCCCTCACATCCCTCCACCTGGGGGACTGTCTCTGAACCCCATGTCCCGACAGTGGGGATTTCAAGATGCTTTTTTCTCTTTTTTTGTGTTGTTCCGAATTTGGTGAATAGGTAATAATCTCAAATGTGTGAAAATCCAGAAAGTACTGAAGGAATATTCTCCCTTCTCTATCCCTTGGTCACCTAGTACTCCTTTCTGGAGACCACTCTCTTCTTGTCGCCTTCTGGGGATGTTCTGTGTGTAAGCAAGCATAAACATGTACAGAAGCAAAGCACATGTAGGATGTACTCCACATCAGGGATCAGCAAACGGCTGTCCACAGGCCAGATCCGGCCCTCTGCTTGTTGTGGCAAATAAAGTTTTATTGGCACACAGCTATGCCCATCTCTTTACTGATTATCTGTGGCTGCTTTGGTGTTACAAGGGCAGAGTCGATTAGCAGAGAGAGAGGCTGTGTGGCCCACAAAGGCGAAAATACTGCCTGGCCCATTGTAGTAGGTATTTGCCAAGCCCTGTTCTACCCTGCCTCTGTGTGTGTGTGTGTGTGTGTGTGCACATGCGCGTGTTAAGATATATATAACAAAACTTAACATCTTAACCATTTCTAAGTGCACAGCTCTGGCGTGAAGCACACTCACCCTGTCCTGCAGCACCCCCACCCTCCGTCTCTAGAACTTTCCATCTCCCCACACAGAGACCCTGTCCCCATGAAGCATGGACTCCCCACCCCCTGCCCCAGCCCCGGCTCCCACCCTCTCCTCTCTCTCTCTGTGGAGGGGACTCCTCTGGGGACCTCCTGGGGGTGGGGTCCTGCGGGATGTGTCCTTCTGGGTCTGGCTCCTCTCACTGAGCCCGGTGTCCTCGGGGTCCCTCCATGTTGTGGCGGGTGTCAGGATGGCCTTTTTGTGGTCAAATAATATTCCATCATGTGTATCATGCATATATACACAAATATTTGGGCAACAGTGTCTTGAGTGCAGGCACAGCAAGTGCAAAGGTCCTGGGGCAGGGTCATAGCTGGTACATTTCTAGCAAGGAAGCTAGTGGGGTGAAGTGGAGGGACAGAAGGTGGGAGGGATCGAGACTGTGGGAGCCTCTAAGCAGCATGGTCCAGAGAGGTTTGGAACTGGTGTTCTTTCTCTAAGAGCTGGCAGCCACTGGAGCATTTGGGCACAGAAGCGACATGCTTTGACCTACAATTAAGAATTTTAGCTCTGGCAGCTGAGGGGAATGGACTGCAGGGGGCAGTGTGGGAGCAGGGACACCAGGGTGGAGACCCACACAGGCATTTAGGGGCAGGGTCCCAGGGCTCAGGCCAGGCTGCAGCTATGTTCTTGTTAACGTGTTCTTTCTTGCTTTTCTCTCGTTATCTTGTTTCCAATTTCATTGATTTCTGCTCTCCTCTTCTGTATTTTCTCCCTTCTCCTTTCTTTGGGTTGATTTTGTTCTTTTTCTAGTTTCTTGAGGTAGCAACTTAGACTGTCCATCTGAGGCATCTCCCTCCCTAACGCCTGCACTCGGTGCTATAAATTTAGTCCTCAGCACTGCCTTCATTGATCTCCATGTGAAAGTTTGCTATGTTGTATTTTTCTTTTTCTTCACCGTTATATATATATGTATATATATATATATATATATATTTTTTTTTTTTTAATTTCCTTTGAGGCTTCCTCTCTGGCTCCTGGCTTCTTTAGAAGTATTGTGTTTAATTCCCAAGTGTTTTGAGACTTCTGCATTGTTCTTCTGTTACTGATTTCTAATGTGACTTGATTATTGTTTCTTCTATGGCCCCTGGTAGGGTCTAAGTTGGTGACTATTCTGTGGTTGCTTGAGGAGAAACCAGTATATTCTGTTGGGCAGAATGTTAGCTGGTGGTGCTCCCTTCTTCGGATTCTTGCTGATTATCTGTCTGGTTCCCCATCAGGTGCTGAGGGGGTGCTGGGGTGCCCATCTTCGCTGTGAACGTGGCTTCCTCTCCTCTCCTCCTAGCCTCACAGTTGGAGGGCACGGTTGTCTGGTGCACACACACTTAGGGCAGTTATATCTTCCTGGTGGAACGACCTTTCCATCATGTTGTGATTTCCCTAGCAGTTTCCTTGGCTCCAACGTGTGTGCGTGTATGGACACACCTGCTTTGCTTCTTCAAGTTCATGTTTGCAGGCTGTATCCTTTTCTTCCCTTTTACTTTCAACCTGTGTACTTGAATTTGAAGTGAGCTTCTTATAAGCGGCATATAACTGGGTGCGTTGTTTTTTAATCCACCCCGGCATCTTGTATTTTGATTGGCACGTTCAGACCATTCACACTAGGCGATCATTGGTAGGTTACGTCTGCCAGTTTGTCATTTGTTTTCTTTTTGTTTCCTCCGTTTCTCTTTTTCCATCTTTCCTGTGGGTTACCTAAACACATTTTGGGATTCTGTCCTGATTGTGTATTGCCTTTTGAGTGTATTGCTGTGTATAGGTTTCTTAATGGTTTCTTTGGATTTTACCGGTTGTCCCTTTTGTCAGAAACCTATCTTTACTTATGTCCCTTTGTACTCACGGAGTAGCAGATGGGGTTCGGATCTTTATTTCAGTCCTCACCTGTGACTTCAAGAACTCCTAAGGAGGATAATCTGTCGTATGTGCCCACTTTTCTGCTTTTTCTGTTTTTCTTCTGTTGCTCCTAAGATTCCTTCCTGTATCATTTCCTACCTGTTTGAGGAGCTTTCTCCCTTATCCTGTAAGGGTGTGTCTGCTGGCAATGGATTCTGTTCATTGTCCTTCACTGAAGAGCGCTACCGCCCCTGTCCTGCTGGGTGGCTCTCGAGCATGGATTCATTTCATCCATACATGCTTTACAATTCATTTATTTATCTTTTTAAGATTTTATTTATTTGAGAGAGAGCATGCACAAGTGGGGGGGAGTGGCTGGGGGAGAGGGAGAAGCAGGCTCCCCTCTGAGCAGGAAGCCCCACATGGGCTCCATCCCAGGACCCTGAGATCATGACCGGAGCTGAAGGCAGACGCTTAACCGACTGAGCCACCCAGGCGCTCCACAATTCATTTCTTTAAAGTGACTCTTTTTTAAACAGTTATGATGATGTTATCACAATGTAAAGATTAGTCATAATTTTTTTTTTAATATTTTAGTTTGTGTATTCATTTTAAGTCCTCTCTATGCCTTAGTCATAATTTCTTAACGACATACTCAGTCACTGGTTCGTCTTCCAATTACCTCACTTGTTCTTCTTAACCGTTTGTTGGGTTGGGATGAACGGAGCACGCACAGACTTCAGTGAGGTCAATCCGTATCATTTAAGCCCCTTTTATCTTCTGGCCTCCTGTCCTTTCCTCCTTCCCCCTTTCTGTACCAGGTTACTTACTGAGGAAGCCTGGTCGTGTGTCCCAAGAATCTCCGCGGCCTGGGTTTTTGCCTTCCACACCTCATGGCGCCACGTCCTCCGCGCCTCTGCCCCCGGGTTTCCTGCGAGCTGGTGGGACTGTGTGTGCCTGTGCGGCCCCGGTCTGGGGCCACGGTGACTTGTGCTGTTGAGCACTCGAAATGTGGCCAGCACGGGCCGAGGTGAACTGGAAGTGTAGCACCCACACTGGCGTCAAGGGCTTCGTGCTGGGAAAGAACGTGAAGTAGCTCGTGCGTAGTTCGGTCCTAGTCGTCACCCGTGGAGATAATACCCGTGTATGTCAGGTTACATAAAACCCAGCGTTGATTCCGTCCATTTTTTTTGTTTTTTTAAAGATTTTATTTATTTGACAGAGAGCACAAGTAGGCAGAGCGGCAGGCAGAGGGAGAGGGAGAAGCAGGCTCCCCGCTGAGCAGGGAGCCCGAGGCGGGGCTCGATCCCAGGACCCTGGGATCATGACCTGAGCCGAAGGCAGATGTGTAACCATCTGAGCCACCCAGGTGCCCCAGATTCCATCCGTTTTTACTTCATCAGCATGGTGGTTGGAAAATGCAGAATTACACAGGTGGCATGTGTCTGGGACTCCCACTGGCTTGCCATTGGATGCTGTTGATGGAGATACGGGATTGATCCCTGGCGGGGCGGGGGGGGGGTGTCACTTGACCCTGGAGGAGTTTTGCATTCTGAGAGAGGGAGACTGATCAGACTTCACTTTTAGGTTTCGTGTGTTGGGCCTTGTTTAATCAGTGTTGCCTGCTGAAAGGTTAGAAATGATTCTCTCAAAAGCATCATGTACTGAAACTGTGGTTTATATGTTGTCTTTGTCTTAGTGGGACTTGAACTGGCAAGGGGAGAAGCTCAGTGCATGCGTGAGGCCCTGATAGAACTAGATAGAACCAGAGGTGTTCCTGTGCTCTGAGAAATGTGTTAGGTGACCGTGTGACCCGCTGAGGCGCCTTGGCAGGTTGGCCAGCTGGAATGTTCTAATGACTTCTAATGACTTCTGCCTCACAGGGGTGGTTCTCTCAATGACTGTCGCATCATCTTCGTGGACGAGGTGTTCAAGATTGAGCGCCCGGGCGAGGGGAGCCCCGTCGTTGAAAACCCGATGAGAAGTGAGTTCTGATTCTGCCCTTCTGACTCCCACGTCGGTTGTGGGGTGGGGGCTCCCGTCCCCGCTCTGCTCGGCCGGCCCCGCCGCAGCTGAGCCCCACCTCCCGTGTCCAGGGAAGAGCGGGCCTTCGTGCAAGCATTGCAAGGACGATGAGAGCAAGACCTGCCGGGTGTGCGCCTGTCACCTGTGTGGGGGCAAGCAGGACCCCGACAAGCAGCTCATGTGTGACGAGTGTGACATGGCCTTCCACATCTACTGCCTGCGCCCGCCCCTCAGCAGCGTCCCCAAGGAGGACGAGTGGTGAGTGGACGGGCTCCTCCTCGCTGCCCGTCGAGTTTCCCCGGGGGTGTCCCGTATCCCAGCTGGATTTACCCTCATTGCTGGGAGGCGCCGTGAAATTCCCGTGGGAGAGGGACGAACGTCTGGCGTCGTAGAACGTTCTCGCTCAGCGTTGCCCATCAGGGCACACGTGGCTACCGAGCACGTCAGACGTGGCCCGTGCAACCGAGGGCCTGGACTTCCTGCTTCACATTAGTGAATTTAAACTGAAATGCTCCCCCTTCCCCGGACCGCGCCGGATGGCAGGGAGCCCAGGGAGGGGGCGGGCGTGGGCAAGAGGTGACGTCCCTGCTGTCCCAGGTATTGCCCCGAGTGTCGGAATGACGCCAGTGAGGTGGTGCTGGCAGGGGAGAAGCTGAAGGAGAGTAAGAAGAAGGCGAAGATGGCATCAGCCACGTCCTCCTCACAGCGGGACTGGGGCAAGGTGAGGCGGCCCCACGCCCCACGCCCCGCGCCCCTGCTGCCCTGCCTGCCCTGCATGCGCTCACCCTGCTCTCCCCTCTGTTTCTGGACGGACAGGGCATGGCGTGCGTGGGGCGTACCAAGGAGTGCACCATCGTCCCGTCCAACCACTACGGACCCATCCCGGGGATTCCTGTGGGCACCATGTGGAGGTTCAGAGTCCAGGTACCCCCAGACTTCCTGGGGTCTGGGGCTGGGCCGATGGGTGCTGGCCTCCCAGAGGCCCCTGCGCCTGGGTGAGGACCACCCTGGGGGCAGGTGGCAAGGCTGGACTTCAGGCCAGCTCCTTCTGAGGTGTGGCTCAGACTTGGGGTGTCTGGGGGCGAGGCTCTTGTAACAGGTGTGATGCATTCGGAAGAAAAGTCAGGCCGCTGGCTTTGAAAGTGGGAGCAAGGAGGGTGGGTTTGAGCTGCCCTGTGGCAGCCAGTCCCAAAGGTGCCGTTTATTTCCTGGTGGTTTTCGTAGGTCAGTGAGTCGGGGGTCCATCGACCTCACGTGGCGGGCATCCACGGCCGGAGCAACGATGGGGCTTACTCTCTGGTCCTGGCTGGGGGATATGAGGATGATGTGGTGAGTGTGTGGGGGGGCGGTTCCAGACTTTTAAAAAATTGTGTATAAAATAATTTTATGTGCATAAAATTTGCACTTAACTAATTCTAAGTGCATAGCTCAGTTGAGCGCACTCACACTGTTGTACGACCACCCCCACCCTCTGTCTCCAGAACTTCCCATCTCCCCACACGGGGACTCTGTCCCCACGAAGCACGGACTCCCCACCCCCACCCCAGCCCTGGCTCCCACCCTCTCCTCTCTGTCTGTGTGGACGGGACTCCTCTGGGGACCTCCTGGGAGTGGGGTCCTGCGGGATGTGTCCTTCTGGGTCTGGCTCCTCTCACTGAGCCCAGTGTCCTCGGGGTCCCTCCATGTCGTGGCAGGTGTCAGGATGTCCTTCTGTTCTAAGGCTGGATCGTATTCCAGTGCGTGGATGGACCGCACTGTGTGTATTGTTCATCCATGGACAGTGGGGTTGTTTCTACATTTAACTGTTGTGAATAATGCTAGTGTGAACATGGGTGTGCAAACGTCTCTTCAAGAGCCTGTTTTCACTTCTTTTGGATATAGGCCCAGAAGTGGGGCTGCTGGGTCGAATGGTAATTTGTTTCTAATGTTTTGAGGACCCTCCGTGCCGTTGGCTGTAGTGGGCTGCGCCAGCTTGCGCTCCTTCTGCTAGCACGTGGCAGCCCGGGTTCTCCTCGTTCTGTGTCGTTGACAGTTGACCTCCTGGCAGGTGTGTGCGGGGATGTTTTCGCCTGAGTCTCGTCTCTCCTCTCCTCTGTGTGGAGGGCTCAGCCTGCCCTGCTTCTCTGTTTCAGGACCACGGGAACTCTTTCACGTACACGGGCAGTGGTGGTCGAGATCTGTCTGGCAACAAGCGGACTGCGGAACAGTCTTGTGACCAGAAGCTCACCAACACCAACAGGTTTGCAGAAGCAGGTTTTCTTCTTTCTTCACCAGCAGGCTTCTGCCTCGTCCTCTGGCAGCTACGCGGGGAGGGGGTTGGTTCTTTTTTGGGGTGTACATCCAGGAAGTTAGATTCCCGTTAAGAGTGTGATGGAATGTAGAGATGACGAACATCTGTTTCTTCCCTTCTGTTTGCTAAAGACTTGTGAGTCGTTCAGATGTGTTAAAGAAAACTTTTCCCCTGAAAGGCCAGATAATATTTCTGGCTTTACGGGCCACCTGGCCTTTGTTGTAACCACTCAGCTCTGCTAGCATAGCACAAAAGCGGCCTCAGAGCCCACATGAATGAATGAGCATGGCTGTGTTCCAATAAAACTTTGTTTACAAAACCAAGCAGTGGGCCAGAGATTGCTGACCCCAAACCGCAGGATGGGGAAGGACTTTGTAAGCACAAAAAGTATCATAAAGCCAAAGGGAAAAGAGAGAGATTTGATAACCTAAATATTATAAGTTATGTCAATAGAACCCATATGTAAAATGAACGGGCAGATGACTATTTGGGGGATGAGTCTGCTACAAACGTGATCTATGATGGTTATGTTTTTCTATATAAAGAGCTTTGCAAATCAATAAAAACTAATCGAGAAAAGCAAAGGACATAGAGGACATACAGGACATACAGATCATTCACAAGAACAATGCAGATCTCCAGTGGCCAGGAAAACTTGAGTTAGACTCTGGTCATCAAAGAAATAGAAATTGAAGCAATGTTGAGATACTGTTTATTTCCCCTATAAAATTGGCCACAAATTCCAAAATGTTGAGAAATGCCAAGACGCAGGCTAGTGTCCCACTGTTGGTAGAAATACAGACGGGCACCGTCTTTCTGGAAAGCTCTTTACCTCTATGTGTGAAGAGCCTTCAAAACGTTCTTACCCGTGATCCTGTGAGTCGACTTTCAGAATGTGTTCAGGAGATACGGGGGCATGAAAATTCTATACGTGGTGGTATTCTATCATTATCTAAGATGGCAAGAAGAACTGAGCACGAAATAGAAAGGGGCAGGGAGCTCATGTTAGTGTACAGGGACTTGTCTAGTGGAATATTTTAATTTCTTTTATCTATTTATTTATTGAGAGAGAGAGCACATGAGATGGGGGAGGGTCAGAGGGAGAAGCAGACTCCCTGCCGAGCAGGGAGCCCGATGCGAGACTCCATCCAGGGACTCCAGGATCATGACCTGAGCTGAAGGCAGTCGCTTAACCAACTGAGCCACCCAGGCGCCCGGAATATTTTAATTTCGATAGCTGTTAAAAGCCCTCGGTCGGGAAGCACTGGCCGACGTGAGGACTGCCCCGAGCTCACATTAGGGGTACCGGGGGGCACACACCTCCGCAGTCATCCTGAAGGAGGTGCTGAGCCTGAGCCCTGGTCTGCTTGTCCCTGGCCTCTGTGGCCCTCGGGATGGCCCTGCCCAGGTTCGCACACCACCCGGGGTGTGGAACTTCTCGCATAATCCCGGAGCCCAGACTCTGACCTCGAGGGCTGGGCGGGGCCGTGCTCCCTCTGAAACCTCTGGAGGGGGATCCTCCCTGCCGCTTCCAGCTTCTGGTGGCCGCTGCTGGTCTCTGGTGTCCTGTGGCTTGTGGACGCGTCCCTCCAGCCTCTGCCTCCTTCACGGGGCCTTCTCCCCGTGTGTCCGTGCCTCCACTGCCCTTATAGGGACACCGCACTAGTCCCCCCCCGATCTCCTCTGAACTTGACTCCCATCTGTGGTCACCCACTTTCCAAAGGTCACAGTCACAGGTTCTAGGGGTGAGAGTGGGACCCTCTCCTCTAGGGGGCGGGGGGAGGCGATCCAGCCTACACCTTGTGGGGCCCCGGCTCTGCCCACAGGGCGCTGGCTCTGAACTGCAGTGCCCCCATCAACGACCGCAAGGGGGCTGAGGCCAAGGACTGGCGGTCCGGGAAGCCGGTGCGGGTGGTGCGGAACGTGAAGGGTCGCAAGCACAGCAAGTACGCGCCCGCCGAGGGCAACCGGTACGACGGCATCTACAAGGTGAGTGGCTGGCCCTGCCCCGCCCGGCCCTTGCGGGGCGCCCTCAGGCCCCGCACGGCACCCACCTCCACCGCGCTTCCCCATAGGTCGTGAGGTACTGGCCAGAGAAGGGCAAGTCCGGCTTCCTGGTGTGGCGCTACCTCCTGCGGAGGGACGACACTGAACCTGGCCCCTGGACGAAGGAAGGGAAGGACCGGATCAAGAAGCTGGGGCTGACCATGCAGGTGCGTCCCGGCCGGGCCTGTCGCTTCCGGCCTGGGATCCCAGCTCACCCCCCTCGGGCCCGTCCGGCGCCTCGTGCTGCACAGCCCGGGCCAGGAGCTGGCCTGCTCTGAGCCTCGTCTTCCTGCCGGTCACCGGGGGTCGTGGGAGCCTGCTTTCTTGGCCAGAAGCTCTCCGGGGTTTCTGTGATCTTAAATGATTTCCAGGCACCGAGCTGGTCGCCCCTTGCTGGCTGTAGCATTCGGATTCTTTAGCCAGTAGATCTCGGCTGTGGGCTGCTGGTGGTTGTCTTTGCACTCAGAGTTGGAGGGCGGAGAGCCAGACTTCCTTGTTAGAGCTGTGTTCAGGGAGGAGTTTGTGCGAAAGCAGCGTGGAATCCGGGATCTTCCTTTTTGCTAGGCTCCATGCCTCCTCCAAGCACGCGCAGGCAAACCCACAGAACTGGCGGGATGTGGGGAAGAATGCTCCCTCAGAGCCCTCGCTCACCTCCTCACGGCAGCTGTATGTCCCAGAGTTCACCCGGTGCGCGGTGCGCCTTTTCTGCACCATAATTACGGTGTTTCTGTTCATTATGGCAAGTCTCTTTACAGCTGATAACTCAGTGTGGGACTATTTAAGGAATCTTAATTGCTACTGAGAATCAGATAGCGCCTCCCCCAGGGGGTCATGAAGTTGTCTTTTGAACACGATGTTTGCACCATGGAGAATTTCAGAAGCTTGAGGAACCGGGGAGAAAAATAGTCATGGGACAGGATCCACCAGCATCTGGTGGGAGTATTTGTGACTTCGTGTTGCTGAAGACACTTGATGGTTTCTAGATGACACACTGGAAAATCCCACATAATAGGAGGTGCCTCAGAGATGGGGTTATCATCAAATAATGCCTGCAGACTCCTCAAAATTGGGTTGGCAAGCCAAGGCCTCGGGGCCGCGTCTTTGTAAAGGAAGTTCTCTGGAGGCCCAGCCTTGCCCATCCATTCCCTTCTGGGCCCTGTCCGCTTTCGGGCTACAGCAGAGCTCTGAGGCTTGGCCCCTCGTGGGAAAGCTTGCCTGCCTCTGAACGAACGAATAAGGATAATGATTAGACTCTCTCATTGCTAGAGCTGATGGTGAGCATTTTCTGTGCATTCCCTTGTTCTCTTGTTGGGCGCAGATGGCACCCTTTGCCCTTTTATTTCTGGTATGTTTGCCGGGTAGAGGTTTATTTGCCAGAGGTCCCCTGGAGGCTGAGTCAGAAGGAGTCCAAGTTTCTGAGGCGACAGTGGGGACTGGGGAGGGACTGTCAACGAGGTGAGGGTAGAGGGCGGGGGCAGGAAGGGCGCCCGGACCCCCCGTTGCTCCTCACGGCCGACTCCACCCTCTTGCAGTACCCAGAAGGCTACCTGGAGGCCCGGGCCAGGAAGGAAAAGGAGAAGGAGAACAGCAAGAGAGAGGCCGAGGAGCAGGAGGAGGAGATGGAAGAGGAGGGGGCCTTCACGTCCCCCAGGAAGGGCAAGCGCAAGAGCAAGTCCGCAGGTGGGTGTCTCTGCGGGCAGCCTCCCCGGGCCTCCCTGTGAGCATGTCCGGCCGCCTGCCCTCACCCCCTCTGCTCTGTCCCTGCAGGTGGCAGGGCCGGTGTTGGGTCCCCGGGAGGGACACCTAAGAAGAGCAAGGTAGAGCCCTACAGCCTCACGGCCCAGCAGAGCAGCCTCATCAAGGAGGATCAGAGCAACACTAAGCTGTGGAGTGAGATCCTGAAGTCGCTCAAAGACGGGCCGGTGAGTGCCCGCCGCCCCCACCCCTACCCGGCCTGGGTGGCCTCTCCCCTCATCTTTGTTTACGTGGTGATGTAGAAATAATTCCCTATCGTAACCGTCTCTAAGTGTGTAGCTCAGCGGCATGAAGCACACTCACCCTGTTCTGCAACCACCCCCCCCTCCGTCTCCAGAACATTCCATCTCCCCACACGGAGACTCTGTCCCCATGAAGCACGGACTCCCCACCCCCTGCCCTAGCCCTGGCTCCCACCGTCTCCTCTCTGTCTCTGTGGATGGGACTCCTCTGGGACCTCCTGGGAGTGGGGTCCTGCGGGATGTGTCCCTCTGGGTCTGGCTTCTCTCACTGAGCATGGTGTCCTCGGGGTCCCTCCACGTCGTGGCAGGTGTCAGGGTCCCTTCCTTTCTAAGGCCGAGTGATATTCCAGCGTGTGGGTAGACCACATCGTGTTTGTCCGTGCACCTGTTGGGGGACGCTGGCTGGCTTGCACCTCTGCTGTGACCTCCCAGGCACGGGACTTCTGGGTCATAAGGTCTGTCTGTGCTCAGCTTTCTGCGGAACGGCTAAACCAGGCCTGTCTTTTTTCGATCCTCCTGCCCTGAGCAGGATGAGTGACCTAGATGGGTCGCCGCCTGCTCGGTGTCCTCTGGCCACCGCCCATACCTCCTGGGAACGGGCTGTCTGTGCCTCCCTCTGGACAGTCCCCTTGCAGTCTGCCTGTTACTCTCACGCGCTCCCCTGGGCTCTCGGTCCTGGTTACCTTGTCTCGGGGCCTTGGCCCTCACGGTCCCCTCAGCCTTGAGTACCTTCCCGCACAGTGCTCCTGCAGGGGTCCCCTGCGGCCCCTGTGGCGAATGACCACAGACCTGGTGGCTCTGAACAACACCGATTTCTTCTCTCAAAGTTCTGGAGGGCAGAGGCCAAAAATGAGTCTTTCGGGGCTCAGCGCAGGTGTGGGCAGGGCCGGTTCCTTCCAGAGGCTCCTAGGCTCCCCAGTTTCTGGAGGTGCTGCGTCACTGACCCAGCATACCGTTGCAGACTGTGCCCCCATGGTCACACGGGCTTCTCTGAGGGTCAGACCTCTCTCTGTCCCTCTCACATGGTGGGCTTCCTGCGTAACTTAGGATATTGTCCCATCTCAGGGCCCTTAATCCCATCTGTGTGAAGTCCCTTGAGCCATGTGAGGTGACATGCACAAGTTCCGGGATTCAGAGGCAGCATCTTGGGGGCCATGACCTAGCCGGCCGCGTGTCCTCCAGGTCACCTCCTCCACAGAGCGCTGCCTGACCGCTGGCATTCCAGGGACTCCCCCCCCGGCTCCCTGCTGTCCTCCCCCCAGCACTGCTGTGACATTTCTGTCCCCACCTGTCTCATCTTCGGTCTCCCCCGCTGGCCTCCACCCTCCAAGTGGGCCGGGTTTCTTCTGTTTTACCCGCCGATGGGCCCCCACACCCAGGCCTCACACAGCCGCACTTGGTACCGGTGTACTGAGGGAAGAGCCGCTGATAAGCCCACTCTCGACTCGGAGCCGGGTGTGCTCTGGGCCGCGGGTGCCCCTCGGCGTGACTCTGGGCATGGCCCGCCTCTCTGGGCTTCTGTTTTCTTGTCCTCACGTGGGGCAAGAGCTGCCTCCGGCCCCCAGGTGGGGGTGCTGGTTCTGACCCTGTCGGAGGAGGTCCGGTCCACTCTCACGCACTCTCCTCCAGTTCCAGAAGTTCCTGAGTAAGGTGGAGGAGGCGTTCCAGTGCATCTGCTGCCAGGAGCTGGTGTTTCGTCCCATCACGACTGTGTGCCAGCATAACGTGTGCAAGGTGAGAGGGGCGGCCATGGGCCGGGGGCGGGGGCTGCTCAGAGGACACTGTCCTCCCCCTCCCGTGCCCCCACCAGGCTGCAGAGTAAAATGCAGCACCTGGGCCACCCTGCCCACCTCTCTGTGACTTTAAGGCACACTGGCCCTCCGCCTGTCCCTCCAGCAGGCCATAGCCTACCTGCCTTAGGAGTATTCTCTGGTTCTCCCTCCCCTGGAACGTTTTCTCCCAGGCTCCTAGGTGGCTGGGGATCCAGGGCAGGAGAGGATAGGTGGCAGTCTCAGCCTGAGGTCTGATTATAACAAATGTTGATTGAGCATGCTGTGGACTGGGACGGAGAGGTGTGAGGTGCTTGGCTCCTAGAGGAGCAGGAGGGAGGGTTTCCTAGCGGAGGTGACATCTCAGGTGGGCAGAATGGCGTTTGCAGAAGCCTGGACAGGCGGGCAGGGCGGAGCAGCTGGGGCCTGTAGGGGACGAGGGCTGGGAGGTGGGCCTGGAGGGTGGTCAATCAGGAGGGCTGGACTGGAAGAGAGACTGGGGGTGGGGGGGCGACATGGGGTGGCCGAGGTCTCCTCTGCAGCCGTGCTGACACTGGGGTGGGTCAGTCTCTGTGGGCAGTGAGCTCTCCCTGCCAGGATCACCCCCAGTCGTGATAGCCGCAGAGATTCCCGACACTACCTACGTCCCCTGGAGGCAGAATTGCGTAGTTGGGCGTGCTGGTGAGCAGGAATGGCTGTTTTGCGGTGTCTTCTAGTTAGAGTCGCTCAGTAGGAACTTATGGGCAGTGCAGGCAAGCAGTTGTGGTGGAAGGGACTGTCTCTGCCTCCTGGCCACCCTTGTTCTCTGAGCTACTGGCCCCCTTTCTTGCCTTGGGGTCATCTCGGTTCAGGCTCCTGTGTTAGCTGTCCCACCAGGGGAGGGCCTCCAAGACCATCAAGCAGTGTGGCAGGTCAGGCCCTTCCCTTTCCTGTCCTCGGGCCCTGCTGCCCTGCCATGCGGTCCGCTAAGTCCCCTTGGCAGTGTGGCCCGGGAGAGAAGCCCTGCGCGCCCCAAGCAGAGGCTCAGCCCCTCCCGGTCGTGTAGCCTTGGAAAGCCACCCAGGCCCTCTGAGCCCCCGTTGCCTTGGTGCAGAGGAGCGGGGGCGACACCCTCCCGGCCAGCTTCTGGGCCAGCACGCAGGCAGAGGCGGGACAGACGGCGGGGCCGGCGGGTCAGGCCTTAGAGCTGCGGCGGGTTGTGGGGAGGCCGCTTCGGAGCGTCTCAGCAGAGCCAGTGTGGGTGCTGGGAAAGGGGCTGTGCGTTTGGTTTGTCGCTGGTCGCTGTAGGAACCGCAGCCTCTGAGCCGTCCTAGGAAAATGGCTTTGGCCTACGTATCCCAACACCTGACTTTGTTTTTACTCTATTAAAAAACTTATTGTATTGAAATACCTACAAAGTGAAAATTGCCATCGTAACCATTTTCAGTGCATAGCTCCGCGGCATGAAGCCCACTCACTCGGTCCTGCAGCCACCCCCACCCTCCATCTCCAGAACTTTCCATCTCCCCACATGGAGACTCTGTCCCCATGAAGCACGGACTCCCCACCCCCTGCCCCAGCCCTGGCTCCTACCCTCTCCTCTGTCTCTCTGGACGGGACCCTCTGGGGACCTCCTGGGAGTGGGGTCTTGTGGGATGTGCCCTTCTGGGTCTGGCTCCTCTCACTGAGCCTGGTGTCCTCGGGGTGCCTCCACGTCATGGCAGGTGTCAGGATGTCCTCCTCGCCCCCTTTTTTTTTAAGTAGGCTCCATTCCCAGTGTGGAGCCCAATATTGGGCTTGAACTCAAAATCCTGAGATCAAGACCTGAGCTGAGACCAAGAGTCTGATGCTTAACTGACTGAACCACCCAGGCACCCTTTCCCTTTCTTTTTATGGCTGAATAACATTCCAGTGCGCGGATGGACATTTGGGGCGTTTCCATCTTTTGGCTTTTGTGAATAATGCAGCAGTCCAGAACCTGATTTTTGAATGTGGACCTGAATCTTAGTTGTGTTGAGTAGAAAGAACTGCCTTCGGTCTCTGGAATCAAGGCTGTAGATTGAAAAAGGATTGAGGAGTTTTACAAATGGGAGCAGAAGCCACAGCCTGTGTCCAGTGGCTGGATGTGCGGTGGCATCGGCAGGCTTTCCGCCTTGTTGACCTTTACCCCCTCACCCGCTTGCCTGATGCCATCCTTCAGGTGCGTGCACATGCAGGTGGCGTCTTCCCTGTTTCTGCGAGTGGGAAGCTGGCTGTCCAGGGCTTGTCTGCCTCTTAGTTCTGTTCCCACCTGGCTTGCTTCTGCAGCTCTCATGCAGAATGGTGTATGAACCCAGAAGTCTGGCTCGGGGCCAGAGATCCTGCCTTCCTTTCGCCCTTTCTTCTCAGCACGTATTTGTTGAACGTGTGTGTGTCAGGGTCCTGTGCTCGGTGCTGGCGGGGTCAGCAAGACCTCTCCAAGTGGCAGGCAATGTCTGGCCTGCTTCACACAAGGACGTTAGTACAAGGCGATTCCAGAAGGTGGAAGGTGCTGTTTTAAGACAAGTAGGGTGAGGGCTGCTTCTGATATTCTAGGGTCATCAGGGAAGGGTCCTCTGAGGAGGTGACTTGAGCCGAGGCATGAGTGACAGGAGAGCCAGAGGACAAACCCGTTAGGTGGCATGAGCCACAAATGCCAAGGCCTGGAGGCCAGAATGGGCTTGGAGTCTTTGGGGAGCCCCAGGGAGGCCAGCCTAGAGGTAGAAAGTGAGACCGAGGGTCAGGGACCCTGTGAGAAGTTGGTGATTGTTGCTCACCCCCTGCTGGGGGATCGTGGGGTCGGTGGTTGTTGCTCACCCCGCGCCCGGGGGACATGGGTGGCTGGCTGAGACGGTGCTTCTCACTTAGCCCTCTCTTGCAGGACTGCCTGGACAGATCCTTCAGGGCCCAGGTGTTCAGCTGCCCAGCCTGCCGCTACGACCTGGGCCGGAGCTATGCCATGCAGGTGAACCAGCCGCTGCAGGCCATCCTCAACCAGCTCTTCCCCGGCTACGGCAGCGGGCGGTGATCCTCAAGCACTTCTCGCCGGCAGTTTTTAAAAAACATGTCACAGGGGTCTCTGCCCCCTTTTGTTTTTAGTGGGTTTAACTTAAACATGTAGTTTTTCCTGCACTCCCTAAACAGCCTTGTCTTCCTGGTTTTGTTTTGTTTTTTTTTAACCTATAAATTTTCAGGAGTTTGTATTATGCTCAAAGAAAGTTGGACTTCTCTGTGTTTTTATTTTGGTTTTAAAAAAAATACCAAGCCTGCAGTTTATCAGCAAAAGACAAATTTTTTCTGAAGATGGAATTAAAAACGCCTTGGCGCAAAGGCTGCTTGTGTTCCCAGCGCCAAGTTCCCAGAAGTTCCCGCCGCTGCCGAGCAACAAGGCGCCCGGCTGCCTGGAACCGTCTCTTCAAGGTGTGTGGCTTGGGCCCCCGAAGTTGAAAGCGAGCGCATCTCCCTGATGGCGTTTTGCCGCCTAAAAGCCAGCAAGGTGGTGCCTGGTGGTGGCCCGGGTGGGCCTGGCCCTGCTGTCGCCCACTGGGAAGGTGGCAAGAAGAGAAGTCCCGGCCGGCCGGTTTAAACACCTGTCCCGAAGCCATGCCCCCCAGTCCGCTTTCGTGTTGCAGTTCTGCACGCAGAGCCCTCTGCCTGGGTGCGTGGGGGGCTGCCGCCGCCACCGGACTAATCTGCGCGTGGCTGGGCGTGTGGCCAAGGGCCGGCCCACCTGCAGCACCATGGAAGCACACGTTCGAAGCCATGTTCAAGTGCCTTGGGGTCTTTCTTTTGTTGTAAACACGAGGCTCTCTTTTAGCACTGAATTGTTGAAAACGCTAGCCAGATTTTAAAACTGGGGCTAGCCAGTTCTTCCTGATACTGGGTGAGTGTTTGGGGGTGATTTCATTTCTGTGGATCCTTTCAATTGAATTGTCAGCTCACTAACTGAGAATTTTAAGAGGAATTTTTTTTTTTAAGTACTTTTTTGAATGAAATTTTTTTGTAGTTATTGTATATGTACCAAGAAAGCTATAACTTAGGGTTTGGTTGTGTTTTTGTTTTTTGTTTTTTTGTTTTCTCTTTTTTTGGTTTTGTATTTTTTTGGAATGATTTGTTGATTTTTTTTTTCCCTAACTTTACCAAAGTTTGCAGCTTTTACCTCAATAGAACAGGAATATTTTAAATCCCATAACTGCAGACAAACTGGAGCGATACTGTTTTAAAAGTTTTTCTTTTCTCCTTACTAGGTTTGTTAATGTATTAGGAAGAAACAACAAAATCCTGTGTAGGCTTTTTCTAAAAAGTTCAGTATTCTTTGTCCAGATTTTAGATTCTCAGAATAAATGCCTTTTACAGATGATCGGGTTGTGTCTTCTGTTTGTGAGGTGTTTTGTGGTCCGCCAGCCGGGCACCTCAGTTCCTCTTCTCCAAAGCCTGGGGACACGGACCCGGCAGGCGGCATCAGTCCTGCTCGGAGGACAGGACAGGTCGAAGACAGAGTGACGGGCCGTGGCCCTAAGCGCCACTCAGGAGGCGTCAGGCTTTGACCTTAGCAGGGTCCACAAACCCGAGCCAAGGGGCCAAATCCAGCCTTCCAGCTTGGAACCAGGGGTCACTTAATGCTCGCCAAGGTGAGTGGCACTGTTCCCCATTTATATTTGGGGAAACAGACAGCCATGATCTCCATTAGGAGATGGGCCTGAATCAGCAACCAGGAGTCACATGATCCCGGAGAGGTCTCTATAGGCCTGGGGATGTTTGGGCACCAAGGGGGCGAGGGTCCTGACAACCTGAAATGCTGGCTCCGCAGAGGTCAGAGGCCAAGGAGAAGGCAGGTTTAATGGTCGACTCCAGGGAAGGGAGCAGCTACGCTCTGCAGAGGCCATTATTCACATCGACCTATTGCCTGCACCTTTTTTTTTTTTTAAGATTTTATTTATTTATTTGAGACAGAGAGAATGAGAGAGAGAGAGAGCACACATGAGAGGGGGGAGGGTCAGAGGGAGAAGCAGGCTCCCTGCCGAGCAGGGAGCCCGATGCGGGACTCGATCCAGGGACTCCAGGATCATGACCTGAGCTGAAGGCAGCCGCTTAACCAACTGAGCCACCCAGGCGCCCTTGCCTGCACCTTTTATTGATGGTTAAGTAATGATGTGGGTAGATCTGATTTGGTAACAAGGAAAAAGTTCTGTCTCTCTGGGTCCTTTCAAATGTGTCAAGTGTGCCCTTGAACGCATGCTGGGGGCAGGGTGGTGGGGGCTGCTTCGTGGGGTGGACAAGAATGTTCTAGGTCTGCTGATGGCTGCACACATACGGGGATGTACCGAAATGCTTTGAGTTGTACACTTCTTGAGTGGGTCAGTTGTACGGTAGATGAATTATGTCTCAAAGAAATGTCAAGTGTGAGTGTGAAATAAAAACAGGAATGATGCCCAGCTGTGAGGAGCAGAGGAAATGCCACGAACGTCCCCAGGCGGGCCCTACCCCGGGAACGGAACACATGGGGGTGGGTTCCTTGTTGAGATTGTGGGCTTTTTGGATGTTTCTCTCATTTGGAAAGTTAAGAACAATGTCATTGTTAAAAATTTGCAAAACTCAGACCTGGAATTGCTATGCAAAAAAATCACAATATTAGGCATGTTTGTTTCCTGGTAGGGTTGGGTTGGGTTTGGTTTTTATTGTTCTATAACAGCTTTATTGAAATGCACTTCACATTGCCCTAAAGTTCACCCATTTAAAGCGTACAGTTAACTGGTTTTTAGTACGTTCAGAGTTGAGCAACCATCGCCTCTAGTTACAGAACATTCTCATTACTGTAGAAAGAAACCCCGTCACCATCAGCAGTCCTCCCCCACCCGTACCCCCAGGCCCCGCACCTTCAAGCCCCCTTCCTGTCCATGGATGAGCCTGTTCTGGACGTTTCATGCACACGGAATCACACAGTGTGGCCTTCCGTGTCTGGTTCCCTCCCTGAGCTTGTCCATGTTTTACTCCTTTAAAGGCTGAATAATATTCCATTATATGGGTTAACCACCTTTTTATTTATTTCTTTTAAAGATTTTACTTATTTGAGAGCGCAGGAGCAGAGCAGGGAGGAGCAGATGGAGAGGGAGAAGGAGACTTCCCGCTGAGCAGGGAGCCCAATGCGGGGCTCGATCCCAGGGTCCTGGGATCGTGACCCGAGCCAAAGGCAGACGCGCAGCTGACTGAGCCACCCAGGCACTCCTGGATTAACCACCTTTTTAAATCCACCTCGTTGACTTTTTAATGTAAAGTGTGTTCCTTCTTTTCCTCCACTGTAGGTTATAAAATCGGTTCACATCGTCAGGCTTTATTTACACTTGCTGTGCACCTGTATGTATGGGTACCACAGTGTTCGACCTCAACAGAGCCCTCCAATATAGTTTTGACTCCTAGCCATCTTGCAGTTGAGACACAGGGAGGTTAAGTGACTTACCCAAAGACGTGGCAAAGCCAGGGCACATACATAGGTGTATATGAATTTAAACACAAAGTGAGGACAGTGCTGTATATTATACTGCCTTATCCCGGTTTTCTATTCATTTCAGTTCATTTTATAAGTGACCACCTTGTCTAGCACCTTAGTAAACAAACGTGAGCTGTGGTCTGGTGTGTGCATGTTTGTGTGTTTGTGTTCAAAAATGGGAAACCTACTACATGTATGTCTAGTGATGCATGCTTGAAGCGAAATGGAATGTCAGAATTCCTCCTCCTGGGGAGCCTGGGGGGCTCAGTTGGTTGAGCAAGACTCTTGGTTTCGGCTCAGGTTGTGAGAGTGAGCCCCGCGTTGGGCTCGGCGTGGAGTCTGCGTGAGAGATTCTCTCTCCCCCTCTGCCCCTCCTGCCATTCATTCTCCACCCCCCCCCCAATAAACCAATAAATAAAATCTTAAAGTGAGCCGGCCCTGGGCTGCTCGAGGCTTGTTCAGGGAGAGGTACAGCAAGGCTCCCAGTCCCAGCCTTTCATGAGATTCGCACCTGTCTGCAAAGACCTGAAGAAAACCCAGGTGATTTATCCCCCGGAGAATTTGCCCATTTGAGAATTCTGTGTCCTTCCTACTTCGCATAGGACCCTTTTTTTAATTAAATGGCAGCGCTTGTACTTTTTTCCCCTAACAATCTTATTATGCAAACTTTCAAACAGAAAAGTTGAATTGTATGGTGAACCCTCAAATACACCCTCTGTCTGGATTCTTGTACAATTGTTAACGTTCAATTTTTACATAATAGACGGCATTAAAAAAAAGTCTCCCCAGACAAAATAAGTTGACAACCTATTTAGGTGCTCCAATTAAAAAATTTTTTTATTTTTTGAGTCTGTGTCATCCAAATACCCGGAACTCACTGTGTTACAGGAGAACAGAAGGCCTGTGTGTATTTTTGGGGGTGGGGGAACCTCCATTTTTGCACCTTGGATATTGTGTTACCAAAATCCAGTGCCATTTGTCTCTCCCACTGCTTAGGGAGTTCCTTGGGGGCACATGTTCTTTCCCATTTTTTTTTTTTTTTTTTAGATTTTATTTATTTATTTGACAGAATAGTGAGAGCAGGAACACAAGCAGGGGGAGTGGGAGAGGGAGAAGCAGGCTTCCCGCCGAGCAGGGAGCCCGATGTGGGACTCGATTCCAGGACCCTGGGATCATGACCGGAGCGGAAGGCAGACGCTTAACGACTGAGCCACCCAGGCGCCCTGTTCTTTCCCATTTTCAAAGTTTAATTTTAACTACATGAGGACTCTGTGAATATGGTCCCAGGAGAAAGGACAATCTCCCTGAACAGATTCAAGTCCCCACAGACTACCCCCCCCCTTTTTTTTAAAGATTTTATTTATTTACTTGACAGAGACACAGTGAGAGGGAACACAAGCAGGGGGAGCGGGGGAGGGAGAAGCCCACCCTTCCTACCCGCGCGGATCTCTCCTCTCTCAAGATTTCCTTTTCTCCCTTCCACGGTGACCTTTCTCTGCATTGCCTCGGATGCGGATGCGTGCTCTTGGAGACCACACGACTCGGGTCTCGGTGTGTCTTCCCCATATCGTAGGTTACTGGACACTGAATTGGGGACCATTCTGCAGCTTGCTCACGAATGTGTGTAGGGGATCATTCCAGGACAGTGTTTGGAGACCGCCGTCTTGTTAAACTGCTACACAGTTCGAAGTGCTGCGGAGTGCCCCGTGCCACCCCGTGCCACAGATTAGCTGGCCAGGCCCCTGTAGATGGGTGTGTAGAGCAACACCTTTGGCGCTGAAGGCGTGAGCTCCGGGGGGTTACTCGGGGTGCCTGACCTCCCGGGGCGATACAGTGTGGATAACACAAATATGACTGGGAAGCGCCCTGCTGCCGATTCACACGACTGCCCGCTGCCCGGGGCGCACCCCACTCTTGCCTACTGCACAAGTGGTAATAATGAAGACAGTGGTGAACCCACTCGGGTGAAGCCACCTGCTCAAACCCTTTGTGTGTGGCGTCCCACTCCTTCTTGCAACATCCCTTGGGGAGGGGCCGGTGGGGTCGGCTGTGTGTGTGTGTGTGTGTGTGTGTGTTACCATCATATCCGCTTCACAGGGGAAACTGAGGCCCAGCGAGGTTCCAGTGAGGTGTGGGGCCCAGCTGAGCTTGGAACCTTGGTGTTAGGGGCTGCCTCGTGTTAGGAAACTCGGGGGAGCGCACCTAACTACCCGGTGGGCCTTGCCGGTTTGCAAAGTTTTGTTGACTGTGATGGGAATGAATTTGGCTTTTTGGGGGGGCAGAGGAGGGACGCTTGCTGCGTGACTTTTTATTTCTCCAGTTCTTAGTTCTCCTGTTTTGCAAAAGGGGTTGCACCAGAGCTGTTTCCCACGTCAGGACTTAATGAACTGAGGAACTCTGCGTCCAAGTTCCGGCCACGGGTCTCGAACCCCTTCCGCGTGCCTCCAGGGCCTGGTGCTGATGTTGTGCTGGGTCTCACGTACTCAGTTGCAGCCTGATAACCGGGGCGGGGCCCGGGCCCTGATTGGCATTCGCGCCAGCCAGTCCGCGCCTCGGGCTCACCCCGTAAGCCAATGCTCACTTGCCCCCGTGCGGTCGTTGGGCGGTCCCCGAGGCGCCCTTGTCAATCCGAGGCCCAGCCACCGTCGGGTTGGTAGCGGCTCCCTTGGCTGGCGTGCGCCGCTTCCAATGAAAACGGAGCCGGTCAGCGGGCACGTGGGTGGGCGCCGGCGTGTCCCGACCGGTCAGCCAATGGGGAGGCGAGGCCGGCGCCTGCGCCCCCCCCAATCGAAGCGCGCGGGGGGCGGGCCGTGAGATGTTGATGGGCCCGGTGGAGGGGAGGGGCGGAGCTGTCAGCGACAGCCAATGGGCGCGCGGGCGTGGGCTCGGGGGCCAATGGCAGCCAGGGCGGAGCTGGCGCGCGGCCTCATAAGCCCCGCCCGGGGCGCTCGCGGAGGGCTCGGCCGCCAGCGACCGAGCGGGGCCCGGCCCGAGCGGGGCCTGGGGGTGCGACGCCGAGGGCGGGGGAGCGCGCGCCGCTGCTCCGGACCGGGCCGCGCGCGCCGCCTCAGGTGAGCCCGCGGGGAGGCGGCCGCCGCGTCCGAGCTCGGGCCCCGCCGCCGCCACCGCCGCCGCAGCCGCCGCCGCAGTCGCCGCCGCCCCCGCGCCGCGCCCCGGGCTGCGGGCGGGCGCCCGGGACTCGAGGCCCAGGCCTCGGGCGCGGCCTGTTGGGGCCGCGGCCGCCGCGCTTTGTCCCGGCCCGCGAGGCGGTTGGGGGCGTTAACCGCCTGGCCCGGGGGTGCCCGCCGGGCCTCGGGCGGGGGCGGCGCGGCCGGACAATGGCGGGGCCGGGGGCGGGAGGCGGGGGCGTCCGGCCCCGGGCCGGGGGCGCGCGCGGGGGCTGGGCCGGGGCGTCCCCGCCGGCCCTGCACAAAAGATGACAGCGTGGGTGGCCCGGCCCGGCCGGCCCTGCCTGGCTGGGCCCTTCTCTTTTATTATTCACAACAATCCTGATAATTAAAAAAAAAAAAAAAAAAAGAGAGAGGCAGAGACAGAGGGCTCGCGAGCGCGAGGGAACGGGCGATCCCGGGCCCCGGCCGGCCCCCGTCTGCGTTTCCGCCCCCGGCGGGGTCACCGGGGCGCTGCCCGGCGGCGGCCCCCCGACACGGCCATCGCTGCACCCCACCCCCGCCCTGAGACAGCCCGCCGCGCCGTCGCGGCTTCCCAACTCGCTTCCTATCTGCGAGCCCCCTAAAATAAGCGTGCAGTCTGGATCTTTTTTATTATTATTATTAAAAAACGTATCCACTTGGTATGCACCTCGCAGCTGCCAGACGCGTTCCCTGAGTGCCTCCCCCTTCGAGCCCCATCGCCATCTCAGAGACCCCCTTCTCTGTAGGAATAGATTGTGGAGTCGCTCCCGCAGCGACCCCGGTGGGAGCTTGGGGGGACGGATTCATTTTGCAAGGGACCTGCCCCGCAACGTGCAGGGGCCCGAGTCTGCGCCCAGTGGGCGCGATGACTCCAGGTGGAATGGGGTGCCTGTCCACCTGAGCACGGTGGGAGGTTTTGCAGGAGATTGTTCTCACCCTGGGGGCGGGGGAGGCGTGGACTGCTCTTCGGTGGCGTCCCATCTGTTTGGTTGGGGGGAGGATGCTTTTGTTTTAATAATTCAGGTGCACCTGGGGAACTGTTTCCCGAGTTATGAAACTAGTGAGAAGGTGGTTCTGTTCAGTGCAATCCAGTGATCCTACAACATGTAAAAGAGTGTGTTCTTGTCCATGTGTTTCTGTCAGCTGCATTTATTCAGCAAGTTCCTTTGGGCCCCACTGGGTGCTGGCTGTGTCTTGGGGTCGGAGGATACTGGGATGCATTCAAGGCTTGGGTGCCCTGCCCCACCCCTCTGCCTCAACAGCTATTTATGTGGTTGTCCCCAGGCTGGAGAAAGCCCTAAAACGGGCTCATTAGATGACTCTATGTGCTTTTATCTCCGCCATCCGAGAGCTAATGACTCCCCTAATTCTCAAATAATAGCTTCCTTATGAGGCTTCGGGAGGGTTTGTCGACTCGCCGGTCAGCCTTTTCTCGCCACCTCTGCAAGAGCTGTGGACGGCCTCTCCCGTCTTTGCAGCTTGTTTTTTGGAAACTTGAAGGACAGAGTGTGAAAGTCGTGGAGTCAACTTGTGATTATCTGAGTCGAGGGTTTCTGAAACTCGCCGGCCCTCTTTCCGCGTTTCTGATTGGATGCTTGGCAAATCTTGGTGTTCCTCCATTTGTGCCGGGACACCACGCCGGTCAGGCTGCCCTGCCCTGGGGGACGTCACTGCTGGGGAGCACGGGGGTGGCCGAGGCGTGGTTGCCCAGATGCGCCCGGGTGTTGCGGCACGTGCATGCGGGTCCTGTGTCAGTCGCTGCCTGTGCGTGTGTGTGCACACTCATGTGAGTGTGTAGCTGTTGAGACTTGAAATATATACAGGTCCCAGAACAATTGGTTTTCTCCCATTTTCTGATCCTTTCCTCGTTGGGGGTGGGCTGCTAAGGAGATGTGAAATACTGGCGCTGAAAGGTAGTGCTGATTGGTCCTTTAGGACCCCGCCCGGCCTTTGTTGTACTTTTCCTCAGTCCCTGGGCCATCCTGCAGGAGCCTTCTGGGGTGGTCGGCCCCCTCCCCCCAGCCCCACCCTGCCAAGCCCCTTTTCCCCCCGCCCTGGCCGCTCTGTCTGTACTTGAGCCCGCATTTCGCCACCCGGGCCTCTGCTGGTTTCTTGCCCCTGCCCTCCGGTGCCCCACCCCCTTCCCCTGGAGGGGCTCTGCCATCTGTTCCTGGCTTCTATCTGACACCTGTGAGAAGGCAGCGGAGGGCGGGGGGGGGGGGGGCGGTGGAGCACTGGGACAGGTTATAGAGAATTCCTAACTTGAGGAGGCCTCGGTTCTAGTGGGGGAAGGGAGAGGTGGGGGTCCTGGGGTGTGAAGCCCACCATCCACAGGGACTGGTTCAGGGAATGGGCAGGGACACGGGATGGGTGGTGATGGGCTGAGGCGCTGGCAAATGAGCCTTTGCCTTTGTGGCTTTCTTCCTGCGATGTGGAAGTGTGGTGTGGGGGGGGTCAGAGCTGTGTGACCTTGGGCCAGTCACTTGCTCAGGAACAAAGTTGGGGGGTTGCTAAACCTTCCCAAGTTGGGGGGCGGGGTGGAGAGCAAATGAACTACTTGCAGAGGGCATGACTGTGGAGGGCCCCACAGACCTGCTCGGTCACCACCGTGCCTCACCCACAGCCTCGGCCGGCCAGGGTTCCTGGCTCTGCTCCAGAGACTTGCCCCGTGGCTACTCCGTGGGGCCTCTGTGCCCCAGCTCTTTCCTGCCCCGCCCTGGTGCCTCTGCTCTGGCTGAGGATGCTGGGCAGCAGAGGACAGGGCCGAACCTGGACTCCGTTCTGACCTGCTGTTCTTGGCCGTGTCCCTGGGTTCCTGTCCTCTCTGTTCCCCAGACAGGCTTCCAAGTGTGAGGGACCCGGGTTCAAATCCTCCTCTGGAGCAGGTCACTTCCCTTCTCTGGGCCTCTGATTCCTCATCTGTAAAATGGGTGTAATGAGAACCCATGCTAGGTCATTGTGGGGGATCAAAGGGGATGAGAAGCACTGAATGCTTTGTGTGGCACCAGAGGCTCGGGCTGGACTGGGTTGATTACTGGTGCGTGGCATCTGCTTCTGTCAGGGGCTCCCTCTGCCTGTCCACATTCGATCGGATTGTCCTCCGGGGGACCGTAGTGGGCACTTGGGGGGCTGAGCAGCATCCCTGGCCCTGCCCACTTGATGCCCAGAGCACCCCCAGTGTGAGAACCGCAGATGTCCTCAGACATTGCCGAATGTCCCCTGGGGGACACAGTTGCCCCTGAGGGAGATCCTGTCACTTAACCTTTAACCCTGCAGCAGTCTGATACTTGGCTACGACCCCGCTCTGCCTCAAGTTCTGGTCCCCTTTGTCCCCTTCCTCCCCTCTGTCCTTGAATAGGGAGGGGCTTGTGTTTGCAAACGGTGTCTGGCCAAACTCAGTCTGGCTGTCCAGGTCCTTCCCGGCTGTCGTTCTGCCTCTCCCCGGCCCTTCCCAGCCCGCAGCTTCCCCTCCCGGAGAGGGGTGCATCCACAGACTTGCCCGTGCCACTTGATGGGCATGGCTCAGGGCTCTTCCGGGGCTGTCCTCACCCGGAGCCTGTGCGGGTGCCCTGCCCAGGCTGGCTTCCACCTGTCACCATACACCCCCCCCCGCCCCGGTCACCATACCTCTTCCTGTCACTTTGCTTAACAGTTCTCTTTAAGTTGACTTTGAGTGACTCACTTTAATCTTGCCTCCTCCTGAATAGTAACGTCCATGAAGTCGCGGGGCTGTTCTCACGCTGGTTGCAGACATTTTTATCCAGTGAACTGGATTTAACTCTGATATTAAAAAAAACAGGTTTGGGTCACCGCAGTAGTAAGGCCCGAGAGGACTGATGAATTGATTTTGTTGTTGGATGAGTTGGTTTCTGAGTTTCCTCCCTGCTTTGACTTGGCCTATTCTGGGAGCGGTTTGTTGGTTAGATAAGGTGTCCCCACTGGTCTGTCACTTTTCACTCCTTCCTCAAGGAGCTTTTAGAAACTTGAAAAGTGGTCTGCCTCTACTCAGAATGCTCCAGTAGCTTCCTGTTGTTCCTGGAAAAAATTTGAGACCCCTTCCCGTAGCCTCCCTGCTCTGTCCTCTGTGGTCTGTTCTTTCTCCTTGCCCTACCGCCCCCCCCCCCTCCTGTGCCTGCTCCCTCATTCGTAACCAGCTTCCCTGCCTACTCTTCCCTGCCCTGCCTCAGGGCCTTTGCACTTGCTCTTCCCTCACTCTTCTAGCCAGCTGGCTCCTTGTCATTCACATCTCAGCTCAGAGGCCATCCCTGGCCACACTGCCTAAACTCACCCTTCCAGCCACCCTCTCTCCCCATCCTGCCTTTTCTTTGCATTCAGCACTACTGTAAACACACACATTAATCTGTTTGTGTATCTATTGTCTGTCTCATCCAGGAGAATAGAAACTCTTTCTGTAAAGGGTCAGAGAGTCAGTAGTTCTGGCTTTGCAGGCCAGTCTGTCCCAACTACTCTGCTCTGTCATTACGGCACAAAACTATGGGAATGAGTGAGTGTGCTTGTTTTTCAGTAAAACTATTCGTGGTCACAGAATTGTAAATTTCACATACTTTTCACCTGTGATGAACTGGTTTTCTTTCTTTGATTTTTTTTTTTCTCACCCAAACATTAAAAAAGGTCAAAACCACTCTTAGCTCAGAGGCTGTACAAAAACAGGTGGTGGGCTGGGTTTGAGCTGTGGGCGGTAGTCTGGGAACACCTACCACCAGGGTGTGAGGTCCGTGCTGGAGGAGTGACGTCTCTGCTGGCTGCTGCGTGTCTCCCCAGCACCTGGGGCAGTTCCTGGCACGCGGTGGGTGTTCAGTCAACACTCCTTTGCTGAATGAATTTCCAGCTTTCTTACATCAAAGCAGTTAGAGTCCTGCTCTGTATTTAAAAAAAAAAAAGGGTCCCGGGTTGTTTCA